TCTGGCTTGATAATGAGTCCAACTTCTAGCAATTCACACTATTACATATATGCATTATAAAAGCTTTTTTTGTTTTCATACTGTTTTGTACACAAGATGTCTGCACTATGTCTATTTCCTTCCAGAATACCAATCCGTTCTGGAGGCCAATCACTTACGTGGAACCGAACAAATATCAATTATATTTACGTATTTCCATTTTGTATCCTATTATTTTATGCAGGCAGTGGAGCAGTTCTTTAAGTTTGATTGATTTTTACCATTACCTTTGAAGTAGATTCTTCTTTACCCTTTACTGGAGGGTGACTCAAGAGGCAGGTGAGTAAACAACTGATAGCCAGTCTGAGCTAGGAAAAATTGCACCTCACCAACATGGTGTTGGGTAGCCCGCTCGCGGCACTTCCTGAGATATTCTTGTTCCACATTCTCACACTGTTTCTCTTGGGAGCACGTAGCAAACCATCAGCGATAGTTGTAGAATAAATCACATGCTACAGAGTAAGATGACAAGCTAGTAAATGAAAAGACATCCATGGACTATCGGCGATTGCCGACGGAGTTAGTCGTCATTGATTAGAAGTCAAACATTTAACGAGTTTATAATTTTCGCTTGGGCTGGAAAACAGAACTAAGGCGTTTTTGATAGATACGTTAACCGAACTGACGTTCCTACGGAAGTCGATTCTAGAGGGAAGCTAATGTAACAGCTTAGGTTGGTTGGTTAAGAGTTGACCTCAAACAACCAAGCATATGCCAAAACAATATAGTTCAAATATTTATTCACTTCCTTATTTTGTATAAGCGTTATATTTCCTATTATCTTATAGTGAATGTTGAGAAGCTTTGTTTGTCTAATTAAATAACCCCACGCCCCACTGTGACTGCGCGAAGATCGAAATAAAGACCTATTCATTACTTGTCTGGTTTCTTCTATCAATAGTACGAGGGTTACCTTAAGGCACGAAAAACCTACTAATATTTTCTATTAATGCGCACGTAATTCTTGTAAGGTCTGTATGTTAAGCTCTTAACCAACGGTGATTGAGATGCATCTTGACGTGATTTGTTAGAACATCTGAACTAAATCACTCTTCATTATGCTTGTTGTTTAGCGCTCGAATGGTTTTTACGTGAAATTTCATTTTGCGTGTGATTAGAATTAAACCAAATACTCCGAAGTTATAACATGTCTCTCACAACCACTTGCTGCCGTCTTTTTTATTTATCTCCCAGCCCATCAGTACGCGGAGGATTTATTTCGGTAAATCCACTCAACATCGTATCGATCCAACATCACGTTTATTTCAGTGGGAGAACATTGTAGTATTATTAGTTCTCACCACACGATTCTCGAAGTTGAACACTTAATTACTGGGAAAATTTACATTCAACGTATAACATATAGGGGAGGCCGGGATTCCAAAGCTCAGCCTTACAGATGTAGCCATCCTTGTAACGATCCCCTATTCACATTTAAATCAATCATTCTGCCTCTAGCTCAAATTTGTTCTTTAGAAGTGCTATACTTCCTGTCACGATACAAGACAGAATAGAGAACTATCATAGATAGTGGTTAAAAGTTGACTGAAAACGTCCGGCTAATATCAGAACATTATAATCAGATTATTCATTTAACTCTTCAATTGGCGTACGCATAATGTTTTCTATAATTCTATGTTGAATGTTGAAAGCGTTATGTACTCAAAAAATAGAGCCTCGCGCTCCAACTGTTCTGTGCCACAATCTGAATACAGATTTATTTAACTACAAGTCTGGTTTCATGTACAGATAAAATGGGTGGTATCTACTAACATGTAAACATCATATATTTCACTCGACAATTGCGGGACATATTATCATCTCCGAATTCGCATTTTACCGACCGAAATCCAAATATTCGGTTTGAGTGCAGAACTAACGGACCAAAGTTCATTCGATTAGGCCAGATGATGTTCTTCTGTACAGCGTGCTGTGAGCTTTTGAGTTGTCAGCATTAACTTATATCAAAAGATAAGCTCTGTGTTTAACCCAAACTGTTTCGATTTTAAGAAAGAAACATAATATATAAATAGTAAAACAACGCTTCAAATGGTATAACCTGTGCTATACAGTCAAGACTCTCCAACACAGAATAATGTGCCAAACAACAAAAGGAATAGTTAGTAAAGAACAGTTCAACACCTTAGAATTGGTAACAATATTTCCACAAAGATGGGGTCGGATATTTATCTGCAAGGGTTCCAGTAAGACTCCCAAGCAGAAGATCAAGAGTTGATAGATGCAATGAATCACACTATGACCTGAGGATTAGTCAAAAATCAGTTGTTCGGTAACATACAACAGTAACTTAAGTAGTGAAAGCTGAACCTCCAAACAAGGTCAAATAAAAAGGTCCTGACATGGAAGACTGAAAATACATAAGGTGGGGTCAAAAGAGATCAGAACAAAGGTTAAAATATCAGACAGGTAGAGGAAGCATATAAATGACAGTACTGTCCAATAAAATGCTGTGGAGGGAAAAAGGTGTCTTAGTACTCTATACACTAAAGCCGTACGACAACTATAACAGTACGTCTTTTAGAACATACATTAGGCCAGCAAGATAGAGAAACCTTTCATGTAATCTTCAGAAATTCCTAATCTCCAGTTAAAGTATGGTAATATGGTGTTTCCTCTTTCACTTTCAAAGAGTAAAAACACTCTGGAATGTATCTAAGGTGAGTAAAAAAATCAGTTAGTTTACTAGAATCCAAACGTTCGGATGATCATTTTAAATCGCAGATTGCTTACCTTCTGGAGTAGAAGACACTTTAATAAGGATGACTAAGTTTTTTCAAGCACTACCATACTTGGTTTCTGTTTCATTCGTCGTATCGAAAACGTTGATTCAAACACATATTTAACGTAGTTGACGATACATGGATTTGCAAAATGTTTTCTAAGCATTTCTTACTTGAGCTCGTACTAGCTGAAGCCTCATTTGTGCATATGTAGTGGCATTGGGCTCTAACCACACAATCCCCAAAGCTGAGAAGGAGTCAAGTTAGGGAATGGATATTAAACATTTAACGGGGAGAAAAACCCAACAATGGAGAAGGCGAGAAGGATTAATTTACTCCAATCGGTTGGCATGGCTCAGGCTTGCAGATGTGGTCTTGCTTGTGTAAGTTATCTCTTTTTTTCATATTAAACATATTGTTCTATCTCCAGCCTAAATGTGTTCACCGCTATATAATGGCAATGACTACATATAACGAGTCAGTGTAGACAGCGATGTGACTTCCACGTGAGATCTTATAGATTAGACAGTCACATCATGACAAATCTGCAATTTTAGGATTAGGTCTACTATGAGAGCAGTACTAATAACGAAGTAGACCATAATTTTACACATATATTGTAGCGGATGGGAATTCAGTTGTGGAAAACCAATTTGTTGTCGATTAAAAAGTAACAGAATATTCTTGAGTCACATTTTGACCTTGTTAATCATTCGAGTTGGCTCACACAACTTCTCTCGTCATTTTGATTTGCTCTCTTTTCTTCGCTTTATTCTTCTGATTGTAGGTCCAGACCAGTGAGTGTGAAAAACATATGCATTTAAAAATCCATTATCGTCTTTGACGTATTTGATTCCGTTATTACCTAACGCGATTTAAGTGTATGATTATAAACGAGAATAGTCGGGATGTATATTTCGACTATTATTATTTGATAGCAGTCAGAAACGATCCAAATGGAATCAGATATACGGCAGTGAAACACCACAATATATGTATTCTTTCTCGTTTTTTTCTAATTGCTCCCAAGTGCTGGATGTTTTTATCTCTTCAGTTTGATTTTAACGTTTTTGTAACGCCTCCTTAAGTACATCTGTAACTGCTATCGTTCTCCATCTTACGCTTTGTTTTTTCTGTTCTTTTTCTTGTTCGTATCCTCAGCATACTGATTTAGCTGTTCATTAAAAGTCATCGGTGTGTTCAATCATTGTTTATCTTCTCTGATGATAATGGCATTCATCGCGAGTTATATTAACGGTCCCATGACATGTGCGCAGGTCTACCGTCAGTCGCGTATGAACGTTTCTGCTAATCAGCACCACTCTGGTTCTGTAGAGAATATTGCCTACCATATTCCAAGCTATCTTGCTCACGAATTTGTCATAAGTCATATATGGACGTAGAGTAGTAGTGATTGTTGTCTGATCGTTAATGGTGTTGTCACCCTATACATAAATTTGTTAGACAAATATTTTGATCGTAGCCCACTGTCAAATATTAACTAGTGCGCGCTTGCACATTTCTTACCAGAGTGACACGTTTTGACTTAGGACATGGGACATCATTTTTACACATTTTCCTCACATGCCAATGCGTGCTTGCCAACATTCTCTACCACCCACAATGGTGAAGGGTCTTTCAAAACTCTTCTACTGTAAGCACTTGGAACGCCAAATTCTTTACTCATTATCTTGTTGTAGAACAAACGATGATCTCATATTGAAATTCTGTATCTCGGCTATTGATGTTAGCGTTGAAATGTATTATCCTTCTGAACTAAATAATTCCAAATACTCCTGAAGTCGTTTCAAAAATCGCAATCAGATCAACTCAAAGTAATACTCTGTTTTCTCATTGTACAGTCAATGAATGGGATGCCTATTAAGGAACACTTTCGAATACAAGTTAGATCTCAAGTGAAAACCAATTTTCAAGTATCACAACAGATTTACCGGCACATCATCCTTTTGATGGAAGACTGAAAAGACAATTTTCTATTGACATGAAATAATCTTGACATTACTCAAAATTCTGCAGAATATCTTCCAAAATTTGATTCCAGGACGAGCACAAAAGACACTGAAGCATGCTAAACGGAAAGTACTTTTGTTCTGCTCTTAACTATTTTCCATTTGAATTGGAAATTTCTTGCGGCAATACAAAATTGAGTGTTGCATATCGGAGTTCAAGGCTACTCGTAACGAATGTCAATATCATATGATGCATGCTGATATTGTGAAAGAAAACGACTCCGAAATACTGATGAAAGTGTTGACTGGTTCATTATCGAATTCTGGAATTTATGAGCAGTTGTACAGTTTAATCGTTAATAAAGAATATAGTTGCTTTCAGTGTCTTTTGAAGCATTCACAATGTATGTCGCAATACTGTTTTGCTGGTAACATTGTGTTTTAGTAGACTTTTATGAACCTTTTGAAGTAGATGGGTTTCGGCTGGTAAGTTACCTAAATAAGTATTTATACCAGTGTGAAAACTATCTAATCTCCCTATTTTGTAGAAGTTTTAGGGTTTTCCCAAAAGTAATGCATATTATTGCATATTATCAGCGACTTGATATTTCACGGAACGTTTACAAATAGTTTAGAGTCAGTATAAAATCTTACAATCTTAGTAATTGTATAAACATAGACTTTGATTGAGTTTTCAGTATGTAATGAACATTCAAAACTTATTGATTTGTTAGAATAAACAGAATGTCGATCGGTTAGTGGAATATTCATACTGCACGACTGGCTTATGCATTCATACCGAAATGCGGTACAGCCTGTTGGCGAAATTAATACTTGGTCGTTAGACTGAATTCTTGTTCGTTATATCAGTTTTATTAACCAGTTGACTTAAATGTTAACTGATTCCGATGCGTTGTCCGCTAAACCGTGCGAATTCAGCGATGTAAAACTCCTAATCAAGATAATAAAAATTGTGTGATTCTTTTGACCGATTTCAATAACTGAATATCTTTATTTTCGAAAATAGTATACATTTTTCCTTTTAACGTTCATATCCAGATATTCTCGGTGTATATTGTCTCCATTAACAGTGAACACGTAGGTATCTCTTGCTCTCAGACTTGGTTTAGGACCTGTACACGAAGTATTTAGTCGGTTCATTAGGGTATTATTGTATCGTTATTATCATCGCTTACTTATTTATATTACTCAATAGTTGGTATAATAAGGCACAAAAAATTACCACACAAATTAAAATGGTAATACTTTTAAGAAAGGTCGGAGGGAAGGTGCATTTTTAAAATAAATAAGCAAAGGATAAAAATTTACATCAATCAGGTTGTTAAAATTGTACTTCTCATACTCAGATACTGAGCAATATGAAAATTATGAGTCGAGTTAAAGCATCACACATATTCCATGATAAACAAAACAAGGAGGACATATTTTATTCCCACTTCTATGGATGATGATTGAAAAAGTGATTCCGGTATTTCCACCAACTTCTATTTGGATCAGTACCTGATATCGTCCCACTCCACCTAGTTTGATGATCTCTAGGGTCCCATCCAGGTAGCCGCAATGGACCAATAGATGCTAACCCCATGCAGCTTTCTTCGCACGGAACGAAGGCAAAACATGACACCTTTTCTGTTCTTATTATACGTGGCCACAAAGCCCATTCCATAGCATTCGTGAAACAACCTTAACTGTCACCATTGTTAGGTTGAAACAATAGAAAGAAATGAGGATGCGAGTTGTTTGTTCATAATCACCTTAAGATGCATTTTAAAGCCCTTTAAAGATATAAGTAAAAGCTGACCACTGATGGAAAAGTCGAAGATCATGATTTACTCTCATGCTTGCTTCATGCTTAGTGAAATGCTGAGCAAGTGTATTGTCTCGGAAATCATTCTACTGGAAACATAGTGGTCGTTCGATAGCAACTCACGGACTGTATGAGTATTTTTCAGGACTTTACACTACTGTCACTTTACCTAGGTTATAGACACCTAATAATATTACTTCCTTCATTTATGACTTCAGTTTTTGCAAATTTCACCGCTTTCATTTCCTAACAATCCAAGTGACAGTTCATTTTACTTTTTTAATTGTTGTGTAATGTTTATTAGAAATGAAGTGACATTGTCAAATGATTTTGGATATTCCTTAATGACTTCGATTGAAACGACACGTTTACTTTTAGATTTAAAACTTCCGTAATACTTTTGATAATTTTCCAATTGGTCTACCTCATGTTATTTTTGTCTCTAAATTTAGCCAATTCTACATCATGCTATTCGATTGGGTGACTTTAATGCTTTCAAATTACTCTTGGAAAATGGTTTAAATCCTCTTGTATGTACTGGTATTTGTCAGCAAAATGACACAGAGTTCGTCTGTGAAGATATCATACAATTTGCATTTCGTTTTACGTCTAATCCAAATAATCAAAAATCTATATCACTATTGTTTCAAACATTCTTATGTTAGTGAGATTCATTATGATTGCTTGTTATAAACTGTATGTTTTTTTCATATTAGAGTTTATGATTTCAATGGTTTGATTAACTAAAATGTTCGAATTTAAGTAATTTGTCTTCATAAAGTATTCAATCAAAATGATTTGGCAGAACTATGTATATCAGATAACTGATGGGCTTTATCAAATTAATTTGTACTTGATCAGTGATCGAAGATAGACAAAAATGAATAGACCACATACAGTAAACGGATTTAATGGCCCAATTCATTTTACCATTTCCATTTCTAGTTGTTATGTACTTAGTATCAGTATACTCTTATTGTCGTTGTCTGTATGTGGTTTTTAATAAAGCAGTTTGACTTTGCGTTCGAGGTCCCGTGATTTAGTGGTCACAGATATAGTATATAAGGCTGTGTTTACGAAAACACGTAGTGGAGTGTCGATAACATCCAAAGTTAGAAGAATAAGTCATCAGTCATAAAGATAAAATGATTACAATATAATGTATGATCTCTATGAGTAGAAAAATCAGATTTTCTGACGTTTCGCGACTCAGTGTAAGCCACTTCTTCAGGGATAAATAACCATGCATAATTTTCCTGATTGGTGATAAATTGGATCGATTTCAATGTGCTTGTTGATTGCTGATTGACCTGAGTGCCAAGCTTCTAAAAACTCTCTGGTGTTTTTGGAATTGACTCTATCCAAGATTTCCACATTTTTCCAGTTAAATGAGTGTCCGCAGTTGTCCACGTGCATTGATATAAGTGAGGAAATATCATGGCGTTTGACTGCTAATTGATATTCATGCAGGCGAAGATGTAGAGGGCATCCGCCTTGTCCGATGTAGCGTTTTTCACAGTCGGCACAGTTGTGCCAAAATTATGTACAGATATAGGAACAAAAATCGAACCAATGGGAGATACGACCAAAATAAAGAAGTAAACAATGACAGATTTAAGGTCAACAAGAACCAATCAACATCGAGTTTTACAGGATAAGCTGTGAACCATATGTGGAGAAATTCGAACGCTTCACATCTATCTGAAGTTTGTGCTGATGATGTCCTTCATAAGAACGATGAAATCGTTTACAATATAAAATAGTTTATTAAAAATGTATTGCGTAAAGCATAACTGTCTATACTCACTAAACAAGCCATAAATTATTTCCACTGGAAATGCTAATGCTTGTTTTTGAAATTGTACATTTTTTAATGAATAATTGTTTAATGTATCCTTGATCAACTAGTTGTTTTTTTTATAGCTCATGATGTAATTAGTTGTTCAATGTACTTTCCAACTGTTAGGTTTCAGGTTCGAATCAAAATTTAATTATCTATGGTTTGATTGACCGGCTGGTCCATCTATCTTTCAAGAACGGTTTCTCATGATTTTCTAGCTTCAATTGACTCATAATCCCAACTATTAAAATTACTATAATGTCCACAAAACCCCTTCTGAGATTAATCAACATATGCTCATTAGTGACTGGCGTTCTAGTGAGAAGCATTGACCAGTGGAGTTCAACCGGGTCTGTTGTGATATAGTAACTCACTAAAGATAATGGTGGATATGTGACTCAATTTAGTGGATTAGTTGAAGTTAGACATTAACACCGTTGAATGCTGGCTCAGTGGATTAGAGGTTAAGCGCTCACGCGCGAGACTAGTAGGTTCTGGGTTTGGATCTCGCGAAGCAGGGTCGTGTATGCGCACTGCTCAGAAGTCCCACAGTAGGACGAAATGGCCGTCCAGTGCTTCAAGGTTTTTCATGATGGTCTAACTTCAATTGACTTATGATCTCAACTATTAAAATAAATATGAGTTCAACTACTAAAATTACAATATACACAAACCTCCAATCTGCAAAAAAATGATTTAATCCATTACGTTCTGATTTATATTTAATTTGTTGAGTTGTATTTATTTCATAAATACTTTAGTGTTTACTCGTATATATTTTTAAGTACTTCTACCTAAGTTTAGAGTAAGGTATGTACAAATAGGTTATTTTGCATCTTTTTTAACTATTCTATTTTTTACAGTCTACATTCCAAATTGTCTTTTTCTTTTGCATCATTTTAGACAAACTAATTACTAGTAAGTCTCAATCCGGTAATAATAGTTGTTATTCCCCAAAAGTATATTTTTTGTGTGATTTGTTAACACTGCGATTCCGAAAAATTAGTAATATTAATAGTTGAATACATGAGTCTATCTAAGCTAGACCACTATTAAAAACTTGGTAGCACTGGACGGCCGTTTTGTCCTAGTGTGAGACTTCTTGGCAGTGCACATTCACGATTGAAGTTAGATATTAACATCATTGGATGCCGGCTCAGTGGTCTAAAGGTTAAGCATTCGCGCACGAGAACGAAGGTTCTGCGTTGGATTTTCGCGTGCGAGGTCGTGGATGTGCACTGCTGAGGAGTCCCACACTAGGACAGAATGGCTGTCCAGTGCTTCCAGATTCTCGATGGTGGTATGTCTTAAATCGACTCATGAATTCAAATATTTAAATTACTACAATCTCCACAAACCACCATTTTGAAAATTAGTAGTGAACTGTTTTGTTACTTCAGAGTGATAATTATTTCCAATTATCGACAACAACCAATCAAATTATCAGTCAATAGGATAGGCTTTAAGTCAGGGAATTTTGAAGAAATTCTAATACATCAATTCTTTTTGAAATGTATTTTTTAGGACGATAATGACAGCTCTCCCATTAGGCCATACAACATAAGGGACAATATTAACGTAGAGACTGGCATATATGTATTTCGCCACACGATATTGGTAAAAGGACGAAAGTATCAAGATGATTATTAAGGTAATAGAAGTGTCAGTTAGGCTGATTACACTTTATTCTCACAGTTCATTCACAACTCATTAATTGGCCTTGAGTAATGTAATTCAAGCAACTTGGCCGATGTGAATTGTATTCAGGTCTAAAGGTTCTTTCGAAGATCCTTAGATAAAGAAACATTGTAACTGCGAGCACATCACAACATACAACTATTTCTTGCTGACATCAGCTTATATCTATTCGCGGTGGTAACACTTAACTGTAGCTGTTATTTTGATGAAGTGGTTAGGGTTAGATTTTGTGAGAACACAATCGAGGTATATTTGCTGGGACGTTTGTTAATTTTGGTTTTCTTATGCCAGAAAGCTCTATCAGAAAGAATGGTCTAGAAAAAGTTGAGTATACAAATAACACATCTTATCTCAACCCATAAATCTCCAGCATCTACAATAAGATCATCGAAGTTACTTCCAGCTTAACTTATTTTTCAGGTGCTTTGAGAAAAGTATCTTTCTACGTTGTAGGCAACTAGAAAGTGATAGCTTCCTACACACCTCTAACAACACCTGAGATGGTGATATTTAACCTCAAAATGAGTGGTTTACATAAATTTCTTATTGAAATAATGATCATTTGGTCAGTGGTGGTCACTACCTGCAAGATGAATTCCTGGAATTCTAGTGAAAACTCGTTACGGAACGAGTCTAATTATATCAAGGAGTAAGACAATCACTCAGCACTATGTTATTGGTCAATATCCTCTCTACATCATGTATTGACAAGTTAGTCATGAATTGTTGCAGTGCAAATCAGTGATGGCATAATTTATGATAAGATATATCATTCCTATTAGTAACAAAAAATATGTATTTTATAGTGTACATCACGAACTGACCTTAAATAACATTGAAAATTATGAAGTACCAGACAGCTATTCCGTCTTAGTGTGAAACTCTTTAATAGTGCTTATCGATGACTCCACCTGTGATCCGACTCATCACCTCCAGGTCTTATAACGAGCACTCGTTCTTTAGACCACTGAGTCCATATTTATTGGTTTCCATTCTTAATTTTAATCCCTTCACGGTACAAACTACAAAATCTAATCATTTCCACAAAGCCCCCTGTACTAAAAATACATATATGACATAGAAAAAATAACACTACAATATGAAATCAATCTTATTGAGTTAATTATATTTTGTTCGTTTCTTACTACTACTAATACCTAAGTCTATATATATAACTTTGACTACTTCTGTGTGTATCTTGTTATATTTTGTCTCATTAGACCTAGTGGAAGCTTGTGGCAAAGGTGATGATGAGTCAGTTGAACAATTATTAACATCGTCGCCATCAGGAAGTTTACGTATTCGTTGTACAGTAAGGAGGTTTGCTAGTAGACAGTTTCATTTAGCGATAGATTCGCCAAATTCCTCTCATAATTCATCTACCAATTACGTTGTTAATAGTGTTAAATCTATTCATCAACCATTAACTAGTCTAATATCGAATCGTTTGAGAAGTTTAAAATTCAATAGACGTTTATTATGGAGTACAGGATCTAATCGAGACAATGAGAAAATGGAGAAGACAGAGAAGGAAGAAGGACAGCAACATATAGACCAACCTCAAAGTATATTAGAATTATTGCCATTGGAAGAAATTCCAAGCTGGAGTTCTGATGAAAATTCTGAATCATATAATTTACAATCTATGAATAATGATCTATGGGAATGGGCAAGGAGTCAAGTTAAATCTTTGTTGGTTATGTAAGTGAAGTGAAGAGTTGTTTTTTCGGAAAATTCTCATGGTAGTTGTTTTGAGAAGTTCTACTCGCTGCCTTCTCGTGGTGGGTTGTTGTATGCGAAACTGAGAGAGAGAGGGAGAAAAGCGAATGACCGGTGCCTTAACCAGGTTGGTGGATACAGAAAAGCCACCTAGGAGGATTGGAAAACCACTATTCCAAACCAAGGGTGCACATTGGCACCAGGATCCTGAGGACACAAATTGAGTATAAACCTATTGTTCGTCACTGTCTACCGTGGGACTTCATCTCCTGACGTTGATCCACTGCCTTGTGGATTAAACCTCTAGATCAAGGGTTCGAGGAGTGGATCCTCAAGAATATCGCCTTTGGTTTGGGTGCCAGGACAGTATACCAGCCTTCACACAAATCAGTGGTAACTATTACTGGCCTCATTGTTATTGTGTGGCGCATATGTATTTGGTGCCTCCTTGTACCAATTTTTATGTGTTCAAATAATAAATAAATAAATTTGTGAAAATATCTTTTCGAAGTGTTACATTGATAATAAGTTGTAGGTTGACGCGTCTACAGTCGATGAAGCTGGTTATTTTATTGGTTAATAAAATGCACTTGAATTAAATGTATTAAATTATCATAAGTTTAAAATCTATTTCATTTAGGTTTAGTTGATCAAGTTTTTTGGTACTAGCTCTCATACAAGCAGAATAATTCAAAGTCTTGAGTTCATAAATCTGTATTTGATAAAGGAGTTACATACAGAAAAAGTATCGACATTCATTTTGGAAGTATCGTATTTTTTCTGAATTGAATGATATAATCATCAACCTTTGATCGTCTTTCTAGACAACATCATTAGTATATATTTGTGAGAACGAAAGTGAGCTAATAGAATTTTATTATCGCAGCCGATTATTAGCTTGTTCTGATAACCTAGAATTTTATGGGTTATTTTCTTACTTGTATGACTGTTGTTCATATTCTCATTTTCATTGTTCTGTCCTGATCTCTGACCTTGTAGTTGTTTATTCTTTAAGTGATGAGAAAAGCAAATATTCAATCAGCACAGAGAATACAATCTCTCTAAAATCCTCACCGTAAGCTAAAAAATATTGTCCATCGCAAGGCGACCTGTTTGAATATCTGAGCTATTTGTTCCTGCCATCAGATATTACAAAATGTTATCTGCTTTTGTTTGTTTTAACATATTTTATGCTTACTAATCGCACGACCTATTCAGGAGCATTTATAAAAAGTCTACGACCTTTCGTTGTACAAGTTACAAAAAAGTACAACCATCGGCATCGTGCTGGTTGGTAATATTCATTGAAAAGAATCAACATTATTCAAATTTCGATTCCTGAAATGCTAACCTCTAACTGGGAATTACTCAATATTTATCGACAGGATCGATCAAGAAATAAGAAAAGGAAAATTATTGAAATACTCTGTGCCGAGTATTCCATATTGTACCAAAAATATAATATTGAGTAAATCCATTAATAGTAATAATCTAAAAATGTTCAGTCAATTCAAAATCCATGTAAAAGTAGCAAAAGATTTGAAGTCATTAAGGTGGAGATTATTATTCAACTATTATCTATCACTTAATAAATCAAGAGTTAACAATATTTCCTCTATCACACTTGTAATTTTTTCGGGTAATTAGTTTAAAGCATTCTAAACGCATTGGTTACTAATTATTCTGTGAATCATCTTTGTTGTTAGATTCAGACTACTTGGTTGGAGTTTCCTCTATAACTCTTGATCAGTGGTTGAAGACGTTGAATAAACTTGGGATCAGTCACAATAACTCAAATAAATTCACTCTTTAGTCTAGATTTTGAGTCCCATTATTCTTTCATTCATACCTTCTACATTTTATCCTTTCAAATGTTTAATCTTTCTCATTATCAATGTCACCCCGTTATTTCTGTTCCCTTACTATTCGTCTTGTTATTTGCATGCCATCATGTTGATGTGGTGCGATATTTTTGCCCAACAAACATATCTACAAGTCTCTACATTCGTTATAACTAACTAACTGACTGATTAGATAGTATATAAAACTAATAGGACAGTTGAGTTTATCTATTAATTTATTTAGTTCTTTTATTTTCAAGTGAGTCACACTTTTCATGTTCATACTAATTCAATTATAGATGTGTACAAAATAATTACATACGATGTCTTAACAAATTATTACAAGTTGGTTTTGAAGTTATCCCAGTGAATTCTTCTTCTTTATCGTCAACCTTCTCAGCATCTGAAGAAAGTGTAGAGTTGTTAAATCACAACCAAAATATCAATCACTATTCAAAGTCTAATAATGGGTTGAGAATTTTAGTTGAAGATATTAGCTATGTTGGAAAACAACAGTTATGGATTGAATCAGTTTGTTCCAATCAAGAAAGTGCTATTCATACTGCTGTACGATTAAATAGAGAAGAAGCAGTCAAGTCAATAATTCAGGTGATTTATGTGAATAAAGCAACAGTTTTGTAAAATTATATATTCTTTGGATGAAAATCAATATTATTGATATAGAGGAGGCTTATGGAGATTGTTGGGTCTCAATTGTTTGTATCATTGAACTGGTCTTAGTTAAACAGTAACTGAAAATCAAGAAGCATCAGACAAATATCTCGTTCTAGGATTGGACGCCTAAAGATTTGCATTGATGAAACCACTAAGTATCTAATAGAGGACCTGCGGAAATCGCAGAATTCAGAGTTTTAGATTTCAAACTTTAATCAATTAAAAATATTGTTTAACCATTTTCCAAATGCCATTGGTAGTGGGTAATAGCTACACACCCCACATCGTCAGAATTTTACTAAGAAGCTGTGATTTACTGGAGTTGAACCATATCGGAGCTGAGATTGTTATCGACCCGTTGCATTGAAAGATGGTTGCAAAACATCGCGAATTAATTGTGGTTAGGCCTGTAAATCAGTAGGTGTTAGGTCTGTAGTGTAAAAGTTAAGCTGTCGCCGAAAGAAATGAATGTCCCAGGTTTGACTCTTGGTACAGCTATGACTGAACACTTCTGAGGACTCCTATAACAGGATGAGACAGCTTTTTAGTGTTTCTTAGTCTTTAGTGGTTGTCTGGTTGAGTATGTGCCGTAAACTATGTGATTTAACATTTATATTCAGTTTTTTTCTGAACAGTTTGTGAAGTCTAGTTAAAATTTGATAATAGTTTGCACATCATTTAAAAACACTGTTTGTACAATCAATAAATAAAACTTGGAAACTGCTTCGTCTTGAGTTTGGGATTTTCTCGTAGTAGACTATTGAGCACCCTAGACGATTCCTTGGAGAAGTCTTCAAAAACCGGAAATATCTCGTAAAATCAGCGTTCGACATAAATTTACCAGAGTTCCGGCGAAACAACGAACTGCTCTTGCTTTCTAAACCTGAACCAACATTGACAGTAAAGTTTCTTTCCGAGTTTCCCGACTTTTGCCGCATTTTCAAGGCTCATATGCTGAAAATTTCTAGGTGTCTAGGAAGTCACTATCAAGAGTTCAATTGCCAGACATATTATAAACATTTATAATTTTAAATAAAATGCAATCCCCAAATGCCCTGGTACGGCCGAGATTAGATAGAGCCCGCTGTCCTCGAAATTCTCTCGCATGGCCACGCGTATACAACCACTGCCGGGGAAGTCATACTCACTGCACTCTCGTGATATGGGTGTTGTTTATGAAAGTGAGAGGACGAAAAGCGAATGTCCGGCACTTGGACCGGTTTGGTGGACACGAAGGGTGGATTATTTAGGGCAGTTGGAAAACCCTGACTCCAAACCAATGGTGCACATGGGCTGCAGGATCCTGAAGGAACAAATGCCGTGCAGACCAATTGTTGGGCTACCTGCCCTAATTCGGGCAGTATCACAGCTCACGCACAAATCAAGTGACTTGCGTGACTCATATGTATTCGGTGTTTTTTTTTAACCAATATTTGTGTGTTCAAAAAAATAAATAAAACGGCCTGTATCATTAAATATTTTCTTTAAAAAATGCTTTTTCAAACGATATTCCATCTAAAAACTTCTATTTAGCGTCATGTTGTGACGGTGATGCTGCAGATTAGAGGGTAGCGAATTATCGACCGGATCAATGACACGTAAACCACGTACGGACGGCCTAGAGTCTCGATTGGTCCCGCTTCCCTGTCTAGCCCAGCCAGTTGAGTCCAGAACACAAATCTTAGCCTCTGAGTTATGGATAATTATATTTCAGACATACTCTATTTATATACCAATCAACCAGACCACATCGTACCATAAAATAGTAAAACAACATTTGTACAATATTTGACAAGTGAAATAAATATTGACCAATAGGAAATGTCCGTTTAAAGTCCAAGGTCACCATTAGACTTAACGTTATAATTATTGGTATATTCCTCTGCATCCCTAACACATCATTTAAGAATAGATAGGCACATAGTGAGTTTATGACGATTGTATTTCTAGTTATTACACAATTTTCCTAGGATAACTAGCCACGTTTTATTTTATATTTGTTTTCAATTGATAATCATGAATATGCAAATTCCATACGATCCACTACTATAATTTTTCTCACCATTTTGTTTTTTTTCCTTTTAACCCTCCTAGTGGGAACCATATTCATTAGCTGTTACAATTCATGGTAACAATGAATTATCATTTGGTGTATTACCAATTCATATTGCTTGTGCTTTGAATCGTTTAAATTGTTTACAACTAATGTTAACAAGGAATACATCTATAGTCGATTTTAGTAATCATTATTATAATACTAGAAGTATTGAATCAAATTATTCTAGTTTATTTTCTTGTCGAATAAACAAATCACCAGGTTTATATAAACATTATTATTGGTAAGTTAGTTTATTTTTGATTTCACTAGTTGAAATCATGAGTCAATTGAAGCTAGACCACCATGGAAAACGTGGAAGCACTGAACGGTCGTCTCATCCTAGTGTGGGACTCCTCAGCGGTGCGCATCCCATACTAGGACGAAACGACCGCTCAGTGCTTCCAGGTTTTCCATGGTGGTCTAACTTCAATTGACTCATAACTTCAACTAGTGAAATTTCTAAAAATCTTCACAAAACCCCTTCTGATTATATTTGATTATTTGTTTTTATTTTATAAGCTTTTAACTCTTTCTTGCATTTCTTAGATCATTGAGTTTTATTTCAACGATCTTCCGAATTCGTAATCTTATTTTATCAATTGAACTTTATTCATTTTAATACTATCAACGTTTACTCATTTTGTAATCACTTATTTCTGGCCGTTTACCGATTACCACGACACGCAATGCTGACTAGTGTTGGTGATGGTTGGAAGAAAGTTAGGGGCGGCCAAATAAAAACGTGGCATCAGTGCTTGAAGTCATTAACTTCTAGTCTTAACCATGTTGGTAGATGTAGACTACTTGGTTGGGGTCCGCGAGAATAGTATTTTTATCTATTTGAACACATAAATATTGGTACAAGGGGGCACCAGATTTATGTGCGTCACACAAAACAATGAGAATGGGAAGAGAAAAAGAATGTAAGGCGCGTATAAGAATAAAAAGAACAATAACGACCACAGATTAGTTTATGGTAGTGCAATATTAATAATAATAGTGGGGGAAACGGAAAAGTACAACCTGAAGAATTCTTTCAGTCATATCTGATAACGTCTCTAGCCACTGTGTTGCACCATCTCTCGGACTCCAGCCTGGGAGTCGAGAAGGACCAACACAAGCCAGGCCTTTCGCATATATGTGCCTGGTCCTACGTTGTAGCTAAATGATTGACTGCTTCTGGTTGTTTAAACTATTGTCACAATCAATGTTGTAGAATGTTCTTTCACATAAGTTATATATTTACAATATTCAGTCTATTTAATTTATTTACACCCTTGCTATGCTATAGTAATGTGTCTTCAATATAACTTCCAGCCAGATTCTTTCATGTAAGTAATTTAAACCCATTACGTAATTATGATTTTAAATGTCACAAGTTGTAAGCAGCTGATGAGAACCGACGAAATAATAATGAATTCATGCTATTCTGCTAGAATGTTTGTTCTTGCTCTTTTCAAAATGATAAAGGAAACTATGTGTATGAAATTTTATAAGTTATTAGAAATTTGTTTTGTAATATTTTAGGTCACATTCTCTTCTTTATCATTTAATAAATTGGTACACGTTTTAGTTGCAGCTATAATATATGAAAATGTTTTTATATTTTTTTGTACCAGTCAAGGTTTTTTGCTGCAAGTTATTGTTGGTATTCCTTCCACATTGCAATTGATCAGTCTCTGTTGCCATATTTTCATTCTACTTGGATCGCCTTGATATAGAGTATTGTGTCACAAACATTCGGTGTATTTAGTATGTTATTAGTAATGGAATTTAGGTTGCGTTGAACTCATAAACTGGATATATTCTGAATCTTAATATCGATGTTTACTCTAAGATGAACTCAGTAAATTCCAGTGATATTTTGGAGAAAACTTAACGCACTTGAAGCAATAGGTTCTGTGTAATAAATAAAATACTGGTTATGAATTTACATTTTATGCGGTACCACCAATACATAATTGTAGTTAAGATGTATTCCTCACAAGTTCTGAACTGTAAATTAGGTTTTCAATGTGTTTTAAGAATATCAAAAAATAAATGTCACGCGATAGAACATATTTTGATTCATTAGGTAGTTGAAAGTAGTTATCAGGTAACTCTAGATCTATATTTTGTGCTAGTTTAAACTTGTCAGCAATGCATACTTGGAACTTCGAGGGAAATGATACTTTCTGTTGGATTCTAACCTGCGTCATTCAGTTTTTTACAGGGTTTCATACTGACTACCTCCCACCATCTAACATCTTAACAAAGTACACACCATATTGAATCACATAGATTAGTGGTTACATTGCAACTTGTTCGATGGAACTCATTTGTGATACTAAAAGAATAAGTAAACATAGCATCAGTCACTTTCAAATGTTTTGATTCATACAGCTATAAAATGGCTTTAAACCAATTAGGACTAATTAATCTTTATCAGAGTATTTACGCTTACTAAACAATGAATCAATAGTTCTTTTTGTGGGTAAATCTCATGTACATCACATTATTTGAGCTTAAATTTAAACCTCCTTTATTACCATTCCTGTTATGATTGATTTTCCAAATCTAGAATTCACATATAGATAGTATACCCTACTTTATTCATTGTACTTTTAGTTAACTTTTTACATACATTGTATTTATATTTGTGTACGTGCACACTAATTAATTTGATTCCTCAAATGTGTTGTTGTTTTGTATTTTTCTTTTTTATATTTTCAGTATTGATCAATTGGATAGTTATAATATGACTGGCTTTCTTTTAGCTGTAATACATGGTCATGTGGATATTGTACGTCAATTGTTAAAATTTACAGTGAAAGCTAAAAGATTAATGAACTCTATGACAGAATTAAATAATTTCAATACTGACATTAATCTTGATAATCTTTATCAACATCATTCAACTGTTCATGATAATAATACTAGTACTACTAATACTACTGATACTGATAAGTTTACTTGCTTTAACCAACTAAATGTTTTAGGCAATCAAAATTCGCCATTAACTGATAACTATATAGATCATAATGTGTACTATGATGTATGTCCAATTGATATTTATCGAAAAATTTCAGCCTGTTGGTATTTCGTTACTTCAATTGATAATAATAATAATTCTGTTTCATTGAAATATAACCAACGACCAGCGATTATTATTAATCCTCGGTGTCATCAAAATTTAGATGACCATGCGATTTGTGGATATTTTAATGCATTACAATTGTCTGTAATGACTGGGTAGGTTAAGCTGTTTGCATTTATTAATAAATTCACATTTCACAGGTTGAAATCATGAGTCAGTTGAAGCTAGACCAGGTTTTCAATGGTGGTCTAGCTTCAACTGACTCATGATTTCAACCTGTGAAACTTCTAAAACTCTCCACAAAACCCATTCTGATAACATTCACATTTGTTTCTCCTAATTTTTTTCTTCATAATTTTAATCACGAAGTGATTTTAGCTAAACAACTATTGAAAACCAACAAACTTTAAACAGGTGTTTCTCCTTAAATCTCCTATAGTCAGTCAGTCAGTCAGTAACAACGTAGAACTTCGTACGTACGTACATCAGTTCGAGTTGCCACACCACATTAGCACAGAGATGCAGTGGTTGATTCGAATCCCGTAGTGCTAAATGTATTAAAATTATAAGCTGTAATCAGAAAAATTAGGGTTTGAAGATGTTATTCAAGGAGTATAATCCAGTGAAATAAATAAATAATCGTATACTCACTTGTGGCAATTTTCGGAAGATAACTCTCGAAGTTCAAGTAAGGAGCTGTCACTAACGGAGTTCAGCCGTGTCCAATGTAAGACAATTATGTATTTATGGGGTTGGAATATATTTGCGCGATTTCGTGAGCTAATTAAAGTTTGAATTGGTAACCACTGACTTCAATCCATTTGGCTAGAGTTTAAGTGCTGTCCTCGTGATCTTAAGGTCTTGGATTCAGTTCCTGTTTGGGTTGTGGATGGACACTGATCAGAAGTCCAATGCTGATATAAAACAGCTGTTCAGTGCTCGTTTAAGTAAAATCAGTTCTTGATGAAGACTATAAAATTCAGTAATCTCTACAAACTCCGTTTACTAATAATCTTTCTTGTAAACCACTCTTCAGGTTTCTTAGTTTGTAACTATTTCTTACTCAAAATTTCCATATCAGTACTAAAATGGATCTTACATTTTATTTTCACGGAATTAAACGTGATGATTAGGCTCAGTATAGTTTGGAGACTATCATCAATATTCGGAATGCTAGCTTTAAGCACAACAGCCTTACAGTAACGTCTATCATTGTGATATTAAAATGCGTATCTTGTTTTCTACTCTATGTTTATGGCTTCCAATCGTTGATCATGGTTATCAATAGCGCCTCAAAGAGTCAGTTTAAACCTATTAATAGGACCAATTCATACAGTCTATGGTTTCATAGATTGATGCCACTTCTTCGTTTGATCTCTTTTATCTTTCTTTCGACCTACTCCTACACAAGTGAACATAGCATGTGAAGGTAAGTTTTAGTTGGAGATACGTCATACATTTCCTAACCATCTCAATCAATGACGATTCACTAACTTACCAACTGATTTACCATCTTTACCTAACTTCAGAATTGCTTATTCGGTGGTCCTAAGATACTCATATAAAACATCTTTAATAAATGCTGTTAGCCTGTTCATGTCTTTTCGTCTCAAGGCTTATATTTCCTAGTCGCAACGTGTGATAGAGTGAGTTACTAAGCCCTTTACCCATTTTTGATAGGTATACGTAGATATCACTCCTATCCCAGGCAGCATAAGTTGTTGAAATTGAACCTATAAGACTAAATAGGTTTAATGAAGTTCTTATTTTATTTCAAATGAATATTTACAAAATATACATTTTAATGAATAATATCAACTAATTTTAATCAAATTAAATTAGTTGTAATCTATACTACATTTTATTTATTTTACAATTGTATAAAAGAAATATTGATACAGTTTCAATTCTGGTAGATTATCTCAGTCGAGAAGTGAATACATTCTGTACATCTTGTATACATGGTCAATGTTATATTTCTCAAGATAATTCTGCATTATCCAAGGTGTCATCGTCGAATCCCATATGTTACACTTCTCATTTAACTAATCAAATAGTATCATCTAATTTAAATTCTACAAATCTACAATCAATTATTACAACTCCACTTGGTTTAACATGTTGTCTAGCGGAAACTGATGAAAATGTATGTTAGTTTAAATTAATAGCTCATCCTTTTGTATGTCTATTTTTTTCCTCCACATTTCTTTAAGTTATCATATATGAAAAAGTAATGGATTTACAGTTTAGAAAATAAATCAGTAATTTGTAAGCTCTATTTGTCACTAATGGATCCTATTTTGTGTGTCATTTATATTAGGGATCACTGAATAGGTGTTTTTATCTTAAAATGGGATCGATTATCATTCCACATACATGGCGATATCAAGTATAGAACACATGACTTTTAGGTCTTCCAACTAAAACTTCACTGTTAAAATCACTGAGTCGACGTCCAACAATACAATCGATTTACAATATAGCACGATGTTCATTCATTGCCACTGATGATAGTTATTTCACTTTCAACATATTTGAACGCTACCAGTCATCAGTTCTCATTGTAATTTCAGAGACAACCCAAAGTAAATCACTAGTTGTGAAGTCATTGAGACCCACTGCTAAAGAGTCACGTACTAGGTCGAAACAGCTTTTCAGTGCTCCCCAGTTCTTAGCGATGCCTTAACTAATGTCTGTAGAAGATGGTCTCACAGTATCGTGGATTGATTATAGTTAGATATTGACACTGTTAGATGACGATTCAGTGGTCTAGAGTTTAAGCGTTTGCGTACGAGACTGAAGATTCTGGGTTCGCTTCTCTTTGATGGTGGGTCGTGGATGCTCACTTCTAAGTAGTCCCACACTAGGATGCCTCGAGATTTTCAATGGCGGTTTATTATTTATTTATTTGAACACATAGATGTTGGTACAAGGGGGCACCAGATACATATGCACCACACAAATCTTATTTGATTTGTGTGAGGGCTGTGATACTGTCCGGGTGCCCAAACCGAAGCGGGTGGTTTTCTTAGAGGGCCACACCCGGAGCCTTCGGCCTGAAGGTCTGATCCACAAGGCAGTGGACCAACGTCACAAGATGCAGTCCCATAGTAACCGGTGACCAACGGTTGGTTCATACGCCATTTGTCCCTTCAGGATACTGGAGTCCATGCGCACCATTGGTTTGGAATCAGGGTTTTCCAACTCCCGTAGGTGGAATCTCCATGTCCACCAACCCGGTTAAAGCGCCGGACATTCGCTTTTCGTCCTCTCAGTTTCGTCAACAACACCGGTGCCACGAGAATGCAGTGACTAGGACTTCCCTGACAGTGGTTGTATGCACGTGGCCATGTGAGAGCATTTCGAGAGGGAGAGCTAACTCTTCCTATTCTCGGCCGTAACAGGGCATTTGCAGGCGATTTAAATTAAGTTGATTCATGATTTCGATCAAATTAAACATTCATCTGTCATCCACTGGTTGCTGCTTAAAATTTTCCACTCCTTTTTAATTTGGTTTAAATGACTCAAGTAGATGAATACATATTTGATAAGTCAGTAAGTGTGTTATTTGTTTGTATTTATTCTTTATTTATATCATTTAGAAAGCTATTGAAATAGCTTCAATTCTATTGAATATTGGTGCAGTTGATTTTAACAATCAATTATTTGTATACACAATGAAAAAATCATTTTATAAATTTGCCGGTTTATTATTTATTCATGAGATATTACTTAAATCTATTGAACTAAATAAATCTGTTGATAATGATTATATAATTATTATAAAACATTTGAATTTATCCAATATGAAATCTCTTCAATATTCAATCATATCAAATTCATTCTGGTTATTAAATTCTCTGATACCACAATGGATTAAACTTTTGGATGATCTATCAAAATTCCATTATATCAACTCATTCAATTCGTCATCATCATCGTCAATGTCAACATCATTCTCATCAACATCAGTAAAACAAGATCTACTGTGAATGAAAATAATAATAATCATTGTAATCGTGAATTATATAAATATATTAGTCAACTGTTTTTATCACTTCCACGATCTACATTCACTATGAATATTTTCAATAATATATCTAATCAGTTAATTACACGTATTACAATGTCAAATTGTGGTTTACAAACACTTCCATGGTGTTTATTTAATTGTGTTAAAAATTTAAAGGTAATAGTTTTGAATTTTTGGTACGTTAATAAAAATAGTAGAATGAATCTAGTTAACATCATTAATTGATTTTAATTAGATAATCAATAAAAATGAGAAATCATTGAACAACTGTCTTGTCATAATTTTGAAATATTAGTCAGTTCTCGTCCATATAGATCTCGAGCCTGGGACCACAAACCCTACTGTGAATACAGTACCTTTAAAATACTATATCGAAATTAGAGAGACTACTTGGTCATTATCTAAAGTTATTTACTGATAAGCAATATAGGACCTTGTTGTTATAATCCTCTCTTATGGTTATAACCCAGCTATTCCTATTACTTAGTATTCTCGGACACCGATTCACTCGAAAAGTCTCCCAAACCAGAACACGGTTGAACGGGGAAAGTGATTATATTCCATATAACAAGGTTAGATGGACGTAAGAAGCAAGCAAGTAACTGCAATAGGGAAAACGTTAGTATATTTATAGTTTTTCACATGAGATTTCTTGTGTTCACTAAGTATTGACTAACGCTGATTGGGTAAGAATTAGGCAATCAGCGTGCAGCAAAGCAATCGTCCATTGAGCATGCTTTAATCCAGTCTATGTCCCGCTAACACTTGTATTTTAGAACTGGGATCTCTATAGTTAAAAGACTAAACTTTCAATTAATTACTGGATTACATACTTGAAATCCTGATCCTTTAAATTTAATTTTGGGTAGTTGAATTAATGAGCATCTTTAACACAACTCAAACAAATGTTATGTCACTCAAAACTGAATACAAATACCTCTATTTCACTATGGATTTATATTCAGTTAATTTAGAAATTATTATAAACGGTGTAATTGTTCTTTACTGACGACTTACGATGGCTCTCGAACTGATTTTTAGCAAGTAAAAATACGGCTGATATAAGTGAATAACATATTATATAAAAACGCATAAAAGATTAGGTCAGAAGCCAAGGTTAAAATCTTGTGGAGCTACTCGTTCAAATAAATGATGAAAGTTCTTATAAACCAATTCGAAATGCTTGTCTAAATAGTTATGCCTATGTGTTAACACATACTATTACACTACTTTTCGTACATACACCTTTTGTTCCGATATTCCTTTATACATACCCTTCCATTGTCTTTTCTTACCACATTCTTGATTGTTTATTCTTTGACACTATCAATGCAACTACATCATTTCGATTTACTATTAACCGTGTTAATTTCTCGTCTTGCTCTTTTGGTATGACGAACTAAGTCAATACAATTATGTACGCTAGGCTGTATGTTGATTTTGATTGACTGACCTATCTTGCTTCACTGACAGAAATTCCAGTAAATTGAGTCAATGCTCTGCATACTTATGCCAAGTCTCGTACATTGATTTTGACTGAATAATTGATTAAATTTAATTTTTAAATCACGAACTGATCTTAGTTCGGTCGCTATTGAAAACCTAAAAGCTCTGGTAAGTCATTTCGTTCTAGTAGAGGACGGTTCAGCAACACACATCCACGACACTTTATATAGAAGTCGAACCTAGAACTTTCAGTCTAACATGTGGGGACGCTTGACCTCTAGATCACTGGACTGGAATTCGACGTTTTTTAATGGAAAACTTTAATCAATTCACAATATTGCGTGTTTATGTTTTCGTTATTATTTTACGAAAGGTTTTTTCTCTTTCTCTTTCGTAAATGTTTTTTAAAGGAATTAGATTTAAGTAAAAATCGTATTCGAAATTTACCTATACAACTACCGAATGTTCCAATGGCATATCGATCATGTCAATCCGTCTCTACTTGTTGGACATCTAGTTTGATTTATTTAGATTTATCAGAGAATTGTTTGGACTATTTGCCATCATGGTTATTTGTCAATATGTATGAATATGAACAAGGCATCATATCGCTCTCCTGTAGAGGAAAACTAAACAATGATGATGATAATAATAATGACAATCTAAAAGAACAATATGCACATGTTCTTACTGAAAAAACTAAGCTCATTGATTCCCATCCTCTTCGTCGATGTTATTCAGAGACCTCAGTCAATACCACTACTTCTTCATTACACCATACAACAGTGATGCATGATTCATTTGCACCAAATCTATTACATTTATTATTGTCAAAAAATCAGTTACGTGTACTACCACCGGAAGTATGGACAGGCTCATTATGGTGTAAATTAGAATTTCTTGATTTAAGTTGGAATGAAATTGCTTACTTACCAATGCCGAATTTATTAAAAGTACAATTTGAACATTCACGACAAATGTATAAGCAATCATTATATATAAAAGTTAGTTATAATTGTTTCATAATGATGTATTTTCCAATTAAATTTTATAATTTAATAGCATTTTTAAAGATTTATTCGGTATTTTGATTTTTGCCTATCAAGTAACTAGTCGTCATTGCTTATAGCGGAAAACAGTAGAAGAATGTACTTGATCACTATTTTGTTCTGGTTAGGTTTGTGAACAAGGTAATTTCAAGTGTTCTTAAAGGTTTATCAGAGCCAGTTATTATTTCCTGGTTGTCCTTAGTGTTGCCAACGGAAATCCATGTGGTAAAATGAGCTGTACCGTCTTTAAGGTCGATCTTTCCTTAACTCCCCTTTTGTCGTAGGATAGTGGCATCGTTACAAATGCTGCTTGTCTGTGGGAGACTTCGACAAGTTTTTCTGTATGTTTTGACCTTCTAAACTTAACTTTACTAATGTTAGTCCCACCCTTCTCCAGCCGACCTGCCCAGTATTACAGAACCTAGAGGAACACGTTTCCTGGTCTCAATTGGTTTATCATAATTCGGATTTCTCAACCTTACTGTATAGTGCGACCGTCATCTATTAATATCTATTCGATTTGATTTTGCTTACTTTATGGAAATATTGCTTTCCACCAGCAATTCGAACTATCCATGAGTGTTGAGCCCTTATTTGACCAAGAATTTTGTTCAGATAGTTCAAAATAGTATTCACTTCACCGGTGACTATCTTTTTCGGAATATATATATATATATATATATATATATATATATATATACGTGGATTCAAGATGAGAAACTGAGAATACCATTCGGTGCTTAGTACAGATAGTGAGAAAACGTTCATTGCAATATGACCAGACAAATAAATAAGTCTGACTGACTGAATCAAAAATGATTGACAAGAAAATTGCACAATAATGAACTGTTACTCATAATATAGTTGTAATATACAAATCTCACGATCTTTAAGCTGATATTCTGTTTCCTTGAAATGTAACACATCTAATAACCTCAAAATGCTAAAAATGACAGGAAATAAGCATGTATAATCTTGAAATATTTCCAGTTTAGCCGTTCTAGATTTGTCCGTTTTACTGTTTCGATGTTTTACCATCACTGTCAGTTGATCCTATTGATATGCTCTGATATTGACAGATAATTCCGATTTAAACATTAAAAATTAAAACACAAAGTTCAGCGAAGGGATCTCTTTTCAACAAATTTATTATCAAGCTGTACAATCGTATATATATATGTAAACTACTTCTATTCACATTCTTCTCTATGAAATGGTCTAAATAGCCATTTTCGGCCAGCGCTCGATTTCAACTCGGATATGGGAACACATCGTAGTTTGGTTCTACAAGGGTGAAAGGAAAGCAGTTAGGAGTTCGTCTGTAGTCATTCTATGGATCCACAGTTTGATTTTAAGGTTGTTTATATGATTCGTTCAAATCTACCTAGATTTCTTCGTATTCAGCTCATAAAATTAGCCGAAGCTCTTTACCATCCGTGAGCTCAAACCAGAACTATGCCTACAAAAGTAGTACGTCTTATCGTTATCGTTACCTTGACCTTAATTATTATTACTATTACTATTACTACTTCATTCTCCTTTACTTACGTCTTATATTCTTACTATTTTATTCTTAAATACTCATCATATCACCTTATTTATTTTTACATCTCTATGACCTTTAATGACCTTTAATTATTGTAACAAAAACATTTTAAGCATCTTATTATATTCACTAAATCTTATGTTGTTATATTGGTGTTTTGTAATGTAGTATTATAATCTTTCTATTACGTTCACATTTCCTCACGGAATTGGTACTTTAACAAAATTTCTTATTATTAGAAGGGGATTTTGTGGAGATTTTAGTAATTTCAATTTTTGAGATCATGTGTCGATTGAAGCTAGACCACCATGGAAAACCTGTAAGCACTGGACGCCCGTCTCGTCCTATTGTGGGACTCTTCAGCAGTGCGCATCCAGTACGCCTCGCGGGATTCGAAGCGAGAACCTACTGGTTTTGCGCACAAGCACTTAACCACTAGACCACTGAGCTAGCCGGCATCCAACGGTGTTAATGTCTAACTTCAACTAATCCATGAAATTGAGCGCCACATCCACCATTGTCATCAGTGAGTTACTATCTCACAACAGACCCGGTTGAACTCCACTGGTTACTGCTTCTCACTAGAACTCCAGGATATACATCTTGAAGCCAGTCACTAGTGAGCATATGTTAATTAATATCAGATGGGTTTTGTGGAGTTCTCGCAGGGGGCGAGGTCGTGGATGCGCACTGCTGAGGAGTCCCACAATAGGACGAAACGGCCGTGCAGTGCTTCCAGGTTTTCCATTGTGGTCTATCTTCAACTTATTTATGATCTTAACCATTGAAATTACTACAATCTCCACAAAACCCATAGGTTATAAAATTTCATTTGTTTTTCTGTTTCTACCTGGTTATACTATTATTATTATGTAATTTTTAAAAAAAATTAATAGACACAATGCTTAAAAGCAACTAATGAATTCAATTACAATATGCAATTTCCAAACAATATTGAAGAATTTGCATTCAATTTTAATTCAGAAAGTATTTCATGTTTACCAACTGATCAATTGATTACTACAATAACAAATTATTATCAACCTGTAGAAAATTATATTACTAATAATACGAAGAATTATAATGATAAATTATTGAAAAGAAAATCTGTTGACTGTTTTTATCAATATGGTATGTGGATAAATTTGTTAATTGATTAGAAAGTTAAAAATTTTTATGGAGTGTGGGGGGGAGGTAAGAAGTAGTTTTTTTTTCTTTCGAGATTGAATTCTCTGATCTGAGGAGGTTTAATTTGGAAACTTTCTATTATCTTTTCAGACAACATTATCAGTATATATACGTAAGCTTACGTCTATCTAGTTTGTACATAGAAAGATCATCAGAACTTAATGATTGAACTACATAGTTCAGAGAATCCAATTTCAAAAAAGTTGTCTACCTAAGTTACAAATCTCTATCATCTTGAAATGAAATAATATGACTGGCTTGAAAAGAGATTATTAGGGTTCCAATTTATTTACATTATAGTATGTCTCACAAACCCTGGTAACTGATAATTTCTCAACATAAGTTAAGAAAAACTTTCTTGATATTTGTAAACTTAATCCATATTTTTTGTCAGTGTAGTGTTTGCCTATCAAAGGTCGCGTATTGTGTGCAGCGGCTTGTTGTTTACCACGTACGAAACATGACTTTTTTTTACGAAAGTGCTAAAATCTCATTGTAGGTGTTTTCGAAGCATTGATTTGTATATAGTGAAACCAATATAGTGAGTGTTGATAAGGTTAAGTGAAGATTGTTAGATAAAAGTGGTTAAATGTTTGTGGAGATTGTTGAGCTTAGTAGCTAAAATGACTTCATAATTTCTACACTAACTATAATCATGTACTTATTAGTGCTTAATTTCTAGAAATGAACCGTGGAGATGTAGGAAAAAGCCATGACTAGTAAGACAACTAACTATCAACGGATTCGGAAGATGGTTACGCAAAGTTGCGAATTGATTGAATTTAAACTTGTAAGCTGCTAGTTGCGAACTTGTAAGGCTTGAAAATCCTGAGTTTGCTCCAGTGGGGTCGTTGGTAAGCTCCATTGAGGAGTTTCATACTTAAAAGAAACATTCGCCCAACGCTTCCTGATTTTCAATAGCTGTCTAACCAATATCAGCTTGTAATGTAAACTATAAAGGATGACAAGTCAATTAATGATGTGCAAATCGATTATCTACCTAATTTTATTAGGGATTCCATTAAAAATGACTCAAAGCCGAATACACGTTTCTGTATTTCGTTACTGATTTGTGTTAATGAAATCATTCATCACTATAACCAATATATTTGGTGTGCTATCAAAAGGTATTCAGTATTGTAAGTGTAAAGTTTTTGTTCTGTCGATTACCAAGTTATTGCTTCTGAGAGCGCTGTTCAGTCGAAGTATTTCTGTTGTACTCTAGTCTTATGAAATGCACACTATCCCCTCAAATCATGATGGAGTATGACGAACAATTAATTAAAAGACCTCGTGATTTCAATTATAAATTGTTGATTACATTGCATTATTCGAATACTTCAATGAGTTCAGTTAAAATCTTTATACCATCTCTTTGTGCTTCTATGTTTTTCCCTATTTAATAAGTCCTAACGGAAATATATTTGTTTCTGTCAGTTTAATCCTCTAAAAAGTATATTACATTCACTCGAGGTTACAGTTTGTTAACAAGTACAATCATATATGTAAAATGAAGATTTAGCACTTAAAATGATTCTTATTATAGATAGTATTTTTGGTTATGAATTACTGACTTTTGGAATTCAGCAGCTCAATAAATAATCCATAGGCATTTGAAGCAGATTTTTCTGGGTTATAGCCTTAATGATGTAGACATTGACATTGAAATGAAAATTCATCCAGCCGATAAGTCCTAAGTAGGACGAGAAACGCTTCCTAGATTTCATTGTTAGTTACAATACATTTATTCTAAACAATACATAATAAGTTATATCTAGTATTACAGATAGGTAGAAAGTAAACAGTTTTGTCTGACACTGGTGCCCACTTGGAATGGATCTGCCATCTTTCCTCCATGCACCACTTTGCAATATAGTTCATCGTATGAATTTTGTATGATGTTGTCGATCTTTTCAGGTACACCATAGTGTCGTATAAGGTGGTTCCGTAAGGTTCTCCTATCCAGGATGTCAAACGCTTTCTCATAATGGTGACGAATTCCATCTGTAGCTCTTCTAATGTTACTGCCGATCATAAACCCAGGCAGATGAGGAGAGTTGGTCATCGAGTAAGTAACCACATCTCATAGAAACACAACCTTACTAAAAATACGCTAATCAGAATAATCAATTTTCATTGACTAATACGAGAAAATGAACCGTATTTATTGATTTATTCATTTGTTTATCTGTTTATTTTAATTACAGAACAACATACAAGTCATCTTACACATCTTTTGTTACATCATAATTGTCTTAAAACATTACAATTAACCAATTCAATAAACAGTTATTCAACTCGTATACATTCATCAAAATTATTACAAAAAATAAGTCTTGCTCAAATCTGTCCAAATCTTCTATATTTAGATGCTAGTTATAATTCCATTGAGAATTATTTCGATTTATTTCTATGTCCAGAATCTATGATTTATATTGATTTAAGTTATAATCATATGAAAATCCCTGATGATGATGATCATCATCATCATCATTATCAATATGATTCTCAATCATCCTCATCATCAATAGTTTGTCAGTTTGAAACTCTTTTTAAATCATTTTCTGATAAGAATAAATCCAGGTAAGTATTTAATTATTTCATTGTTCTAAATGCGATTTCACTTGTATAACCTAAATGAATTAGCTGAAATAAGAATCATAAATTTGTAATTTAACAGACTATAAGGTAATACGGTCCTGTTGAGGAATTTGTGGGTCCTGGATTTATTGTGCTGATGGAGTGGGTGTTTAGTGTCATTGAAAGTAGGGAAACCATTGTTCAATGTTGCATGATGTGCTGTGGTTTTATTTAACCGATGTCAGTTCATGATGTGCCGGAATTCAGGACGCTGATCTCACACCACTTAAGACTCATCAGTTGCATGTATCTGTATTTCAATGTTAACATTTACGTTGGGTCTGAAATTCCATGTATTTGGCTTCAAAAATCATTGTGTTTTCCGCTGAACTACAGAGCCCATATCATTGCTGATTCGCTTAACAGATTTCAATATCATTATTAGTAATAACTTAAATTATGTTATAATCCCAAATCGAACATCAGTGCAGGGTTGCAGATACATCTTACTAGCAAGTCTCAAATAGGACAAAACGTGAGTCCTTCACCTCACTCCTCCATCCATAATTGATCAATTCTACGAACAAAAACTTGTAACAAAATAGTTATACCGAAGCAGTCCGCACACAGAATGTACATATCTCAACAATGACTAACCAGAATTCATTCTTCAGTAATATCAACATCAGGTCGATTCCAATCCTTTTTACTGATGATATACACCATTTCTTATGTAATATTTCTATGTGTATTGCATATGAAATATCTTTTTTTTCGTTCTAACTTCTTTCACTACACAAACATTATTATTATTATTATTATTATTACTATTTTTCATATATTTAGCTCCACATCGTATTCATTACGTAATTGGGATTTAAATAAATTCCCAACGTGTAATTATTACTCAAAATTGGAGCATCTCAATTTAAGAGGCAATCAATTTCACATATTCCCTTATTGTTGTTATACTAACACATTAATGAATAAACTTAATCAAACTAAGGTATTTTATAATCAGTATTTCTTCTGCTTTTTGTTGGTAAAATATATTTTATTATTTTCAAAAAGATAGTTTTGTTACTTTAAGAAAAACACAGTGAGGCTATAATTTATGGACGACCTTTGAGCGACGCTAAAGTGATCTTGAGTGTGTTCACCTTAAAACTAGGACCGAAATGAGGGTTATAAACAGTGTGAGGAATTAGAATTATGATTTACAGTTGGTGGTTAGGGTTAGGAATTACATTTCGGGTTTTCATCACGAATTGACATAAGCTATAATGCCAAAACTTTATTTAGCTAAATGGACGGGAGAATTTTGCGCTAAAATCCGAGACCTGTTATCTTATACCTGATTGATTCTCCCCCCAAAAAACTGTTCATTGTTTCAATAGTAGAACAAATTTGTACATGAATTACAATAAACATGATCCTGAGATACAATAGTCAAGACAATATGTTGAGTCTAAAAACAACCAATCAGATAATTTAAAGGTCAATAGAGGTGGGAAATATAAATTGAGAAAAAGTTACCATAGACTTTCTTATATATCAGAACTATCAAAGAATTACAAAAAATAAGATAATTTCATGTTTGTCTACTACATAAGTCATTTATTATTTATAGTTAACTGATTAGTTGATATGATGTGTACACTCAAGTGTATCAGTTAATAATATCCTTTATATTTTCAATAGTACTATCATAAACATCTTTAATATGATTAGTCTTATCATTAAATTGTATTCATTCCTTTAGATATTCAATGAATTTCAACTGATCAAATCACTTTCATTCGGTATACAGCCATCACAAGAAACAAATCTGGGATCATCTTATTTAATGTCAACTAAAAATGAAATTGTTCTGTTATTTCCAAAATTGAAAACATTAGACTTAGGTGAAAATCCTTATTTGAAATGTATCTGTCCTAGTCTATTACATTTAATTAATTTACAATACCTTTCATTGGATTGTTGTATAACATTGTGCGAGGTAAAACTATTATTTGTTTTTTTTGGTGTTTTTTTATTATTATTGTTGTTGTTGTGATTTGTACTTATTTGGCAGAATGCCAACTACTTTTATTCCCCATGATCATCGTGATTATAAAGCGTACTTTGTGTTTATAATCGAATGAAATTCATTTTGTATTTGAAGATACTTTATAGTTATCTATCGACTATCTATCATAATACACCTCTGGATTAAAGGAAATAACGCCCCCCCTCAAATTCGAACACTTCACTTCTACCTGACGTTTTTGCTGATGATATCGTATAGAATAACGATGAAAGCTCCACGACCAAACCATCCAGCTCAGAAAACAAAACTCCACCAAAATCCCTCAAAATAGCTTCCGTTGTTTTTCATGGCTTCCTTATTTCTCTGTCCACATCACGTATACTGATTACAGACCAGATACTTTAACCACGACACTTTGATAGAAAGCTATGATCATACTGTTGGTGATATTGAATTGTAATAACTCTAAAAGAATTTCATATATGGTCATGATTTCTAAATGTTGTTGCGCTTAGATTTTCACTTGATTCAATGAAGTTGCTACATAGAAAATGTTCTAGACGAATTTGTAAATATACACTTGTTGAAATTAAAAGTTTTATCCATTAAAATGTTTCTTTGAAAAACTAATCAAACTTGTGGCTGCATATTTACATTCTACTAAAAATACTCCTTTAGTTCGTATCACATCTTTTTAGATAACATTTTTCAATACTAGCAGTTGGAAGTGTTGGCTTCGTATATACATACAGCTGGAACTGTTCAATACTTTGTAAACTAGAAATCGGTGTATGAATATACGTTTCTAACTCAGTGATCTGAATTTTAAGCAGTCAACTCGGAGCGTGATGGTTTGGGATCCTATTGTAATTGAGGTTTTGGACGTGCATTTCTGAGGAGTCCGACTTCAGGGTTATGAGATGTTTATCGATCAACGTCAAATCGGGATGTTGAATATCGAAGTTACAATGAATAATTTTAGTGAAGCAGACACTCATAACACTTTAGTTTCCTGAAGTATACACACATCTGAACGAAAAGAATGAAATGATTGCGATTGAGTCAAAAAATTACAGAGCGATATGATATTTGTCTACAGTGCTCCTGAGGTTTAGATTTGGGGTTATGGGTCGTGTTTAAGATTGGAATTAAGGTTATAGTTATGATTAAGGTTAAAAGTATGGTTTTGAGTAGGAACAAATGTAAATGTATTCATAAACTAATCTTAAATTATGGGCTTTTACTATGATACTAATCTTCAACTGTAACGGTTAAAAACTCATAACAACTTAGAAATATTAATGGATTCTGTTCTTTAAAAGTTCTTTTTGATATTCACTTATAATCCTTTCATTCATTCTTACTGCTTTCCGATCTGTCGAAGTAAACCCAGGGTTAGCTCATAGGCCGCTTAATCTGGATATCACAGTTTAACCCTTGCAATCTAATTTAAGTTGGTATTTTTCGCATTTACTATGTACTCTATAGCTTAGTGTCTGACTTGGCCAATTACTCACCCGACCAGCGCTAATATACTTGAGTTAACAACTAAATTCTTATTGGTCCACCATTCGCAAGCTCCTCTCTATGACCTGCCTTTGAGTCCAAAAGTCAGTTCCCATCCTCTATTATAATAATATTTCAAACAGACATGGTTTATCTACATACATACCGGATAGTATCACACCATAAACTGAAAAGTAATTATACATAAACAAGTCAAAACTGATTGTGAAATGGACAAACTGTGAATAATAGACTTGGAAAATATTAAGAATAATAAATCGTATAACGTTATTTAACAGATCAACTGAAAGCTTATGATTAACGGGATACATAGACGTAGTAATCTAGTTACTGGATAATTGTACAATACGAATATATATATATATATATATATATATATATATATATATATATATATATATATATATATAATGATAATAGTTCATAAATCAGTTTTGGGATTTACCATTCCTTCAATTTCCCTGCTGACATATCACCATGTACTGATTTTTTTAAAGATCCATCATAACATTTATTTTTTAAATTTTAGCTACCGGGTGGTTTATTTCGTTTGCCAAATCTACAAAGTATTTTACTAAATAAAACACCATTTGTTAAACATTTAGCAACACTGATCGATCCTACCTTAAAACTAAACCAAGTTGTTGGAATACAAGGCAATAACAATAATGATAATGATGTTAATGATTATCCAAATTTAAATGAAAAAATCTACACACGACGTATACTTTCATGTTTGAAATCAGTAACAGATCAGTATGTATCTATGTGTGTTTGTGCTAGTATTCTTTGTATTTTGTTGTTTCATTTTGATCACTTCCCATATACACTGTGTTGTGATTTTCTATCTGATTAAGTTGTATTTTTAGTAATCTGGGTGTATTTGTGAAGATAAGTTTTGAATTTGACCATCGCGATTTCATACGATAAACAAAAATGGACTTGAAGTGGGATTACACGAACTGACAACAGATATAATTGTTACTCTTATATCTTTATTGTTTACTGAGCCACGAAATATCGAAAAACGAAATCTGGTCTGTGATTGAAACGAATAATTGTTTGGGGGAACCGAGAACATTCCTTGAAGGAAGCCAAAAGAGGCCCTGAACACTCTGGGAGACATTTTTCTCCAATTAACATTGAATGGAGGTTTCTCGGAAACATCCAGAAAGTGAGGAATCGCGTGTCATATTTCTGATTGGATGATTACCTATTCTGCTACTATGTTCTGTAGGATTACGGAACTTTTCAGACGCCCTATGCCATCTGAAATGCTATATATGTCTCAAATTTTCTGTACATAAAGTAACATTGGAGTAAAGCATTCTTTCCATATTTCGCGCCTTTTCTCTCGTGTTCAAGTTGTCGTCTAGAGTTAGCCTGCAGCTATTAGAAGAGCTTAGGAACGTATTCCAGAGTCCAGTTATAAGATTTATCAATGATTAATTAGGAAGAAATTCAATGTTTATATTTGTATATATATAATCAGTATACAATTACAATGCGAAATGATTAAATTGTTTTTGCTGATTGGTCCGCTAGTCAACGGAGCAGATTGCCCAATAAGGTTGTTCCGACAGCTATGTAGAAACGTGAATGAAAGAGTTATGACTTGTAGCCTTGTGCCATATTAATATGTAACTTGATGATACTGCCAATTAGAGAACAGTGACTTATGGACCGAACCAATGATAAATAAACCCATATGAGCAGTCTAAAGTCCTCATCGGTCCTTCTTCCTGCCTAACCCTGCCTGTTGAGTTCAGAACACCAGTCTCAGCCTCCACAATATGAATCATTTATTTCAAACATACTGGGTTTATATACAAGCCAAACAGATTATATCACACCATAAAGTAGGAAATAATATTTGTACAAGATCTAGCCAAAGGTGCCTGCAGTTGTGGGGACTGTCATTAATAAACTGGGTATAACTTAAGAATAGTAAACCGTATAATAATCGTTTATAGGTCAAAACAAATTTATAAAATGGGGAATATGAGTATACATAGTTTACTTACGTAACAATTATACAATAAAAAATTTACGAATAATATTAGTCCATAAATAGATCCCAACAGTTACCATTCATTATTCTCATCGGGACATAATAGAAAGTCTGGGTTAGAAAATGTTCCGTTCAACAGACCATCAATGATCAAAAATATTGATTTCTTGTTCAGCCTCTCAATTTTTATCTGGAATTGTTTTTTCTTTGATTAATGGTTTGATGTTAGCTGAACATCGATTTGAAAAATTCAAGCATTACTAACCGAAAAGTAGCACATCCCAATACTCCTTATTGGTTTCCTTCTTCATCAGTAGAGACTTACAAATTCGAATCTAATACATCATGAAGTACTCATAAACGGCCGTGTATGGTCGGCCTCATGCAGATCTTGGGGTCTGCATTTATGCTTTCTGGTAGTCAAAACATACTTAACTCAATTTCAGAGCCCTCGAGAAGGAGTGTCTGTTAATGAAACTACAAAGTGTCTGTTTGTTATGAACAACTGGAAAGTGATAACTGCTCACATACTGTTAGCACTATGCTAGTTCATCTCGTGTTAAGATACAAACTTGGAGTTAAATTTTATTATACCAGTTGCTTAATTATTCTCTCTAGGTTTCTTCGTACGAATAATATATCTACTCATATACTACTTTACGATACTGAGTGAGTCGGATGTGTATGCATTAAGGTAGTCTAATTACCGATAAACATTCTGTTCATAGTATACTAACAACTATACAGTCGTAGTTCGTTTGCTATTTCATTCGAATTTCAACTAATTAGTCATATGCTCGAATCCTCTTCATTTGTTTCTATGCAAGCATCTGAGTAAATGCCACTTAGTGCCACATCAAGTATAATTTTAAGTTGAGTACATAAATCTGTATTTGAGATAAATGAATCATTTATTAATAATAATTTTAATGAGCAATTACATCATATGCATTATCAATAAAAAAATCGATAATAAATTATCCATTTCAATAGTAAATTCGTCAGTTTTATGGTCATAATTAATTATTTATTTATTATTGAAACACGTCAACATTGGTACAAGGAGGCATCAAATAGATATGCGCCACACAAATCATTCGATTCCTGTGAGGGCTGGGATACTTTCGGGGTGCCCAAACCGAAGCAGGTGGTTTTCTTAGTGAGTCACGCCCGGAGCCTTCGACTCAAAGGTCTGATTCATATGGCAGTGGGGCAACGTCAGGAGATGCAGTCCCATGGTAGCCGGTGACCATACTAGGTTTGTTTCCTAAAGATCCTGGAGCCTATCTATACCAATGGTTTGGAATCAGGGTTTCCCAACTTCCCTTGGTGGATCCTTCATATCCACCAATCCGGTTAAAGCGCCGGACATTCGTCTTCCGTCTCATCAATTTCGTGAACAACACTCCCGCCTCGAGGAGGTAGTGAGTAGGACTTCCCTGTCAGTGGTTGTATGCATATGGCCGTGTGAGAGCATTTAGAGAGGGAGAGCTGACTCTCCCCACTCTCGGTCATTTGGGGGCTATGATAATAATAATAATAATAATAATAATAATTTTTTATGATTTGATTGAACTAAATTTAATGATTTTATTCTCACTAATTCTTAATAGTTTGATAATTAGTAATTCTATTGCACATTCGATTGATTTAATTTCGAAAAGATCCTATCCGTATACTCGATTTCGTGTAATGGTTGTCGGTCCAACAGGAGTGGGTAAAACTACATTAATTCGTTTGTTACAAGCATCTGAAACTGGGAAATCTTCTTTTCAAACTAATTTCAATGAAAACGCAAGTTCCTATGTGATTTTGTTTTTATTTTTCCCCCTGTTTTTTTTATCACTATTGTACATATATGGTCAACAGTGAATCCTTGGGCTTCAGTTTCATGCAGTTGATACTCGTCAATATGGTGTAACCTTGAGAAAGCAGATGCTCCTTGTGGGATTGGAACGCCACGTCACTCAGCTTTGCAATCTGAAATGCTGCCTCTAAGTCATTTCAGTTCTCAACTGACCTTTCATCAAACTAAGCTATTCACTTTGTTTAGTTTGGTTATGCCGGTATATGCTGGATTCCCCTCGTCTCACTGTACTGAGTATTGCGGCCTTTATACAATGACTGAAGTCGAATTCATCACTTTCAAAATCTTTGTTCAAGTCTTTTGTGATTTCTGTTTTCTTTATTGGTTAAACTCTGTAAAAGATTCTACATCAATAAAATAACTATTCTTGATGAACACTTTCTAAAGTAGTCATAAATGCTTCTGGACTGTTTTTAGATTCGAAATTCGAGTTCTTCTTGTCAAGTGATATAGTGAATTATAATGAAGCTTAAACTAGTCGGGAATAAATTATAATCTTCTCAGTTGACATCAATTTGAATTCGGTCAAATTTTATAAAATAATATTTAGTCAGTCATATATATGCATATATCAACTGTTTAGTTGGACGAAATTTTTGAAGAGTGGTTTGATTTGTATGTTGTAAGCGTTACAGATTAACTTTTAACTAAACTATGCTAGTTAGTTCACTAGTGACTTCTTTCAACATGCTCTGTGAATTCTTCTAAGGAGTCATGACTTGTTGAGTTCACTCATGTTGTGAGTGAGATAGTTGTTACGAGTGACATTTGATGATTGATGATCTTTATCGCAAATAGAATGAAGTTGAAATTATTCAGTCTGTTAAACCGTTCATCGTAAACCTTTAGGTTCCTTTTAATAATCCTCAGTTGTATTGTTAGCGTACATTGTTTACGAGTCCCATACTAAGATAAGATAGCTGTCCCGTGCCCTCAAGAGTATCCAGTGGTACATAAACTACGATTAATATCTACTATGTACATGTATGATTTGTAATTTCTGTTCTACAGTGAAGAGATGGTTCAATAGTTCGAGTACATGACACTTCCAACCGTTGATTTGGCTTTTCAAATTACCACCCTCATACTAAAACTTATACATCACAGGCGAATAATAGGGTGTTGCTAACTTACATCTGATTCTTGATTGTTCTTGAATTTGAACTTAACTTTATCAACAAACATTTAAACTGATTTTGCTTATTTGTTGTAGCCATTCGAAACTGATTTGCATACGCTATCATCATCATCATCATCATCATTGCGATCTAATGAAACTGATAAGATACCAGATCATCTCTTACCTTCAGTTCAAATTACAAATTTAACAATAAGTCGTCCTAATAACAGTAAACCTAATGAATCTATTAACTCAGTAAGTACTAAGGAAAAAATGTTATGTGTTTTGACAAATTTCTTGTGTACTGCATTTATATATTCTATTTTAACTCTATAATTGAATGAATATTGATAGTCTTTGAAGAGTTATATCAATGTTTGTTTATGAAAATTGGATATTGGCTAATAATGGAATCTATGACGTATATTTCGTTCTATTTAGAACTTGTCAGATGGATATACCAATTTCTCCCAGTATTGATGTTCACATTAAGATTAAAAACTCAGTAACTTTCATTTCAAACCTTCAGTGTATAATTCACTGAACTACCCGAGTTAAAATAACTACAAGCTTGTACCGCGTTTGTGTAGAAATTATTTTTTAGGATTTGTATTTTCACATTGTTGATGTTAGGTTCTGAATAAAAGGAGATATACGTCCTGGATACTACTAGCTAGTCACTATCCAAATTTAGTAATAACCTTGTAATACATACCAAGGAAAGAGTTGGTTGGAGAATCCTAGTTGGCTGCTTATGCTCCTCCACAAGGGGTAACAGGCGTAATTTATTTATATGCTTGATATGTTAATTTAAATCACACTTCCACATATTCCATTCATTCTCACGTCAGCACTAATCATAATTACAATATATATTTTAACCCGCTAGCTAAATATTGGTTTATAAATTTGGATTTCGAGCTATGTATTTATGTGTTTAGGAGCTGGTGATACATATACCCGGTTGTCCTCACCAATTAAATAGACATAGGATTCATTTAGTCAATACCACTTCATACATGCCTCTATATACGTCACTCTAGAAGCATCTGAACACGAAGTAGTTGTAAGCATAATTATTATTAAGTTTTAAGAACATAGATTCCCACGAATTCTCCGTCTTCTTTTTTCACACGTTTTTGATCAAGCATTTAGGATTGTGCATTAATAATTAAATTGAACCAAATAACGCAATAGTATTCTGGCAACGAAGATTACCAATTAAGTGCTATATCCAAAGCCAAAACACCAAAATCGATATCATCAAAAGATCCTAAATGGCTTTTACGAAATTAATGTAAGATAACACAATTGAGAGAATAATACAAATGATCGCTTAGAGCTTGTAGGTATCAGTGTCAAGATTAGACTTGATAGTTTCAATTAAACTCAGCATTAGGTAGAACAAATGACTTACATTAAGTCAAAAAAAGGCAGAAATACAATTTTGTAAGATGGTGGAGTAGATTTGTAGCTCAGATGGATGATTTATGTGGAGTTACATTCGTTGAGCTGGACGTTTTGGTTGCGGAGCTTTCATTGTTCTTCTGAACAATCTCTCTCTCTCTCTGTGAAGTTTATATTGAACGCCTACTGGTTAAAATATTTTCAGCATTTCCCCATCTTTTGAAGAATTCTTGAAGGCTACCAACACAGTCTAAAAAGGACAGCTTGATTATAGAGAGATATAAAAAAATTTAATATATGAAGTAGAAAATTATTCCTACGTCTTTGTGTACTCTTGACAATTTGTTTACAATCAAATGAACTTAAAATGAAATCGGATTATTATTGATTGTTTCATCAATCTAGAAATATATGACCGTAAATCACAGTGCGTGATGATCACTTGATGTTGATCGGGTAGATCATATTTCTGAAAAGATTTTATCTTTAGTTCTAAAGTTTCAACTCTATACTCCATGAATTGTTTCTCCATAGACGTTGAAAGATTACTGCTACGATATACCTTCCTCCGTATATATATATATATATATATATATATATATATATATCGTTTATGTTATTTTCCTTTCCATCTCTTTCTCTAATTCAACAGAATGTTTCAAGTGGAATTACTAATAATAATACTGATAATAATCGTAATTTTTGTGAGACATTATCATTCAGTATTTGGGATTTAGAAAAAAGGGTGAACACCACATCATCTGTTAATACTACTACTAATGATAATGATCATTTCGGAAGTAGCATATCTGATATGTCGTCTGAATTAGCTTATCCATCAGAAGTAATAATTAATACTCAATTGGGTATACATTGTCAATTAACGATATATTTAGTTCTGTGGAATACAGTCGATGGTTTATTAGGATTAAATCGTATTACCCCATGGTTAATGAAAATCAAGGTAATATTTATTTTCAATTTTTAATTGATAATTAAATAATAATTTCTTTTCTTAATATCTGTCTTTATCGTTGTAACTGTGCATTTGTGTATGTGTATATATTTGGGTCTTCAAAATATATCTTTTGCCTGAGTATTATTTATGTTCCATATCTGTACACGATGCCCAAAGATTATGCCTTGCAGTTAGTTAGGTTTTCATTGATTGAAGAATGAGTAACCCATAAGTTCATTTCCTCCGATAGCCTATGAAATTTTACCACGTTTATTTTGTGACCATATTCTGTTTATAAACATTATGTTCTGTCACAATTCATTTATCTAGCGGTCTTGTTTTTTGATGTGGAGGTTTAAGTCAATAATGCAGTCTCATAAGTAGTCACCATTTGGCTACACTTCATATTATTACGTTCATATTACATCCTACGCATTGAGTTTAACAATCGAAAATTCACTTATCGATCGTTAAAAAGCTGCCTTCGCAACAATCTTTTTTATTACGTACCTCTATATTGTGTGATGATATTTTCGCATTGGGGTTTTAAAGCATAACTAAGACATAAGATTTCGTTTTTAGGATCTCACATCAACGGTCATGCTAAGTTTAAAGTCCAAAATTAGTCAAAAGTGAAACGTTTGACAAAATGATTTTTCTCTTAGTGAAAACTTAACATTAATATTAAGAAATTACAAACCTCGAAATGTGAAGTGTCCAATCACTATGCCGATCATATTGAATAGATTAGCATAATCTAAACAAAAATGGTTTCTTTCAATTAACCAATAGGCAATAAATCTTAGTAGCTACGTAAAATTAATAAAAAGCATACGACTTTATCTAATGAAATTATCAATGATTAACGAAAATCGTTTAAGAATAATATTTCAACAAGTACCATCATGAAAATATACTTAAATATTAAAAAAGGAATACATCGCTAAGTAGTTTACTATTTTAACAATTAAGTACTTACCACCACATCTGATAACTCCGCCTGTAGCTCTAATAGGGTTACTGCCGGTCCCAAGCCCGGGTAAAGGAGGAGGGTTGGGCATGGGGTTAGCGTCCCCATCCCGTAGAAAACTAACTCGCTAAAAAAACGCTTACCAGAAAAAATTATTCAAACCATTTAAACTCTGCCCTGGGAGTTAGAAGGTCTTCAGTTAGAAGAATTATGACGCTTCATGGTGAAAGCCGAGTTCCTTCGGAAGCCACGAGGCCGATGCCCCTTCTAACAACCAGAGCAAAAATTTTTATAGGTACATGGAACGTTCGAACAATGTGGGAAACCGGGAAGACCAGTCAAATAGCAATGGAAATGAGGAGATACAACTTAGCAGTACTGGGAATCAGCGAAACCCACTGGACCCAAGCTGGACAGAAAAGGCTAGCTACGGGAGAGATGCTGCTATACTCCGGTCACGAGGAGGACAATGCTCCACACACTCAGGGAGTCGCTCTTATGCTGTCCAAAGTAGCACGAAATGCACTTGTAGGATGGGAGTCTCACGGATCCAGAATCATCAAAGCATCATTCAAAACAAAGAAGGAGGGGATCTTAATGAATATTATCCAATGTTATGCACCCACCAATGATAGCAACGACGACATTAAAGATCAGTTCTACGAGCGGCTACAGTCAATCATTGAGAAATGCCAAGAAAGGACCTAACTATTCTGATGGGAGATCTAAATGCCAAAGTCGGAATAGACAACACCGGATATGAAGATATCATGGGACGACATGGACTGGGACAGAGAAACGAAAATGGAGAAAGATTTGCAAATCTATGTGCATTCAACAAATTGGTCATAGGAGGCACAATATTTCCACACAAGCGTATACACAAGGCTACATGGATCTCACCGGACCACACTACAGAGAACCAAATAGATCATATTTGCATCAACAAAAAATTCCGAAGGACAATGGAAGATGTAAGAACCAGGAGAGGTGCTGACGTAGCTTCAGATCACCACCTAGTTGTAGCCAATTTAAAACTGAAGCTAAAAAAGAACTGGACAAGTGGACAAACAGCACTACAAAGGTTCAATACAGCCTTCCTTCGAGATACTGACAAACTCAATGAATTCAAGATAGCTCTCAACAACAGGTTCCAAGCCTTACAAGATCTACTGAAAGAAGAAGAAACTAGTATGGAGGACAACTGGAAAGGCATCAAGGAAGCATTAACTTCAACGTGTCAAGAGGTTCTGGGCCTAAAGAAACACCATCATAAGGAATGGATCTCTATAGAAACACTGGACAAGATCAAAGAAAGGAAGAACAAGAAGGCAGCAATTAACAACAGCCGAACACGAGCAGAGAAAGTCAAGCACAAGCTGAATACATAGAAGCAAACAAACAAGTGAAGAGGTGCATTAGAGCCGACAAGAAGAAATACGTGGAAGAACTAGCAACGACGGCAGAAAAAGCTGCTAGAGAAGGAAATATGAAACAGCTTTACGATACAACGAAGAAACTAGCAGGGAAATACAGTAAACCAGAGAGGCCGGTCAAAGACAAAGAAGGCAAGCCAATCACCGAAATTCAACATCAGCGTAACAGATGGGTGGAATACTTCGAGGAACTCCTGAATAGGCCGGCTCCAATGAATCCACCGGACATCGAAGCAGCACACATAGATCTTCCTATAGATGTCAACCCACCAACGACGGAAGAAATTAGAATGGCCGTCAGACAAATCAAGAACGGGAAAGCAGCAGGACCCGACAACATACCAGCTGAAGCACTGAAATCAGACATCGAAGCAACCACAAGCATGCTGTACCTTCTATTCAAAAAGATTTGGGAGGAGGAACAAGTGCCGATGGACTGGAAAGAAGGACACCTCGTCAAGATTCCAAAGAAAGGAGATCTGAGCAAATGTGAAAACTACAGAGGCATTACACTACTGTCAATACCAGGGAAAGTCTTCAACAGAGTGTTGCTGAACCGGATGAAGGATGCAGTAGACGCCCAACTTCGAGATCAACAAGCTGGATTCCGTAAGGATCGGTCGTGCACAGACCAAATTGCAACACTACGGATCATCGTCGAACAATCAGTGAGTGGAACTCATCACTATACATCAACTTCATTGATTATGAAAAGGCATTCGACAGTGTAGATAGGAGGACATTATGGAAACTTCTTCGACACTACGGAGTTCCTGAGAAGATTGTCAACATTATCCGGAACTCATACGACGGACTACAGTGCAAAGTAGTGCATGGAGGACAGCTGACAGATGCATTCCAAGTAAGGACTGGAGTCAGACAAGGCTGTTTACTCTCTCCCTTCCTCTTTCTTCTGGTGGTCGACTGGATTATGAAGACCTCGACATCTGAAGGAAAACACGGAATACAATGGACAACTCAGAATCAATTAGACGATTTGGACTTCGCAGACGACCTAGCCCTCCTATCACGTACACACGAACAGATGCAGATGAAGACAGCCAGTGTAGCAGCAGTCTCTGCATCAGTAGGCCTCAGCATACACAAAGGGAAAACCAAGGTCCTCAAATTCAAACGCAGAACAGCAATCCAATCACTCTTGATGGCGAAACTCTGGAAGATGTAGAGTCCTTCACATACCTAGGAAGCATCATCGATGAACAAGGAGGTTCAGATGCAGACGTAAAGGCGAGGATCGGCAAAGCAAGGGTCGCATTCCTACAATTGAAGAACATATGGAACTCAAAACAACTTTCAACCAATATCAAAGTGAGAATCTTCAATACGAACGTCAAGGCAGTTCTACTGTATGGAGCTGAAACTTGGAGAACTACAACAACCACCATCAAGAAAGTACAAGTATTTATAAATAGCTGCCTACGCAAGATACTCAACATCCACTGGCCGGATACCATCAGCAATAGCCTTCTGTGGGAGAGAACAAAGCAACTTCCAGCTGAAGAAGAAATTAGGAAAAGACGATGGAAATGGATAGGACATACATTACGCAAATCGTCAAACTGCATCACGAGGCAAGCCCTAACTTGGAACCCTGAAGGGAAGCGAAAAAGAGGAAGGCCAAAGAACACATTGCGTCGGATAATAGAAGCAGATATGAAAAGGATGAATTACAACTGGACGGAGCTAGAAAGGATTGCCCAGGACAGGGTTGGATGGAGAATGCTGGTGAGTGGCCTATGCTCCTTCACGAGGAGTAACAGGCGTAAGTAAGTAAGTAAGTAACCACATCTGATAGTCCTTGTTACCTCCTTGATCTTTCTACCCACTTTCGTGCAGAGAATAACTTGTCTAATCTAGATTAAGACCTTGACGCGATAGGATGACCGACTTAACCTTGAAGCTAGTATGCGTGAGTTCGAAGTGAGATCAACTACTTGGAGTAGAGAGACGAAAACTATACTATCACGTGATTGGCTGACAAGCACATGAGTAAGAGAAGACAAGTCAACTGGAACACTACACGATTTATTCTCAATTCCGATATGGTTCCCGATTCCAGATCAGTGTAAAAAGATACATGATGAATAAATAAATGGGTAACCAGACCACAAAGCACAAGAATTAGGAAAATACAATTGTCGAAAACTGGAGATTAGCTTATAAAATAGAGTAGAAAATATTACGTTTGAATTACAATAACTTTGGAACAAAAAAGGCTATGGCAGTGAATCATATATGAAACGAAAGCTTATGATCTACAGAATAGACTAGAGACAAAAATAGATGTTACTATTTTACAAGGTTTGAGTTAGATGAAATAACGTATCCCCCAAAATAGCTTCCATAGTTTGTCAAGGCTTCTTGTTTCTCTATTATAAATAAGAACTTCCGTCTAAATTTGATCGAATAGTTTCACAGTATTTGTGCGCCAAGGTACTGTGAGACATTAAAGAGGAAGAATGTATTTGTAAAATCTCAGCGAATGAATTTTGAATTAAATCCAACATTTCCTTGAAAAAGCTTGGACCAGATTTCCAGGAGAAACTTCAAAATTCATTCTCTGAGATTTTACAAATACATTTTTCCTCTTTAATGTTTCTTGTTTCTTTGTTCACATCAATCCTGTAGACTCGATTTCCGCTAAGCCCATCGATACTCACTACTGATGAATTTGATTTTTTTGTTGTTGTTGAGTGAAATACTGATCTAATACTTTGAAATATGATCTAACTAATATCAATCCATAATGTAGACCATAAAAAAAGATTATAACAAGCATATATTTCTGCACATTTAACTGAATTACCTTAATTATTATTTCTTCTTCCTTGTTCTTTTCTTTAACAGTCAATTAGTCCAAATTGTCCAATCATATTAATCGGTACCTATTCTGATTACCTTTTAAATCTAAACCAAACTATAACTACTGATAATTCATCTTCAATTAATATCAGTAGTATGAATAAATCAACAAATTCCAAGCATAATAATAATAATAATCCTAAATTTCATTTCAATCTAATGGATAACATTGTTCGTAGTAGATTTTTTACAAATTCCGATTTAAACGCATATGGATTACCATATTTGTACAATTATATGTTTATAAATTTATCCAATATGAATATTAACCATTCAGAAAGATTACAAAACAGTATATATGAATTAGCTACATTAATTTATAATGCTGCTTATCATGTCAGTATAACAAGTAGGTTTATATATATAATGAATTAATGATTTGTTATTTATTATATTAGTGTAGAGTAATATTGTAGTTCAGCAACGTAGATGATCTATGTCGAAATGATTGGAGGCCTACTCGAGTTAGACGTGAATGCTGTGACAAACTACCTAACGTCAAAGTCACACCTCGTGGTCAACACCTTACGTGGACTACCCCATTGACGTATCAAGGTACCATAGATGCTTTGAAGACTGTACAACACAGAGGAGGTTATTACAGAAATATATTAGTTAAAGTAGATACAAGCGAAAGTAAGACCACTGCCGCATGGGCCAGTCCATGGCATACGATTAACTGATGCGCGTTGGTTGTCCTTGACCTTGACGAGGATCGATGATTTGCTCGATATTCAATGACCCAACTGCCGGATGGTTTGGCTAGGGCTTAGTGACATTTTGCTGGTCCTACAATATATTTGTAAAATCTCAGCGAAAGGATTTGAAGTAAATCCAACGTTTCACCTGGCAATTTGGTAGAAGCTTTTCCAAGGGATTTCATTTCTTGGAAGGACACAACGTCCAAGGTGTAAAATGACAACGACCATCTGCTTACAATATAGCAAGTGATTAGACATAAACTTCCTTGTTTGGATTAAGGTGTTTTTATCACTCATGTCCAACAACCACGGTTAAAGAGGAAGAATCTATTTGTAATTGAAAGTTTATGTTATTTTTAAAGTCGAATCATTTGCGTGACGCACATGTATTTGGTGCCTTCTTGTACCAATGTGCTTCTGCTTTTTTAATAAATAGTAAGTTGGAAGAAACGAGGAGAGACCAAGTCGAAACGTGACTTCAGTCCATGAGGCTATCAACCATGTTGATAGATATAGACAACTTGGTTGAGTTTACGATATAACTACGATCGGTGGTTGCAGATGTTGGATGATATGACTCAGAATCGAATGAAAATGTATTCACTTCTTTTCTTTCCACTATCTCTTTATATATATCTTTTCATCATGCTTTCTCTCTCAAGTTTATTCTCACTACTTAGTCTTTCTCATTATCATTGCTAGTAGATTATTCCATCCTGTCGTGCTAATGTGGTATGGTAACTTTGACTAACACACGTATATGCCATGCTCTACGTTACTTTTACGTGACCGACACTTCTAAATAATATCAGCTAGTGAACCATTGAACCACTGGAAAACTAGTTTAACGGAATCGAAATAACATTCTCATTGCATGATCTGAAGCTAATTTTAACGAAAAATAAGTAATGTTGCGTATGCATAATATCAATATGTTCTAAATTAGGGTCATTACACATAATGAAATTTATATTCAGTTCTTACAAAACAATACAAACTACTTTAAAAGTTTATAGTTGCACTGTGAACCTTCATCAATTAATATGATTAGAACTTGAGAAACTTAGGCATGGTGAACTCCTACTTTACAGGAATTGAAAGTAAAACAGAAACGGGTTAACTTAAAAATGTCATCAGTCCATGAATTCTTCGGCTATTGATCTGTACGATGTTTGTAGGTGTTGATTATGACTGACTAATTCAATTCATTTTTCATAATATCATTTCTTTCTTTCTATCATATCTATCAATAATAGATCGTACAGCTGATGTATTGTTGCCGAATATATCTATTGCTCCAAGTTTATCTCAATCATTTTTACAATTATCAATACCAAAATTATATCACTTAGCTGAAAGTATAACGCAGCAATTAACTATTGAAATGTTGAATGCACAATTACCACCAATTATGGAAGTTGATAAATTTATGTAAGTTTCCTTTGAAAGAATAATACTTTCATTATTTGCAAAGATGGATAGTGGTTAGCAGTGAAAACTAAGACGCTCGTTTGGTCTTATTTGAGAATCGTCAGCTGAATGTTCCTGCATCTAAGAGTTGATGTTCACTCTGGGACTCGAAACCAGTACCGTTCGCTTCAAGCGCCATCGCGTTATCTACTAAGCTATTGAGTCCTGACAGCCACTTGCTTGTGCAATGGGCTAAAGTTTGAATTTACATGGTATTGTTTGTTTCAATCTTCCCATTGATGTTTAGGTCTTGAGTTCGAGTCCCAGAGTAAACATGAACTCTGAGATGTAGGTACATCCAGCTGATGAGTCCTAAATAGGATGAAACGCGTTTCCTCAATTCCATTGCTAGGCGCTATCCATCTCTGCATGTAATGCTTGTGAATTAAGGCTATATCGAGGCGATGCACACAGTATGAACATATGCCAATAAGCGACCGATCAATGGCAGTCCTAAACATCAATGGGAAGATTCAAGTATACAATATCAAGTGAACTTTGTTTATTTGATTATTTATTGACTTAAACGTCTATTTCTTTAATGATTAAATTAGATATTTAATAATATAAATTTGTTTAAATTTGAATAAACAGTTTCATGAAAGTTCCACGCCAATTACTTGAAAGGCATCATTTTTTGAAATAATCTCACTAATTGAAATTTAACTAATTACAATGTTTTGCCTTTCAAAATTGATAATCTTTATTTTGATTATTCGCTTGAAAAACTTCAGTCCAGTGTACCCTACGTAATTTTGTATTGTTTTGAATACGAAATTAATAACAAGAAATTGTTTTTCTGAACACATTAAGTACATATTTGTCCTAGATCATGGTTTAAATTTGAAGAAGGGGACATTAATTTTTAAATTTACACTACGGACTGATCTTAGTTTTATAATAATTGAAAATCCGTCTACGTTGAACTACTATTTTGTTCTAGATAGTAACTTTCAAGTAGTGCATATCTACGATCCCATCAGGAATTGTATCCAGGACCATAGAGTCTTGCTATGAGCACTTAACCTTTAGATCATTGAACCCGGAACTGTTAGTTTACCTCTTCAACTTTAGTCAGTAGGCAATGCTCACACTCAGTATAATTGAAATCCACCAGTCATAGCTTCTCATTAGAACTTCTTTTACCATCTCTCGAAATCAATCCTTAGTACATACATGCTTATTGATCAATCTAGAAGACTTATGACAGTTTTCATATTTTATAATCTATATTGAGAAGTTGTCGCATAATCGTTTGATCCCTCGTATATAGGATTATTTCATTGAAGTCTATTCACCTTACTCACTTATTCGTCTCTTTGTTCTCTTTTCTTTTTCCTTTCAAAAAGTTGAGAATGTCTTTTTATTGTTTTGTTTTTCTTCACTATTTTCATTAGATTCGAATTGAATAAATGTCTTTCTAATTTACTGCCTCATCCGATAAGAGTTTGCTTTTCATCGAGTAATGTTAATAATAATAGTAATAATAACAGTAATAATAATAACAATGGTAGTGCTCCGGTTGAGTTATTGTCCACATCGTCGTCGTCATCATCATCACCATCGTCATCTTCATTATATGCAACTTCTTGTATACATGGATTTTATACTTATTCTGATATAAAAAGTATATTATTATTTCTAAATCATATTGGTACAATTCTTTATTTTAGTCATCATAAATTATTAAAAAATTATGTATTTTTATCACCTCAATGGTTATTGAATACTTTATTAAAATTAATGATTAATATACATAATAAACAATTATGCGGTATGTTTAAAAATTATTGTACATTGAAAACAGAATGGATGAATACTAACAACATAAAACGACAATATCGTAATGAATCGGTAAAATCATCACCAGATATTAGTCGGTTACAGTATCAAGTTAACAATGATAATGATAGTAAACCTATTAAATCTACTTATAATATTCATTTGAAACGTAATTCAGGTATGTTCATCGGAAACATTTTATTTTTGAAGTTTTTATGCATTAAATTATACTACTATATCCTATAATAAGTAGTGCATTAGCAATAATTAGCATGAAATCAACATCGTTGAATATAATTACAGTTATTGAATACATTACTTCTGGTCTATTCTTTACTGTATTAAAGTTTCTTTTTCTTGGTGTACTAATATTAAATGTTCTAACAGTAAATAATGCAAATTTACCTCAGTTCCTACGTTACTTATGATTGTCTTAACTCTTAATCTATTGTTTATTGTATTTTTAGAATCATTAAAAAAAACGAGTTTCGTTTAAGCATAGCTAATCGTTGTTATTAATCTTAAGATAAAATGTTTGTAACCTACCCAAATCGAGGTCCACTCATCGACTTAGAATACGCAGACGACACAGTCCTGTTTGGTGAAGACGATGATAAAATGCAGAGTCTTCTGGCAGCACTAAGCAACAATGCCAGAATGTTTGGAATGCGCTTCTCTCCCTCTAAATGCAAGTTGTTGCTTCAGGACTGGCCTGCATCAACACCTTAACTAAGGATAGGGAGTAAAGAAATTGAACGCGATGACAACACTTCTTTTGGACTTTTGATCATCCCTAATGGGTTGGTGTCTGACGAAATCTCTACACGGATCCGAAAAGCTCGTTTGGCTTTTGCCAACTTACGTCACCTATGGCGAAGGCGAGATATCCGTCTATCAATAAAAGGACGAGTATACTGCACGGCAGTCCGTTCTGTTTTAATTTACGGCAGCGAAACATGGCCATTAAGAGTAGAAGACACTCGTAAGCTATTAGTATTTGACCACAGATGCCTTAGAAATATTGCTGGCATCTGCTGAGATCACCGAGTAAGTGATAGTGAGGTTAGAAACCGGGTATTAGGGAATGATGGTAAATCAGTTGATGAGGTTATGAATCTTCATCGACTGAGATGGTTGGTCCACGTGTTGCGTATGCCCGAACACCGATTACCACGACGTGCAATGCTAACCGGTGCTGGAGATGATTGGAAGAGGATTAGGGGCGGCCAAACGAGAACGTGGCATCAATGCTTGAAGTCACTAACTTCTAGTTTGAGCCATGTTGGTAGATTCAGACTACTTGGTTGGGGTCCGCGTGAATATCGTAACCAATGGTTGGAGAGTCTTGGTGACATGGCTTAGAATCGATCACAATGGCGTCGGTGTATACACTGTCTGTCTTCCTTCAAAGTAAGAGATTAAAATCACTTCATATCTTTCTTTCTACGAACCAATTCTTTCTTCCCGTACCATATCCTTATTGCAATCTTTCTTTTATATATTAGCACTTCTGAATTAACTACTTTTATGAATCCGGTGTTCATCTTGTTGTGCTAATGCGGTATGGAACTTGGACCGATGCATATATGTGCCTGGCCCTACTTTGTAGCTGACTGACTGACTGACCCAAGTCGATAGTCAGTCAAAAATAATCAGCGTTAAAATTAGCAAGAATATATGTTAGCTCAAATTGTCATTTCATATTATTACGACAAGATGAAATTAATCTGATGAATGGTTAAACAATTAAAATAATATACAAACAATGATAATAAGAATAAGCTTATAATGAACAGAATGAAAAGGTATGTAAGAAGAAATACTGAAACTATGATCTAAAGAAAGATACATAGTGAACACATCTGAATCATTATGATTGATTCCTAATCATGTTACCTAACGTATTCAACTGTTAATTGTATTTACTACCACTTGAACTCTAACTACTAATTTTCTTCCAATTTACTTCTAAACCAACAAACCACCTGTTGATATAGGTTGTGGTTAGACATAACCTAACATATAACTTAATTAAGTCAGTCAATGAAGATATACAATCTGAGAAATCGATTTGCCGTTTTTGTCTTATCTCAACATTGGTTTGTTTTGGTTATTCCATGTCTGCTTTCCTCTTCATATTATTAAAGCTATTCCACAATACTCAACACAGTGGTTAGATGATATCTATGAATACATATCGTTGTTTGAATATATAAACTTGTAATAAATATGTTGTATAGTAGTCGAAATTAATTGGATATAATAAAATAGTTATTTTGTAGAATGTATCAAAAAAAGACCATTATCATCTTTTGGTGGAGTTTTGTTCTCTGAGCTGGATGGTTTGGTCGTGGAACTTTCATCGTTCTTCTGAACGACATCATCAGCACAAACTTCAGATAGAAGTGAAGTTTGTGCTGATGATGTCGTTCAGAAGAACGATGAAAGTTCCACGACCAAACCATCCAGCTCAGAGAACAAAACTCCACCAAAATCATCCACCTGAGCTACAAATCTCCACCACCATTATCATCAGTAAGAAATCGGGTTTATGATCCATGTTGAAATGTATTATGTTTTTTTTTTATAATCTTGATCATGATTAAAGCTTAATAATTCATCATTAATAAATGTCTATTCAATTCGTCAATACAGTTTGACTATTGAATAACTATCGATTATACTAACAGATTGGTTTTGAGACATTAGATAAATATTGCAAACCTCATGCAGTATAAATCCCTTTCAGAAAATAATATGTACTCTCACAAGTTTCATATCTAAAACATTTTAAATTCATTTGGTATTATTTATTTAAATCTTCCCATCAATGTTTAGGACTGCAATTGATCAGTCTCTTATTGGTATGTGTGCGGAATGCCTCGATATAACCTTAATTCACAATCATTATAAGCAAAGATGGTTAGTTACTGGCTGGCAGTGGAATTCAGGACGTGCGTTTCGTCCTGTTTACATAAATACATTCGTTAGCTGGGTGCACCTGCGTCCGAGAGTTGATGTTCATTTTAGTATGGAACTCAATAATCCACATCCATAATCCTCTCAAAGATCAAACCCAAAACCTTTAGATCTTACTGTGATGAATTAGACTTAGTGGCCTAAAGATTAAGCGCTCATCGTGAGACGTGGAGATGTTGGATTTGACTCCTAGTGGAGTAATTTATTCAGACTTCTCTAAAGGGTTCTATACTAGGATGGAACATTTGTCCAGTGTCTCCTGGTTTTCAATTGTTATTCGTGTTGTGTTAATAAATTAATAAACGAGATGTTTTATTATTCATTTGACTAACTTTACATAATAACGGACTGTTTGACTCGAATAGTTTAATATCAGTGCTTTCATTTGTCCATCTATAAAAGTATCCGCCTTTAGAATAACAATGGAGAAGTTACAATTCAATTATCCTTCTTAATAGTTATAAAATAATGCAATAAATAATATCATTCATAGAATCACTTTTGATATGATGGATTGTATTTTGCTCATTCTTAAATAGTATTATTTATCTGGTCAACATGGATTATAACCAAACTATATTATTGATAACATCTTAATTAAAATCCAACTATTCTATATTTTCTCTTTTACATTTCTCTTACATTTTCTATGTAGCTGTTATCAATTCGTCTTACTTAACTGATTTAATTAATTATTTCATGAGAACTATGAAAACAATCAATGATAATACTAGCCATGTCCACATGACCAACATTCATGATGTACCATTGGAGGAAATTTTTCTAGGATTATTTAAACAGTTTGGTTTAATAGTATCCATTATTAGTAATGATGATTTAAAATGTCAAAAAGTTGATAACTTGAGAATGAGAAAAACTAGAAAGCATTTGTTATTACTACCATCATTATTAGCTGCGCGTTGTTTTCAACCAGGACGTTTACATTCTTATTTACAACCAGCAGTGATTAGATATGAGGTAAAGTTGTTTGATTTGATCCTTTTCTTTTAAAGATCAATTCCCATGGCTTATTTTATCTTAGTATACTGTGCTTTGTGAAAATTGAAAAAAATTTCATAATTTGAATTATGAACTGATTTTAGCTAGAATATAGTTGGAAACATTGAAGCATTGGACAGCTGTTTCGTCCTCAGAAGTATGCATTCATTATGTTGCATCCGAGAATTGAAACTAGGATCTTCGGTTTCGCGCGCAGATGCCGTCCATGTTTTTAATGGTGATCTAGCTAAGATTAGTTCGTGTTTAGAATTACGAAACCTCTACAATGTAAATAAATCTTCCCACAGTAATAAGTGTACGGTTATTATTGAATAACTTCAAGATACAACTAGGATCCTACTAAGTAGCCGTGACCACTGGTTAGTTCAATCCGTGTCGAGTGTGAGTGATGTATCGACTGCAGGAAGTCGTGCAATATCATGAGTCATTTGAACTTCGTAATTAACAATTTTATATGTCGGTTTATTGGTCTAGGTGTTAGGCGTTTGCGTGGAGAAACAAGAATCTTGAGTTCGATCTCCTGATGCAGCGTCCTGGGTGGAGACTGCATAGGAGTCCACTTTAGTTACTAACATTGAATAACAATCATTTTCAAACTATTTTAAACTGTTTCTTATATTACTTTTCAAATGATTTTAGTAGTTCAGATTTTCCCTCGCAAATATATAAAGTGTGTCATTATTACGATTGTTATATGGAATTTTCTCTGTAAAGAGTTTTGTTTTTAAAATAATTCGTAAAATAATCTCAAACCACGGAGGAATGAAGGGATATTTCGTTCTTGGATAGGCATCTTCAGCAGAGCCCACTTGTGGTTCTACGTAGAACTGAACACATTCTCTTCTTGTCTTGCCGGCCTCTGAGTTATGGAGTTCAAAGATACCCATTTTCGACTTTTAATAGTTCGCTACTCAAACCGACAAACATCTTGTTCTGTTAATTGATAACGGCTGTCTTCTCAACACGTTACACATGTGCTAATAACAATTTATTACAAAAATTCGGTAATCTGTCTCTAAATCAGTCACTAAAGTGTACAGGATTATTTACTTCACTTTATACATGTTAGATGAATCCCCAAATTGTTTTTTCCTAATGTTATCCTTAATTTTTATGAGGTGAAAGCTTGTTTTTGTTTTCATGTATCTTCTTTTTAGTTGATACCTTCTTTGAAAAGAATAGTAACTAGAGATGCACAATTTTAGGATGGTTACGATTGGAACCTGTTAAAAGGCTCATTGTATCATATTGTCAAATAACTTATTTATATGATAAGAAATATATCTTTGATTTCATTCAAAGTCTCTACATCGCGTAATGCTGTCTTTAATTGTACTGTATAGATACACTACTTCATAAAATATAAAATCGATTCTATTTATACTTAACCGTAGAGGAGGACAGTCATTTTTATATGTACACATTATATAAGGAGAAGATTTATTCTTTTCGGTTGATTATGTCACAACCAATGCTAGTTAGTCAAAATTATAAATGTTTGCTAGTTTTAAAGTAACGTTTCATTTACGTTATAGAGTTTCTACCTATTGCATCTGTCAAATGATGGAAACTTAGACATTAGCTAGATATACAGAATATAAAACATTCTGCACTCAAACTTAACAAAACTGACACAAATTCTTGATCCATATTCACATTGTTTTCAAAGTATTTTTATTTTAAAAATTTCTAGATAAATTTCTTGAAGAGGTTCTTTTACAAAGCAGAGAACTGCCTAAAATATTTTGTCTAATTAGCGTTCTTCTGAAACTACCAAGAGAACTTCTTTAGTTTCCTCATTGTTTGTTGTTTATTCCCAGTCTAATTTTATTAAGCTTCTGGTGGTCGGGAGGCAACTAGATGTTAGTGTATGTTTAAGGGTTTAAATACAAAGCATATCAGTGATTTCTTAACTTTATTTTGAACAAAACCCAGTTTTTATCCCATTACCACTATTATTGTTATTGATTATTATTATCAGGAGAACTACATATCTATGAAACAAGGTTCATGTCTTCGTTCTCAATCACTTAGTGTTTCAACTTATCGACCGAGGTATACCGTACACCAAAAGCAGTCGAAATCGCGACCTATAAATAATGTGAATACAGTTGAAAGTGGTAATAATAATAATAACAATGAAAAGGCGAATCATCCTAGATTATCGCAGTTTTTAAGTTGGCGTGTTCAAACTTCGGTCAATAAAGAAATTGTTCGATTATATGCTGTTACCTATATACCATTTGGATTTTGGACAGAATTAAATACAAGGTTATTAAATGATTTAAGTCTACATGAAATTTGTGGGTATGTTGCTTATTTATTTAGCGATAATTAACTTATATATATGAGATGAAGTCTTAATCAAAGTAATTTGTTTACTGCAATGGTGATTATTTCATGTGTTTAGCATTTGGATATCAACTATTGTACTGTTAATAATCAATATATTTTTTATTGTATCCCAATGTGTAGGAAATTGTATTTCTGACGTTTCGTAACTCAAAGTTAGCCACTTCCTCGGTGATTTATCTACTCTGAAGAGGTGACTTACATTAAGTCACAAAACGTCATAAATAAAAATTTACTACTCATTTGGATATAACAAAAAATAGATTTATATTATTAACTCCCTACCCAATGCTCAATTTATTTGAAACTATCAAGACCAATCTTGGTATTAATATCTATTGCTCTATTACTTCGATATTTTATTCTTTCTGTGTATTAGTTTTCCTAATATATTCTTGAAATGAACATTTTTATATGGAAAGTATTTCTTTAAAAGAAATAATATACTTAAAGTTGTAGCTTTATACTCTCATAGAATTGTATGTCGAATTAATCTTGATTGTTGTTTACATAATATGTTCTTGATTATACTCTAAATAAAATGTAAATCAGTATAGAAGCAATATTCACTCTCTCAAATCAAGGCAACACTATCACGAAAACGTCAGTATATTTTGCTATTAGTCGATTTTCTACAACAAAGGACAAACTAATGCAACATGTATAATAAGAAAATGTAAAATTATACAAGGTTCACAGTTTACTTGGTCACAGTAAACTGTTAATATGAGAAATCAAATATTAATATCCGTTAACGTGTATTCACTATAATATGAAACAGGGTATCAGTCATTGATCTATTCATTGTAGTTGAATACCAACTTACTTTAGTTTTTTATTCAAGGCTTTACGAAAATTGCCTTAAAATGATTTCTAACACCGAGTCACTTAGTAAAATAACCTTACCGCAGTTTGATGAAGAGAACTCGATAGTAACGCTACAAGCTATATATTACAATGTGATGGTTACTGTTTAGTGATAGGTTGTTAGCATAAGCAACTAGGCTTACTGATTATTTAGTTTAATAAATTTAATCAATTTGAAGTGTTGTTAAAGTTGTATGCTTACCTCGCTAAGAGATACGTCTTCTTAGAATACCTGAAAAGGAAACTGTATTTATGGGTGTTCTTAAATGACCTGGATTTGTTACCTCAGTACATGAAGGACAAATGTTTGAGATCGGTTATACATGTGCTTTCTGTAGATAGTTTTAGATTTATTAACTCTATCCCTGTGAGACTCTTCCACCGATGATGAATATATATGGATCAAGTTGAGGTGTACTATTCTGGTGCTTCTAATCTTATTATATTCCAGTTAACCTATGTCGTATGGTACGAGTCCAAGAAAAAAGTTGCTCAGGCATTATATTCCTCGACTCAGTCGTCACGATATTCAAGCTGGACTACCACGTCAAGGTATAAGTGGTGTTATAAACGAAAAATCAGATTGGGAAGACCAATTTATTGTTTAGCTCAAATTTACAGTGTCTTCCTAAATTATGGAAACCATACATTAAATCCTTCATTTCCATATCTTTCATTTATCCTGTACATACTGCTTCACTCTTCAAACTCGGTTGTTATTCCAATTTCTTCCCATTTTTCTTTCTATTCTCTTCAGTCCAATCTTCTCAATCTTCTTCTGGTAGGCAGTCCACTTCTGATTGGCATTACATACTACTTATATCTGTGAACATAAGTAGCATACATCATAGATGTAGTCGAAATTGAAGTAAATACTTATTATTCAGCTTATCTTTCAAAGATTGTATATAAAGGTGACTTTTGTTAGATTTCGATGTATAATGTAATAAATTTCTCACAATTGATTGATCACTGAGTGGTGGTCAATGTCATGCGTGTCTAGTCCTTATTAGTGCAAATTAAATGCTATCGACCATGTTGCAATGTGGCCACCAGTCTAGGTGACTCGACACTCTGTGCACTATGTTGAGATTAGATTGTGGTTGTAGGTAGTTGGCAGGAAATTCTGGACCCGAGTTTCGTGCTACTTGGCACTCGTCAGCAAGGTGTACCTGTAATCTTGAGGGAACTGATGCTCCCTGACGGAATCGATCCCTTGTCACCCAGCTTCACAGTCAGAGACGTTAGCACTGAGCTATCCGAGCCGTGACCGACCTCCTGTAGAACTGAGATGTAATCCCGATTGATTGACCACTGGGTGTTGATCAATGTCATGTGTGTTAAGTCCTTATTAGTGCGGATCGAATCCTATCGACCAAGTTGCAGTATGGTTGACACGGGATCGAATCCGTCAGGGAGCATCAGTTCCCTTAAGATTACAGGTACACCTTGCTGACGAGTGTCAAGTAGCACGAAACCTAGGTCCAGGGTTTCCTGTTGACTACCTCCAACCACCATCTAATGTAATAAATTTCTGTTATTCTTTACAATTTTTAAACTGAATTTTAGTTTGTTGAATTTTTTTTCAGACGCATCTACAACTTATCAAAATTACCTTCTGAATTATTTCAACAATTATTATGCAATAATTTACAACAGAATGATAACTTCAAAAATTGTTGTCAATATATATGTTGCACCGGTAGTCATAATGATCATGGTAATATTGACAATTGTCATACATGTATGAATAATACATCATCACAATGTAATTTAAAGCCTGAATGGACAGTATGGAAACGTGGTATGCGTTTGTCACTTGGTCATGGTCAAATCGGTTTAGCACGTTTACAACAATTGACACGTGCCAATTGTGCATTGTTAAGAGTATGTTTACTATTGTGTTTATTTGAATATAATATAAGTTTATTTTCTAAGGTGGAATATATATATATATATATATATATATATATATATATATATATATTCTTTTCGTTTACATGAAAGACTGATATCATTTAATGATAAAAGGAAGCGTTGGACAGGTGTTTCATCTTAATATGAGACTCTTTTAGCAGTGGGTATCCGTGACCGAAGTAAGTAATTTACCTAATGACGGCGATGGAATATAGTTACACAGTATCACGAATTCATTGGAAGTAAGCGTGTAATGCACCGCGTGCTTACTCAGTGGCCTAGTCTAAAAAAGATGATCGCACAATATCGTGGACTGATTGAAGTTAAACATTGATACCGTTGGATCCCGGCTCAGTTGTCTAGAGCTTAACTTTTATTTATTGATATGAGTTCTAGAAATAAACAATCTTTAATCGATGTTAACTAGTGATAGCAGAATCAATAGTCACTCAGTTTAGTTTTCATGTTTGTGTGCAATTTGTTTTACGATAACTAATACTGAAATTATGAGAGTTTAACCTCCATCACTCAGTGTTGTAATTACATGAGTTCCTAACATATAACATCGAGGATGCAAGGGATCTTGTTATGTAGATGATAATAAATAATTAAAATAAATGAAATCTGATTGAAATGAATAATTGTCTAAGGATCGTTTGAAATTTCACTAAATGAAAACTATGGAAAAAGTTAGTATAAAGGGTATCAATCAAATTTTATTTTACAATGATCTTTAACTTCAGTTGACTTTTTTTGAAGTTTAAATTAATCTCTCTGTGGATTTTATTGTATCTATGGAAATGCTGAGATTTATACGAAGGAGGTTTTCTCTTTTTCGTCGTTTCTTCTTAGCATCATGACATCACGGACTGGTTTCATCTAGAAAAAGCTATGAAAATTAGCATGAGAAATATTTACATATACATAATTTCATTTCCTCGTTTATTTCAGAATCAATCTTTCAAACAATCATTTCTGAATTTTACCAACAATCGACAATTATCATCTTTGCGTTCTTTGGTTCCCTCCTGTTCTCCTCGTTCTTCGCCTTTTTCTTCTACTACAAAAACAAATGATATAATTTCAAAACTTCTTCCCCAGTCTTGTTATTGTGAAGAATGGGATGAACCATGTGCTATAGTTGGTGAAGAAGTTATGAAACAAAGTAAAAAATCAATAATCGTTAATCAAAATATTTCTAATACAGAGAACAACTTCATCTTGTCGAATTTACCACTAAATAATGATACTGTTTATCGTAGTGGTGTTGTAGAAACAATTAAACATTCCTATGAAGGACGTCGTTTACGGTTAATGCACTGGGTAGTGCAAGACGATCAAAAACATGGAGAATTTCAACCATATACTACGACGATGAAAACAACAACAGAATCATCACCGTTAAGAACAACAGCTTGTCAGGAACGTACTGTAAAGACTGCATCTGATTTTAAAATACAATGTAATCATGGTTACCTAACTGATCAAGAACATGGTACAGTAATTTTTTTAGTTTTTGTAACCTCATTACCTTTCAAATAAGATTAATAATATTAACTTATGTCAGTCACATCTAATTAAACTTGACCGTAATCGAATGTTCAGAAACGTATCTCGACTTTTCTTCGATAATATATATATATATATATATATATATATATATATATATATATATACGCATAAGAAAAAGTGAAGTTTCATACTGATAAAGTTGAAGATCATGGGTTCAACCACTGGCTGCGCCATAGGTAGGCACTACTGAGTTTTTCCACACTAGGAAAAAATGGCCCTATGCAATGTCTGAGAGAAGTGACGGGGAAAGTCGACTGTGAATCAATAGCAGTTCACGTACCGGGCGACTGTCAAGTTCTTTTGGTTTGAAAAGTTCAACGGTGAGATTGTTTAGTAGATTATAGCAGGTCAATCATATTTGTAATTAACCATCTCTAATTGTAGATATTTATTTTTTCAGAATTCAAAATAGAGGATATTGTTTAAAAATGCACCATAGAAGGACAATGAAATTAGTTGAAAACTCCTTTATCTTGTTCTTTCGATGTACTCACTTTTTGTATATGCCTTTACTATTCCATTTTCACAATCGTCATTGCATACCAGTATTCTTTATACTCGATTCATTCACAATCATCTAAATGGTCAATCCGTGTCTGGAACGTTCTATAAAGTACATATTCCCCATATTTTCATCAATTTGTCTTGACTTTACACCATAATTACATTCATTTTAGTCCTCACTGCAACATTTAATTGATTGAATGAAGTTTTTTCTACAACAATTTACCTATTTATACAGCTTTTAAGATTTCATTAATTCTTTGAAAATATCGTAACTTTCTTTGAATCGAAAATTCAATTTTAGGTTGTGTATTTATTGGACAGATGATGGATTGATGGATAGTGGCTAGCAGTGGAATCCAGGACGCGCGTTTCGTCCCATTTGGGACTCGTCAGCTGAACGTACCTGCATCTCGGAGAGTTGATGTTCACTCTGGGACTCGAACCCAGTACCATTCGCTTCAAACACCATCGCTTTATCCACTCAGCTACTGAGTCCTGATAGCCACTTGCTTGTGCAATGCGATGAATTTGAATTCAATTGGTTTTGTTTAGCTTGTATCTAGGACGAAACGCGCGTCCTTGGTTCCACTGCTAGCCACTATCCATCACTGCTTGCAAATAGCTTGTGAATTAAGGTAATATCGAGGCATACGCACAGTATGCACATATGCCAATGAGAGACTGATCAATTGCAGTCTTAAACCTCAATGGGAAGATACAAGCCAAACAATACCAAGATGATCGATTGTTTTTGTGCAGCCTACATTTCAATAGATTTGAATAAAAAAATTCGTCTCTCGTTTTTAATTGGTTTCTATTGTGTCTTAATCCCTATCAAAATATCATATGACATGATCTCTAATCAGAGCACTGACTGATCTTGGCACTTTGCTAAACCACTGACGCGTTAATCAGAATTAGCAGCCTGGAATAAAATCTGAGTCCTAATTATTTCTTCTTTCCTTGCCGTGTCCGTTGAATCCAAAACACCATCTCAGCTTCTACTTTATGAATCGTATATTTCAGATTTACATGGTTTATATACAAGCCAACCAAAACCGCATCACACCATAAAATGAAAAATAACAATTACACAAGATCAAGCCAAAAGTGGCTGTGATTTTGAGAGACTGTAACTAATAGATTGGGAAAAACTTAAGAATAGTAAAGCGTATAATAGTAGTCAATAGGTCCAATGGAAGCTTATAATAAGAGAAATACTGGTATATGTATAATCTAGTTACTCAACAGTTATTCAATAAGAATATGTACATAATAACAGTTCATAAACAGTTCATAGTAGTTATCATTCATTTATTCTTCGTTAAGATATAACAGTTTCCTGTATCTATCTATTTGTAAATTATTTATAGATGCATTCCAAAACTCATGTCTTATTGAAATTTACTTACCAAACTTAAATATCTACTGGGAATATAAACAAACTGACAAATGTTCAACTGTCAATTCTAACCAAACACATAATCATTTAGAAGTTATTCATTCTCTACGAAATCATTCTCAACTTCGACAAAAAAATAGTTTAAGTCCAGATTCTCGGGCAGTTGCTGAACTATTAGCAAAAGTTAGTTCACTAAATTAATTTATTTGTAAAGATTTATGTTTTATTCATTTATGGTTTCCAATCTGTATTTGTTGGTTAAATGGATACTGTTATAGCTACTTTTCGAACAAATATTGAAATATATATGGGTTTACTTAGCAGCCATGAATTACCTAATATGTTTTGAATTATATTACGTCCTTGATCTGTCTACCCACTTTCGTGCAGAGAATAACTTGTCTAATCTAGATTAAGACCTTGATGCGATAGGTTGACCGGCTCAACCTTGAGGCTAGTATGCGTGAGTTCGAAGTGAGATCAACTACTTGGAGTAGAGAGACGAAAACTATACCATCACGTGATTGGCTGACAAGCACATGAGTAAGAGAAGACAAGTCAACTGGAACACTACACGATTTATTCTCAATTCCGATATGGTTCCCGATTCCAGATCAGTGTAAAAAGATACATGATGAATAAATAAATGGGTAACCAGACCACAAAGCACAAGAATTAGGAAAATACAATTGTCGAAAACTGGAGATTAGCTTATAAAATAGAGTAGAAAATATTACGTTCGAATTACAATAACTTTGGAACAAAAAAGGCTATGGCAGTGAATCATATATGAAACGAAAGCTTATGATCTACAGAATAGACTAGAGACAAAAATAGATGTTACTATTTTACAAGGTTTGAGTTAGATGAAATAACGTATCCCCCAAAATAGCTTTCATAGTTTGTCAAGGCTTCTTGTTTTCCTGTTCACATCAAACCAAAAATACTATAAATAAAATAAATGTTATATGAGTTAAAAGGGTAATAATACACATGTGGTGTATGCTACTTATGTTGATGGATATAAGTAGTATGTAGTACCAATCAGAAGTGGAATGCATGCCTGCAGATGATTGGGAAGATTCAATTGAAGGAAACAGAAAGTCATTCTTAGAAAAACAGAAATAAAGGAATTACGAAGCATGTAAACGACAGCTGATGGAAGATTTGTAAATTATGTCTTTAATTTATGGTTTTCACATTTTACGAAGGCACTCTGTAATTTTGCACTAAACCATAAATTGGCTTTCCCCACCTGATTTCTCGTTTACTAGTCATGGACCATCTACTGATCAATGAAATCTGTATATTTCTTCATGTTGTTGTTAATTAATGATGAAATAGATTACTTTCAAAAGTACATCCTGTTATTATTCTTTATTGTTGTTGTTTGATTCTGTTAGTATCCTGGATTGAATTTTGATCACTTCATGTAATAGAATATGTAAACCCTGAAAACATGCCTCAGCATATTGCATTTACTGACAAGTTTTGTCAGATTCTTTGACCCCATAGTTCATCGTGTTTTATCACTCGTCAGTCTGGATATATCCTACACCCTAGCATTGATTTCTGCACACTGAGGCTCGGACTCAGTAGTTCCTTCGTATGTAGGCTCTGTTTGTCACAAATTTATATCAGTTAAGTTACTGTTGAGAACCGGCGAGCATTGAACTTCGGTTTCATTCCAGTACGGCACTCTTCAGATATGCCCATTTACGACGCAGCTCAATATATAAACTTAACCATTCTCTACGAAATTCCTACAACTAAAATCCCTTCAAATTGTAACCTTAATTTTCTCTTTACTTGCTTTCTTTTTACACTCCAGTTAGTCAACCATATTGACACATTATTAGAAGATTGGTATCCAGATCTAGGAGCGAAATTAAATCAATCTAATGAAGGTGTTTATTTAGTTGAACGTATTATTCCATGTTGTGCCTGTCTTGCTACACCAAGCCGTCATCTCAATAATTTTTTAAGACAGTCTCTTAGTTTTTCCACTGATAACCATCTCCAAAATATGATGAAAAATTCCTCTTCTAATAGTATCATTAATCAGTATAAGGAAATGGACAAAAACTTTAATGGAAACAAGTATTGGTATGTTGTAGTTTTGTAACTTTTTCTTGTTGTTCAAACTTAATATGTTCCTCACTTGTTCTATTCCGCTACAAGATATATACGTTTCCTTTGCATGTTTGCCTAACTTGTTGCACGAGTTATAAGACTAAGATCGACAAAGAAACTGTAATTGACGAACCGAACAAACTGCATACAAATCACAGTTTTATGTGCGATTGTCACTCTGACCTAGACAATGGCTTGTAACCTGAGATACTTACTGAGTACATATTCCGCTTCATTCAAAAGCGTATCAGGTTTATGATCTTTCACCTACTACCAGACCTGAGAATAGCATGTGAGCGTGAACAGGTTGTATGTTTGGGTCAACTTAATCTGTTGAAATGGTGTTTTACTATTTAGTTTCATGTAGTTAATGTGTTATAAAGAGTGGAATGGTTCTCCTAGATTTCACTGCTAACCACTGTTCACAGTGTTACCGACAATTGCAATTGTGCAGGTATTATTGGTGTATCTGTTCAAAGAGCCCTGTATAGGGTGATAGTAACCGACTCAAATAATCCTGAAGGATAACACCGGAAAAGTATAAACCCTTATAAATAATGATAAGTAATATATATTGGGTGTACATTAGTAACATTCATTTGATGAACCTTGAATAGGACAAAGTAAACATTAAGTATTCTACTACTTTAGCTACACCTTTCAAGGTATACTCGAGTGTAATTTTTGACTTCTTGAATTCATTCAATTAATAACAATTCGAACATTTTATACTAGCGTTTTGAGTTATAAATACATAAGCTACTTACAAATTAAACTGACTGATAGAGCAAAGGATGTTTTACGAATATAAATGGAGTTCACTATCAAGATTTACTGTAAATTTGATAACGAGTGAAATCTATTGTGTTGAATGGTTTCAGAAGATTACGCAACATTACCTACCGTCATCTAATGTTAAGTTGATTTATTAGATCATATGCTTTTGATAGGGCTTTTTATTATGAAGTTTAAATGCAATTTTCATTATGAACACTGGCTGAACCATCAAAAATCAAATAGGATCAAGCAATCAGTTTTTTTTTATCAATTATGAACTATTTACCAACGTCTTCGAAAAGGGATAACCTTAGTATTGTCTCACTTTCTATTTGTTTAATTGGCATCCTAGTAAGTGGATAGTGTATGTACTAACTGATAGAATTGTAAAAATAACTTTTTCAGGCTTTCTTTTTAATGTACACTTCTTACGAGTCTCTAACCAAGGTAAACGAATTCACTCAGTGATTATTGGTTTCTTACGTAACGTAACGTTGTAATGAAAACTACATTTAACTTGTTACGTAATCGTTACAAAATCCTAATTTTCTAAAAAAAAAATCATTCTTTTTAAATATTTCCTTCCACTAGTTTGAATCAATTATCGTCAAACAATAAGAAATTATCTAAATCTGTTCAATATTTAAATGATACTGAGAATGAACTGAAATATTCTTATTTGAGCTCATCTGTATTATCTGTACCAAATGATTTATTCACTAATGAGGAATTATTAATGAAATATTCTTTGGACATCAAAAATTTCGATGATAATAATAAGATGATCACAGAGAAATATTTAGCACATCATAATATGTCCAAGTAAGTATAATCTGTCTTGTTTACTCATTCATTTATATCTATTATGATCGAGTGTATTTTACAATTGATTGATCACTGTGTGGTAACCAATGTCATATATGTCAAGTCTTTCTTAGTGCAGATCGAATCCTATCGACCAAGTTGCAGTGTGCGTGATACGGGATCGAATCCGTCAGGGAGCATCAGTTCCCTTAAGATTACAGGTACACCTTGCTGACGAGTGTCAAGTAGCACGAAACCTAGGTCCAGGGTTTCTTGTTGACTCTCTTCAACCATCTTATCTCAACATAGTGTATTTTAATACAATAATCAAATTAGATTTGAATCGATCAAGCGCAAATTAATAATAAATATAATTACTACTCCTTTTCCATAACCGTATTTATATTTCAGTAAAACATTTAACATCAGAATACAAAGCTTGGCTGCAGCTTGTGATTAGACGGTGGATCACTTCTTACATGCATTTTTAAGCAATATGAACTAACAATTTGGTATACTGATCTGTTTAACAGTACATTAACCAATACGGTTCTTTGAAACACAACTTAGAAAGCAACATGAGTTGTAAACGTGACATAGAAGATTTTATATCACATTGGTTACCAATGATTTAAAATATTGATTACCATTTCAGTCCTTATTAGTGAGATTCTCCTCTAAACATTCTCGTTACTGTATATTCCATATTCCTCATTGATGCAACAAGCTCAAGGACTATTTTTCACTTAGTTTATATATAAAGCGTTTCTTATATAGTGTCTTTTACTCTGTGTTTCACTTTTCATTCATTCCAAAACAGTTCTTCGAAATGGTCGTGGCCTTTTAAACGGTAGGTAAAATTTTCTGTCCATCTTCTGAAAATCCACTAGCCAACTGTTTGAATGGTGATTAAACTCCAGTGTGACTGAATTATTTACGTGTAAATAATCGTTGTTATGTTAGTTTAGTCCTCCTATGCTGATCAGGTTCTGTCGATCAAGATACAATGTTTCCTCTATTCTGAATAACCCGGCGGCTCATGTACAATTTTCTTACGTTAGATAGTTTGAGGTTGTTCTTTAAAAAATTTGGGTTCTCCTTGCTGACAAGTTCCAACTAATATGTAACCTAAGGCTGTGGTTTTCTTGATAACTATCTGCAATCACTTGGCATACCTATATATTTCTCGTGATGTTCAGCCACTTAATCTTGTGGAAATATTGCAATTCGACTGGTAGACCTAAAGCAGCATTAATAAATAGATAAACATTACATCTTAGTGATTAATCGTTTAGACAAATATATCTATATATAGTAAAGTTCTAGATTGCTTGTTTACGGAATGTACATTTACATTACTGGATGATACGTCTTGGAGTTCTTTTGTTGTAATAAATGTAGATTGTGTGCAAATTTTCAAACTTTAAATTATTAATTCTAGTACTGTTTAATAATCTTATATTTTTTTTTACAATTCACTGGTTTTTTGTGATAACAGGAATCGATATAAAAGAGCACATTCAGCAGATCCATTAAAAATGACCAACCGTAATAAAAATGAAAATGGTAATCAAAATAAATTAACCAATCCATCAACAACCTATACATCGTTTGTTTATGGTATCACTATTAGTGAATATATTCATTGGTATGTAATGAGAAGTTCAAATAAAATATTACAGCCTGGAGAATTATATTGTCCTATACATTCATCTGTTCAGTTATGGGCTCCAGATTTAGTAAGTTCCATCGTATGAAGACATGTAATCCTATATGATTTTTTCATTAATATATATTTACTTCGAAGTTTCTAACTACTGAAATGCTATATAAATAAAATGAAAATAATGTAGATAAGATTTTTGTCACTTGTCGACATTAAGTTAAACAGAAAAGTATGAAGATCAAGTCAAAGTATTTTTTATACTGATTGTAATCTTCTTAATGTTGAGAAATTTATAAGATTTTTCTTGAAGACTCAGTTTGAACCACCGTAACGGAATACAGTGAGTTGTAAAGTAGTGTCTGTTACAAATGTGTATCAAGACGAGTTACTATACGTCACAATAGCAAAAACAAATACATATAACTTATATCACCACGTTAAACAGATGAATTCATAGTAATATCATATATTTATATATATTATGAGAACAATTACAAAGCGTAAACTAATTTACAAACATGATCAAATTCTATTTATTTTTCCCAGGATCGGTGATCATTGAAGTAAATATTTTACTTTGCAGACTAATATTAAGTGAACAATTATTAAAAAGCAAGAATACAATGAGACGTCTCACTTTAGTATGGGACTTCTTAACAGAGCCTGTGCACTGTCCCCCAACCGGAAATGGTCTCTTAACATTAAGATTTCCGTGTCCAAATACGATGCTTTACATTTCTTTCTTCAAATCTCATTAATCCATTTTCATTTTCTCGTGAAATTTGTGCGTAACTGTCTCATATTCAACATGGTTAGACTCTATTGGTTATATCTTCTCTTTGAAATTGGGAGTTACCCCTGGAAATTAGCCACTAGTAGGCACATAATTTATTATGCATATAACACTAGTTGTTTTAGTGAATTGTAGAATATTAGTGTTACTAATGGTTGTATAATGAGTTGTTTTTTTGTTATACTTCTTTTTTTTCTATTTTTTTCTCAAATCAGCAATTTAAAGATATTCCTTCAACACTTTTCTTTTCTACTGATCGTGTCTATTTATTGGAATTTCTTGGACGTGGAGCTTTTGGTTCCATATTTAAAGGTTCTGTAAATAATTCAAATCCATCCAAACAACAACAAATAGGACGATTATCAAATAGAATTTCACTCGAAACAGTCAATCAAGTAAACTGATGATTATGTGTATATGTATTTCTTTGTAACTTATAAAGCTGATTGTAACTCACGAAAGAAAAAAGGAGAATTTATCATGGACAATTTGACAGTGGACACTTACTTACTTACTCACTTACGCCTGTTACTCCCAATGGAGCATAGGCCGCCGATCAGCATTCTCCAACCCACTCTGTCCTGAGCCTTCCTTTCTAGTTCTATCCAATTTTTGTTCATTTTCCTCATATCTGTCTCCATTTCTCGGCTTAATGTGTTCTTTGGTCTTCCTCTTCTCCTTTGGCCTTGAAGATCCCACTTGAGAGCTTGTCTTGTGACGCAGTTGGGTGCTTCACTCAATGTGTGTCCTATCCACTTCCAGCGCTCCTTCTTGATTTCTTCCTCCGCTGGGACCTGGTTTGTTTTCTCCCACAGTGGGTTGTTGCTGATAATGTCTGGCCAACGGATCTGAAGTATTTTGCGTAGACAACTGTTAATAGACACCTGTATCCATCGCGTTATCCGCTTAGCTACTGAACATGAACTCTGGGTTACAGGTACATTCAGATGACGAGTCCCAAATAGGACGACACGTACGTCCTGGATTCCACTGACGGTCACCGTCCATCTCTGCTTATAATGCTTGTGGTTTAAGGCAATATCGATGTAATACGCACAGGATGCACATATGCCAATAAGAGACTGATCAATTGCAGTCCTAAACATCAATGGGAAGTTTCAAACATCCAATTATTTTTTAATGCAAAATTACAGTGTTTTAGTAAAGTGTGAAAAGTATACGTTAAATACAACATCATTTGAACATTTTCCTTGTATTGTCTTTTGCATATTCCATCATTCGTCAAATTCTGTTTTTTTTTCGATTGCTCTCCTATTTAATTCTTATTCTCTTCATTTCAATATTTTTCTAACCGTCCTTCCACTTCCGATTAATATTACATACTACTTACATCTGTCAACATAAGTGATATACACCACAATACCGAAATTGGGCAAACCGAAGTGGATGAAGTTGTACTGTTTTTTTTTAACTTGGTACTTGTTAGTTGTGAAAATCAAGTTTTCTGTAAAACTACTAGATCATCATTTAAAAATACAGAATTTCACTTTTTTTAAAAAAAAATTGATTGAAAACTGGTTAGTTGCCCATTTGTATCGTCCAATTAACATTATTTCTTCAGTCATAATCACTAGCTACTAGTGTTAACTGACGTTTACTTCTTATTTATTAAATGTATGTCTGTTTTCTCTTTTTTTTCTATTAATTTTAGTTTAATAACAATCGTACCACAAATTTCATTCATGAGGTAGCTGTAAAACTATGTTCACCTATTTATCCTAATTTAAATAGTAATAGAAGTAATTGTTATCCTATGTTTAATTCTATCAACTCTGAGCGTATCAATTTATCATCATCATCATTACAGCACAAGTGTTCTACGTCGAATCTTTCCGATGCTATGTTTTTATATCGTCAAGAGCAACGTAGATGGTTACATAACCCAATTGAAGCCTGTTTAACTGCTTATCAGGTTGGTTGATTAGTTAAATTAATTAGTTGTTTGATTAATTTTGTCATTTAAGAAAGTACAGATGTTTTCACCAGCATAAGACCATCCTGGAGACCAAACATAGAACCTTAAGGTCTTACTCCGCAAGTAATCAACCTTTTGATTATTGATTCCTCATCCAATAAATTTGAAAGACGGATGTACCCTATCACGAAGTAGCTGAAGAGAAAATTTGTAAACCATTGGATGCCGAGTCGGTGGTCCAAAGGTTAAATGGTCTCTACAAAATCTGAAACTCTCTCCGTCTGATTTCTTTGCTGAGGTTGTGGGTGCTCATTGTTGTGTACAATCGAAACCTACTTTCTTTAGCTAGTGTTTGTTCAAGTATAGATTTTGTGAGTGCGATTCTTGAAATGGATTAAAATCTGAGCAAAGATGGATAGTGGCCGCGACCGACCTCCTGTAGGACTGAGATGTAATCACAATTGATTGATCACTGGGTGGTGATCAATGTTCATATATGTCAGATCTTTCTTAGTGTAGATCGAATCCTATCGACTAAGTTTCAGTGTGAGTGACACGGGATCGAATCCGTCAGGGAGCATCAGTTCCCTCAAGATTACAGGTACACCTTACTGATGAGTGCCAAGTAGCACAAAACCCGGGTCTGGGGTTTTTGTAGATATTATAGTAATTTCAGTAGTTGAGACCATATTTCAATGGAGGCTAGACCACCATAGAAAACCTGGATGTATTGAACTGCTATTTCGTCCTATTATTGGACTCCTCAGCAGTGCACATCCAAGATCCCGCCTCATGATATTCGAACCCAAGATCTATCGGTCTGGAAACGGCCATCCAGTACTTCCAGGTTTTAAATAGTCCTCTAGCTTCAATTGACTCGTGTGATCTCAACTATTAAAATAAATTTATGGTTTTTTTTATTTCTGATTACTTAAAAAATTCAATGAAAAAACTTTCTTTCGACTTATTCTAATTATCAAAGTATGCGCTTCTTCTTTTTCTTTTATTTAAATCTTTATATAGGAAATTCGAGCTGAATTAAATATCCTATTATCAATTACAAGAAATTCATTGTATTCTAATCAATATTCTTTTCCATCATCATTATCATCATGGTCACCTTCATTACCATCATCATCATTATTACTATATCATAAGAGTAGACGTACTAACAGATTATGTAATAGTTATTGTTTAAAAGAAAAACGATCTAATCAAAGTTGTTTTAATAAATGTTTACAAAAGAATAAATTAAAAGATTTTAATAATATGGACAAGATAAATTGTATTAATGATAGTAATAACTTACTTATTTGTTATGGAATTATTTATCCTAATCCTATTGGATTTTTAATGCCATTATTACCATTAGGCAATTTATCTGATTATTTCAATTCCTTATTAATATTATATCAAGATTTATTAAAGACAACAATGAATACATCATTCATAACAACAAATTATAATGAATTATTTATTAATCATCCATTACATCCAATCACTATGATGTTAATAATTAATCAGGTAAGATTTTTTTTGTTGTTGATTGAGATCATGAACCGATTGATGTTAGACCACCTTTGGAAACCTGGAAGCACTGGACAGTCGTTTCGTCCTATTGTGGGACTCCTCAGCAGTGCGCATCCACGTTCCCGCTCGCGGGATTTGAACCCAGGGCCTTAGGTCTCGTGCGCGAACGCTTAACCTACTGGAGCACTGAGCCGGCAGTCAATGGTGATAGTGTCTCCGTTCTTTTTCTTTTCTTTTGTTTTGCTTTTTGAGTTGGTTTTTTCTTATTTGTGTTTATTTTATTATTGGATCATAATGGTATACAGTTTCAAATTATTGACTAGATAGATACAAATATCTTTTTTTTTAATGTTTAATATGTAAATCATCAGCATATTTTTGTGCATTATGTAATATGAATTGTATTGTATATATTGTAATAAATATATCTAAAAGAAGTTAAATCAAAATATGATATCACTACATGAAGTTCTTGACTAGTTAACTGAATTGTGTCATTAATTGGTTGATATTAATATGATTGTTGTGAATAACAGTTAAGAAAAATTTTTCTTTATACCGTAGATCTATTGACTTTTTGTTTTCGGATATGTGTGTGAGAATGATAATAATTGGTTGTTTGCATAGTTAGTCTTGTAGATAGTTTGAACGTCGTTAGATGAGTTATATATTCTCCTATCCTTATTATTATTGTATCGGATTGTTGAACAACCACCGTGCAATTAATATCAGTCCAATACTAATAACTGATTATGGTTTAAAATTACAAAGTACTTATTCTAAGAAAAATAAAACCAAAATATACTACGGTTATAACTTCTAGCCTGAGTGCCCTCTTAATGTATGACGTAACGATACCGCCAATTAGAGAACAGTGAATTATCGATCGGACCAATGACGAATAAAAACCCGTACGAGCAGTCTATAGTCCTTATCGGTCCTGCTTCCTGCCTAGCCCAGCCAGTTAAAACCAAAACACCAATCTCAGCCTCTGCAATATGAATCATTCATTTCAAACATATCGGGTTTATATACTAACCAGACAGACCACACCGTACCATAAAATATGAAATAACATTTATACAAGAATTAGTCAAATGTGGGAGCTAGTAATTGATAGACTAGGCATAATTCAAGAATGGTAAATCGTACAAGAATAATTCATACGTCAAACTAAAGCTCATAATAAAAGGGACATGAATATGAATAGTTTAGTTATTTAAGAATTATACGATAAAAATATAAGCATAGTGTTGGTCCATAAATGGATCTCAAAAGTTACCATTCATTATGCTTATCGGGACCTAACAACTACAGAAGGGAATCAAGGTAGAAGAACTAATGAGAAGTTCGACGTATTGTGTTTGCACTCTGAGTTCGGGCATGAAATGGTGGATGGCCAGCGCCTCAGTAGTGTACTTTTTGATTAGATCTCCCTTTGATTCAGTTTTTTTATTGTGTAGATTATTTCAAAAGAAGATTTCTTCGGAGAGTCGTGTCCAGAGTGTATTAGATGTTGCCGTATTGAACTGGTGACTGTTTTGCATTCTCTTTTTAAAAGTCACATTGGGTAATGTTCTGAGATGCGTTTGGAAAGTGTTCGCTTTGTGCGGCCGATATAACCTGTCCCATGGCAACAAGTAAATTTATAGATGCACATCGATGTGGTTCGAACTGGAAGTTTATTTTTAACACATCCGTGAATGGTAGGCTGGGTTGATAAAGCAATACGGAGCTTAGCTGAATAGGTTTTATTCATCGATTTTGAAATCCGTTAATTCAAGAGTTCGACAGCAGTATATTTTAAATTTGATATTCATAAGACGTTTTCTTCCGAATTATTGGTGCTTTTTCAATATGTTGTCTTGGTGTTAAGTTCCTAACGAAAAATCCAGGTAGATAATGATTTCTGACGAATATTTGTCAAAGTTAAAGTAGTTCGTCATCTATTGTGTTATTCGAACATATTCGCCTAATACTTGAGGATAAATAGTGGATTAAGTTTCTCTTTCTATTCAATGGGGCCCAGCTATGGAAATATGTATACTGACCATTCCAGGTTGGTTTTCTACATATATATCTCTGTAAAGAACCATCTGACCTTTTTAACCGTATATCAAGAAAGTAAAATGCCTACTTCCAATTTGGATTGAATTGAATGATGACAATTATTGAATCGATTCGAAAAATTTTTGAGGTTCATATAATTTGTTTTGATTAATTTATCTTGGTGTAATGATATTGTTGGGTCGGCTTCCGGAGAACTTCAACGGAGCCTCCAGAGGCCCAAAAAGGAGCCGAAGGGCCCTAGCCAATCAGAGTATGATGGAACGTTCGAGAATTCCAGCGTGGCGTGCTACCATTGGTCGGTAGCATAATATGACGTTAACGGATTGGCTGAAATATGATGTTGATTTAACAGACGCCAACATCTATAAATACCCTTGATTTTCTGTACTAAAATGAACCTTGGGATAAAGTGTTTTCTCTCGTACTTGTGTCTTCTCTATGGAGTTCAAGTCGCTGTGTAGTTCTAGTCTGCGGGTTAGGGGAATAGCTTAGGAATCGTATATAGCGTTCAACATACACGACGTATCAGATATAATGTAGCAACTTGAACTATTGTGCATATATATGTATATGAAGTTCTATGTTGTTCTTATCTGACTGATTATATGAACTACTAGTGTAGTGAACGAGAACACAAGCGGGGACAATAGAATGTATTTGAATACAAAATTACAGAACATCTTAGTAAAATCTAAGAACCATACAATAATTACTTTATTTGCAAAATGTAAATCAATTGTCTCAGACTTTACTGTTCCTTTATATCCACAGCGATCATTCTCTATTCTTGTTCTCCTTTCTTCGATCTTCTTAACCTTCTGCTGCTATATATCTCAGTGGTCTAGTGGTTAAGTGCTCGCGCGCGAAACTAGTAGGTCCTGGGTTTGAATCTCGCGGGGAGCGAGGTCGTGGGTGCGCACTGCTGAGGAATCCCACAATAGGACGAAACGGCTGTTCAGTGCTTCCAGGTTTTCCATGGTGGTCTAGCTTCAACTGACTCATGATCTTAACCACTGAGGATACATTTTAGTTTTATTTTTTAATAGCTTTTTACTTTCCCATTGGTAATGTTATTTACTGAAATACATCAGCCTCTTTTGGGTTATATATACACTGTAATCCGTTCTAATTTCATTATTAAGATAAGTAATATAGTTCAAGTACTTTCAAGTAAAGAGTCTTAAATAGAATGACATATGATTCTTAGATTTCACTGTTAGTTACTATACAAATTAAAAAAAAACCTTTCTTTCACTTGGTAATGTTTTACTTGAATCTTTCCATTGATGTTTAGGACTGAATTTGATCAGTCTCTTATTGGCATATGTTCATACTGTGCGTATTGCCTCGATATTGCCTTAATTTACAATCATTATAAGCAATAATGGATAGTGGCTAGCAGTGGAATCCAACGCGATGGCGCTTGAAGCGAATGGTACTGGTTTCGATTCCCAGTGTGAACATCAACTCTGAGATTCAGGTACATCCAGCTGACGAGTCCCAAATAAGACGAAACGCGCGTATTGGATTCCACTGCTAACCACTATCCATCTTTGCTTATAATATTTTTCTTTTTTCTTCAAAATAAAAAAAAATCTTACTTTTAACCTTATTGAAAAATGGAATAAAATTTGATCAGAAATTTGTATTTACATTCTGAAAGTAATGTATACAATAAATACATAACGTAAAGAACAATTAATGGAAATAATACAATGTTAAACAGTCTTTTATTTTTAATTTGAACTCTTTAGAATCCTATATGGATAAATCTAACGTCAACTGTTATTAGATCTCATTCATTTTAGATCATACTTACTCTATTGAACATCATTCAATCAAGGAATTGAAATCTGATAATCAATATTTCAAGCTTAAGTCAATTTGATCATTATTATTATACAACATTAAACATGGTAACGGTCTTAGTTGTTTTTCCAATTTATACTTATCACATTCGTTTATTAGGCTACACAGATTAAAACAGTCGGAATTTTCTGGAAACTTTCATTATTTTATAGTTCAATACTTGAATGATCAAGTCAAATTACACTAATTAGTAATATGGTACAATTCTTTTTTTTCTTTCGAATTATGAATATTTTAGATAGCTAAAGGACTTGCATATCTTCATTCTTTATCTATTGTTCATCGTGATGTAAAATCGGAAAATATATTAATTTGGTCAATACCATCACCTTCTACAATGATGATGATGATGATGACGACATCATCAATATCGGAATCAAATGATCAGAATCCATCCGAAGTACATATTGTACTGACTGATTATGGTGTAAGTCGATTCATGAGTGTACGTGACGATGATGAAGATGGCAATGGATGTAGAGGATATGTTGGTACACCTGGTTATATGGCCCCTGAAATTTTAGACTATATAGGTGAACAAACATATACTTCAAAGGTTTGTTTAAAGAAAAAAACTCGAAAATTTTCTCAATGATATATATATATATATATATATATATATATATATCCTTTCATTATACTTCCTACTTACGTACTTACGCCTGTTACTTCTAATGGAGCATAGGCCGCCGACCAGCATTCTCCAACCCACTCTGTCCTGGGCCTTCTTTTCTAGTTCCATCCAATTATTGTTCATTTTTTTCATGTCTATCTTCATTTCCCGGCGTAATGTGCTCTTTGGTCTTCCTCTTCACCCCCTATTGGCCTTGAGGGTTCCATGTGAGGGCTTGTCTTGTGACGCAGTTGGGTGCTTTCCTCAATGTGTGTCTCATCCACTTCCAGCGCTTCTTCCTGATTTCTTCCTCCGCTGGGATCTGGTTTGTTCTCTCCCACAGTACGTTGTTGCTAATAGTGTCTGGCCAACGGATCTGAAGTATTTTGCGTAGACAGCTGTTAATAAACACCTGTATTTTCTGGATGATGGCTTTCGTAGTTCTCCAGGTTTCTGCCCCATACAGTAGAACTGTCTTGACATTTGTATTGAAAATCCTGACCTTGGTGTTGGTTGACAGAGAGTTGCTTTGAGTTCCAGATGTTCCTCAGTTGTAAATATGCTGCTCTTGCTTTGCCGATCCGCGCCTTCACATCTGCATCAGATCCACCCTGTTCATCAATGATGCTGCCCAAATATGTAAAGGTTTTTACATCTTCCAAATCTTCTCCGTCAATTGTGACTGGATTGATGCATGCTGTGTTGTATCGATTTGGTCTGTACATGATCGATCCTTACGGAATTCTGCCTGTTGGTCTCGAAGTTGGGCGTCTACGAAGTCCTTCATCCTGTTTAACAATACCTTGTTGAAGACTTTTCCCGGTATTGAGAGAAGAGTGATGCCCCTGTAGTTATCACACTTGCTGAGATCGCCTTTCTTCGGTATTTTGATCAGGAGTCCTTCTTTCCAGTCTTTTGGTACTTGTTCCTCATCCTAAATCTTATTGAAGAGAATGTGGAGTGTCCTTGCAGTTGCCACTACGTCTGCTTTTAGTGCCTCTGCTGGAATGTTGTCTGGTCCTGGTGCTTTGCCACTCTTGATTTGCCTGATGGCCATGCTGATTTCTTCAATTGTTGGTGAGCCAACATTGATTGGGAGGTCCGTAGGTGCTACTTTGATGTTGGGTGGGTTCAGTGGAGCTGGTCGATTCAAGTGTTCTTTGAAATGTTCTACTCACCTGTTTTGTTGCTCTTCAATGTTGGTGATTACCTCGCCTTCCTTGTTTTTCACTGGTCGTTCTGGTTTGCGGCGATTTTCAGAGAGTTTCTTTGTCGTGTCATACAGTTGTCTCATGTTTCCTTCATTCATACTTATTATAACATGAGTTTTCATCAAAACATTAAATAAACCTTTCCAACCTAGTAATTCAAATAGACATATAAGAGATAAAGGCCTTTCTATAACATGTTAGAAATGGGAAGTGAAGTTTAAAATACAATACAAATGAATCTAAAAATCATCTCAAAAAATTAGTTACTCTTCAGATTATACATATTACCTTCTAAAAATCTGTCGCAGCTCGATAACAGTACAGTGATAACATCAAACTATGCAGATGGATGGCAAGGGTTTAAATCTCACAGAGAGCATTTTTCTCCTCAGGATCACAGATATGCCCTTGGAACCATTACCTTTTAACTTTTCGTACCAATTATCTCTATACCTTTTCTATGTATGCCCAACCACCATCTAGCTGGATGGGCGATGTTATCTGTTGTAGGAATAGACTAAAAGAAAGCTAGGGGCGGCCAAACTAAAAGATTATGTCAGCCCATGAAGTTATTTGCAGTTTGACTGTGCCATGATCATAGGTGTTGACTACCTGGTTGGGGTCCATTTAACGATCGTAACCAATGGTTAAATACTTCCAATGACATGACTCAAAATCGTTTGCAATGGCGCAGATGTACTTATTATTTTTCTTCCTCCAAAGTCTGAGCTTTCTGAATTCTATATAAGCTCTGAGATTTGACCTGACAATTTCGTCTCTTTATGCTAATATAGTATGACAACTTGAACCGATGTACATACGTACAACGTTCTACGCTGCAACTGGCTAACTGAATGCATTGTGATAGTGTGTATACTAGCGACATATAAATCCGTTATTAGAATGTGCACTAAATATATTCATAAATTGATAACGGCTTTTACAGTCTCTCATTGCCCTTCACCTTTGCATCAGTCAGAAACCTAAGACACTATTGCATATTGTGATTGGACTACAAATTACCTCCAAAATATATCCCTGTTGTCAAATTTTTTCATTTAATTATTACTCTCTTGTTTTTGTTTCCCTTTATTTTACTCTATATAGATTGATATTTATGCTATGGGGATTTTATTATGTGAAATGATTCAATTAGAACAACCGTACAAAAAATCATCATCGTCATTTTATCGTTTAGCTCAACAAGTTATTTCAGGTGTACGTCCTGATATTCCACAACATGTATGTTTTTTTATATTGAATTGAATTTTTCTTTTGATTTCATGAATGATCCAAATCAATCCATCAGTAATATCTTTCAGTCTAACACTGAATATTATAAGTTCGAATCCCGATTAGTTTTCTTCAAGAGTAGCGGCTAATTCAAGATGTGGTATCAGTTCATAAAGTCACAGACCGTTGAACCATCTGATTTGTCTTCATAAGTGTAGACTATGTGATGCAAGGTTGATGCGATTATGGTGACGATTGGTTAACTTGTAAGGTAACATTCATAAGAATCGGTTGAAGTGAATCAATTACATTATTTATGTATCTTCCCTTAGATCTTCAATCTTACAAGGATCTTCTACTTTCTCTTTCTCTAAATCCATTCTTTCTAGAATAATATTTTCTATACCGAATAATTTGTGATATCACTTATATTGTTACTGCTTCTACTATTCTGACGTATATCTCGATGAGAACCTTTTAATATTCTGGTATTTTTAGAAACTAGAATATCAATTCATATTAAACCTAAGTTCAGCACAGTTTTGTAATGATTTGATTCAACCATTTAACATAGACCTTTACCATTAGCATTGTATTTAGTCATTTATATTAATGACCTCATTGAAAAACGTGGTCTGTCGGATTTAATCAACAGTAACAATGAACTAGATAAATTTGATATTAGTTATTTCCTAGTAATCCATCAGTCTAAACGGTTACTATCTTCATGAAAGAGGAAAGAAGGCGAATCAGATATTGGCCAAATAATAAGCACATAGGACTGATCAAATTGTTGATTCCTTTTTTAAGGAATGCGAATGTGAAAAACATCCTTCTCACTCAAATATTCAGTATGACTCGGAGATAAAAAGTTTGCTTATCAGCAACAGGATCTACCACTGCACAATACGGTAAAATTTCACCTAGTACTTATCCATAATCATAAAACTCGATGATAGTAAGGTTCGTTTTCATCTTCTATCCTTGTTTTCTTTTTAATACACTTCCTTTTGTATGCTAATCTATGTTACTTAACAATATTCAATAACTCATTCCACTTCTGATAAATGAGGATCTATTGTGATTTATATCGACTGTCACTACGATACTTGTAGGTTTAGTGCTTGTTAGCTTTCAATAATTGTCTAAGATCGATAGTTGATGTAAACTACGAAGTTTAACAAACTCAGTTAATCACTTATAGCAACATTATTTGATAAGTTGAACAACAAATCATTCAATTCCTTGAAACATCATATTGATTAATGTTCAAAAATCGGTTAGTGCAGTTCTTTTAAATGGAATGTGATCTGAATGACCAAATTGTGTATACGTTATATACAACATTGGATTTGTTATATTGGATTCATTATTTCCATTCTACTTACAAGCATGAAGCTTCAGTTCATTTCTTCATTTCGGTTATTTTAAACTAATCAGCATATACACTTGGTATTGTTTGGCTTGTATCTTCCCATTGTTGTTTAGGACTGCAATTGATCAGTCTCTCGTTGAAATATGTGCATACTGTGCGTATGCTTCGATATTACCTTAATTCACAAGCTATTTGTAAGCAATGATGGATAGTGTCTAGCAGTGGAATCCAGGACGCACGTTTCATCCTATTTGGGACTCGTCAGCTGGATGTACCTGCATCTCAGAGTTGATGTTCACTCTGGGACTCGAACCCAGCACCCAGCAGCAAGTGGCTATCAGGACTCCGTAGCTGAGTGAATAATGCGATGGCGTTTGAAGCGAATGGTACTGGGTTCGAGTCCCAGAGTGAACATCAACTCTGAGATGCAGGTACATCCGGAACTGACGAGTCCAAAATAGGACGAAACGCGCGTCCTGGATTCCACTACTAATCAGCATATATTTTAACTAAAAATACTCTATCCATGTACGTCCTGGACTCGTGGTATCAATAGACTATTTTATAATTTTCAATGTAATCTAATATTGTCAATAAATTTGCTCGATTATTCGTCAATACTTAATTACATATAATGGGCATACCCTCGTTAGACAACCATTGACACTCAAAGATCACTAAACAGTCTTTTTTGTCTTACTACAGAAATCTTCAGGAGTGTGGGTCCAAATCTCCTTGGGAATCCGACACAAAACATTTAGGTCTCATACTGATTGCTTAACCTTGAGATTAGGGAACTTTATTCGTATTCAAAAGATTCTACATTGAGGACTGTGTTTTATTACTTCAAGTTCTGACCTTGCACAAAATAACATGGCATTGACATGTTCAAACCTGTTGTGATTTTGATTTTACTAAAAATATTTTACTTTATTCCTTTTGTACTATTTAAGCTTGTGTTAATTTTATCTCGGTTACTTATTTAATTTAAAGTAGTGACTTACATTAAGTCAAGAAACATCAGAAATACAGTTTTCTACTGATTGAGATATCACAAAATATTATTTATTATTTAAGTTCCCAATGTTTACTTCAGTGGATTACAAGTTCGAATCTGACTTTACTCACGTCTATTTAAGTTGGTGTTATAGTGTAACTGCTGATTACACTAATGTAGACTATTTGATAAACAGGTTACAATTAATAATTGATCTCATCTAGTATCTCGAGTATCATGTATGTATTGTGGAACTTCTCAGCGGTGCGCATCCACGATCCCGCTCGCGGGATTCGAACCCAGGGCCTTCAGTTTCTCACGCGAACGCATAACCTCTAGATCACTGAGTCAGTATCCAACGCTGTTAATGTCTAACCTCAACCAATTCACGAAATTTCACGACCATCTTTCATTGTACTGAGGTAGATACCTGTCTCTACCCGATACGGACTAGCTCTATTGGTCACGACTTTTAGGTTTTCAATGATGGTCTAACATCAATCAATTCATGATCTCAATCAAAAACTTAATAATCTCCACAACCCTATACTGATATTATGTAAGTAATTATAATATTTGGCCATGAATTTAAACGATGATTGGGATGTTTACTTTGTCAAAATTCTCTATTTTTCCTTTTATTTTTTATCACAACTTCAAATAACAGTTTATTAAATGTTGTCCTATTGCATTAATCAATTTAATGACATATTGTTGGTCATCCAATTCAAATAGACGACCATCAGCTGAACAAATTGTACATTTAACTAATTCATATCAATTATCTACTTCATTATTATCATTATCCAATGAAATTATTACTAATCATTGTAATAATAGTAATAAGAGGACGAAGAAGAAGAATAGATCAAATTCATTATCAATTTATCAAAATGATTTAATGAACAAATCATTCATTGATAAAAATAATTGTTTTAGTCATATACAATCGGTGTATTCAATTGATTTTTTAAAAGTTGTAACTTGTGCTGTAATTGGTAAGTGATGAATGGTTATTTCAAAAATTGTGATTGATTTATTTCAATGATTGAGTTCATGAGTCAGTTGAAGCTGAGGAGTCCCACAATAGGACAAAATGGCCGTTCAGTGCTTTCAGATTTTCCATGGTGGTCTAGTTTCAATTGACTCATGATCTCAACTAATAAAATTATCATATCCACAAAACCCCTTCTGATATTTATTTATTATTTGTTTGTTTCTATGCTAATTGTTTAATGAGACTAGAGAAAAGAAAATTGAGGAACTTCTGTTTTCTATAGTGTGATCCATTTATTATTATTATTATTATTATTATTATTATTATTATTTTACAGTTCCTACGTTTGACCAATCCCAGCATGTAAATAAGAGCAAGTAGGTTTAAGTGCGAAATCGGTCATAGGTGTATATACCATTGTACTACTGACTCAGGTAATCACATGTAGCCGAACATTGAGTTGATACATAAACAGTGTTTTCTATAAACATGTCTCATTAGTAAATTTTTACCTGTCATTTGACCCTAAAAGGGGATATGAACTATTTAACGTTTGGAAGTTAACCATTATTTGTCTAGACTCGCTCAACCTATCAGGAATATCAATTGTTGAAATCATGAATCAATTGAAGCTAGACCACCATGGAAAACCTGGAAGCACTGGATTGCCGTTTCGTCCTAGTATGGGACTCCTGAGCAGTGTGCATCCACGATTCCGCCCCCAGCGAGATTCGAACCCAGGACATACCAGTCTCGCGCGCGAGCGCTTAACCATTAGGTCACTGAACCGGCCGGCATCCAACGGTGTTAATGTCTAACTTTAACCACGAAATTGCGCTACCGTACACCATTGTCTTCAGTGAGCTGATATCTCACAACAGACCTGGTTGAACTCCACTGGCCACGGCATCTCACTAATGCTTCCAAGTTTTCCGTGGTAGTCTAGCTTCAATTGACACATGATTTCAACTATTGAGATTTCTAAAATCTCCACAAAACCCCTTCTAATACTTACTTACGCCTGTTACTCCTCGTGAAGGAGCATAGGCCACTCACCAGCATTCTCCATCCAACCCTGTCCTGGGCAATCCTTTCTAGCTCCGTCCAGTTGTAATTCATCCTTTTCATATCTGCTTCTATTATCCGACGCAATGTGTTCTTTGGCCTTCCTCTTTTTCGCTTCCCTTCAGGATTCCAAGTTAGGGCTTGCCTCGTGATGCAGTTTGACGATTTGCGTAATGTATGTCCTATCCATTTCCATCGTCTTTTCCTAATTTCTTCTTCAGCTGGAAGTTGGTTTGTTCTCTCCCACAGAAGGCTATTGCTGATGGTATCCGGCCAATGGATGTTGAGTATCTTGCGTAGACAGCTATTTATAAATACTTGTACTTTCTTGATTGTGGTTGTTGTAGTTCTCCAAGTTTCAGCTCCATACAGTAGAACTGCCTTGACGTTCGTATTGAAGATTCTCACTTTGATATTGGTTGAAAGTTGTTTTGAGTTCCATATGTTCTTCAATTGTAGGAATGCGACCCTTGCTTTGCCGATCCTCGCCTTTACGTCTGCATCTGAACCTCCTTGTTCATCGATGATGCTTCCTAGGTATGTGAAGGACTCTACATCTTCCAGAGTTTCGCCATCAAGAGTGATTGGATTGCTGTTTTCCGCTTTGAATTTGAGGACCTTGGTTTTCCCTTTGTGTATGCTGAGGCCTACTGATGCAGAGACTGCTGCTACACTGGCTGTCTTCATCTGCATCTGTTCGTGTGTACGTGATAGGAGGGCTAGGTCGTCTGCGAAGTCCAAATCGTCTAATTGATTCTGAGCTGTCCATTGTATTCCGTGTTTTCCTTCAGATGTCGAGGTCTTCATAATCCAGTCGACCACCAGAAGAAAGAGGAAGGGAGAGAGTAAACAGCCTTGTCTGACTCCAGTCCTTACTTGGAATGCATCTGTCAGCTGTCCTCCATGCACTACTTTGCACTGTAGTCCGTCGTATGAGTTCCGGATAATGTTGACAATCTTCTCAGGAACTCCGTAGTGTCGAAGAAGTTTCCATAATGTCCTCCTATCTACACTGTCGAATGCCTTTTCATAATCAATGAAGTTGATGTATAGTGATGAGTTCCACTCAACTGATTGTTCGACGATGATCCGTAGTGTTGCAATTTGGTCTGTGCACGACCGATCCTTACGGAATCCAGCTTGTTGATCTCGAAGTTGGGCGTCTACTGCATCCTTCATCCGGTTCAGCAACACTCTGTTGAAGACTTTCCCTGGTATTGACAGTAGTGTAATGCCTCTGTAGTTTTCACATTTGCTCAGATCTCCTTTCTTTGGAATCTTGACGAGGTGTCCTTCTTTCCAGTCCATCGGCACTTGTTCCTCCTCCCAAATCTTTTTGAATAGAAGGTAAAGCATGCTTGTGGTTGCTTCGATGTCTGATTTCAGTGCTTCAGCTGGTATGTTGTCGGGTCCTGCTGCTTTCCCGTTCTTGATTTGTCTGACGGCCATTCTAATTTCTTCCGTCGTTGGTGGGTTGACATCTATAGGAAGATCTATGTGTGCTGCTTCGATGTCCGGTGGATTCATTGGAGCCGGCCTATTCAGGAGTTCCTCGAAGTATTCTACCCATCTGTTACGCTGTTGTTGAATTTCGGTGATTGGCTTGCCTTCTTTGTCTTTGACCGGCCTCTCTGGTTTACTGTATTTCCCTGCTAGTTTCTTCGTTGTATCGTGAAGCTGTTTCATATTTCCTTCTCTAGCAGCTTTTTCTGCCGTCGTTGCTAGTTCTTCCACGTATTTCTTCTTGTCGGCTCTAATGCTCCTCTTCACTTGTTTGTTTGCTTCTATGTATTCAGCTTGTGCTTGGACTTTCTCTGCTCGTGTTCGGCTGTTGTTAATTGCTGCCTTCTTGTTCTTCCTTTCTTTGATCTTGTCCAGTGTTTCTATAGAGATCCATTCCTTATGATGGTGTTTCTTTAGGCCCAGAACCTCTTGACACGTTGAAGTTAATGCTTCCTTGATGCCTTTCCAGTTGTCCTCCATAGTAGTTTCTTCTTCTTCAGTAGATCTTGTAAGGCTTGGAACCTGTTGTTGAGAGCTATCTTGAATTCATTGAGTTTGTCAGTATCTCGAAGGAAGGCTGTATTGAACCTTTGTAGTGCTGTTTGTCCACTTGTCCAGTTCTTTTTTAGCTTCAGTTTTAAATTGGCTACAACTAGGTGGTGATCTGAAGCTACGTCAGCACCTCTCCTGGTTCTCACATCTTCCATTGTCCTTCGGAATTTTTTGTTGATGCAAATATGATCTATTTGGTTCTCTGTAGTGTGGTCCGGTGAGATCCATGTAGCCTTGTGTATACGCTTGTGTGGAAATATTGTGCCTCCTATGACCAATTTGTTGAATGCACATAGATTTGCAAATCTTTCTCCATTTTCGTTTCTTTCTCCCAGTCCATGTCGTCCCATAATATCTTCATATCCAGTGTTGTCTATTCCGACTTTGGCATTTAGATCTCCCATCAGAATAGTTAGGTCCTTTCTTGGCATTTCTCAATGATTGACTGCAGCCGCTCGTAGAACTGATCTTTAATGTCGTCGTTGCTATCATTGGTGGGTGCATAACATTGGATAATATTCATTAAGATCCCCTCCTTCTTTGTTTTGAATGATGCTTTGATGATTCTGGATCCGTGAGACTCCCATCCTACAAGTGCATTTCGTGCTACTTTGGACAGCATAAGAGCGACTCCCTGAGTGTGTGGAGCATTGTCCTCTTCGTGACCGGAGTATAGCAGCATCTCTCCCGTAGCTAGCCTTTTCTGTCCAGCTTGGGTCCAGTGGGTTTCGCTGATTCCCAGTACTGCTAAGTTGTATCTCCTCATTTCCATTGCTATTTGACTGGTCTTCCCGGTTTCCCACATTGTTCGAACGTTCCATGTACCTATAAAAATTTTTGCTCTGGTTGTTAGAAGGGGCATCGGCCTCGTGGCTTCCGAAGGAACTCGGCTTTCACCATGAAGCGTCATAATTCTTCTAACTGAAGACCTTCTAACTCCCAGGGCAGAGTTTAAATGGTTTGGATTATTTTTTCTGGTAAGCGTTTTTTTAGCGAGTTAGTTTTCTACGGGATGGGGACGCTAACCCCATGCCCAACCCTCCTCCTTTACCCGGGCTTGGGACCGGCAGCAACCCTATAAGAGCTACAGGCGGAGTTCCCTTCTAATAACTATCAGGAATATGTTTAATTTTTTTTCTTCCGGATCTGTTATCATTCTTTTACTTTTGTCAGTTGGTTTGAATGAATAAGGAAGAAAAGATTTTTTGACAAATTGTCACATACACCTAGAAATACTAGTAATACTAACTTTAAAAAGAGAAAAAATCAACCTCAGTGGAAAGTACAGTCATTTCACGTTTAAATGATTTTGTGTACACTTCAGTGTAATATAAATGAAATGACATGTTTGCTGAGATTTATCACGTTTTTCCTTAATGATTTTCTAACTGTTCTTTTTAGAATACATTTCTTAAATTGTGAATGTAGTTACTTATACGTACATTTAGTCTGTTATGAACAGCATACTACTACTTAATGTAAATGCATATTAGTCCAACTTCATATCAGTTGAGTGATTTAAAAAAAATGGACAAAAATTCAAAACAGAGTATCAGAACTATTGACCTTATTTGTGATGAAAAGCTAAACATAAGGGCCCCCAAATGCCTTAGTACAACCGAAGGTTGAGAGATTCCGCTCTCCCTCATCAAATGCTCTCACATAGTCACGAGTATACAGCCACTTCCAGCGAAGTCCTACTCACTGCCTTCTCATGGTGGAGGTGTTGTTTACGTAACTGAGAGAGAGAAAAGCGAATGTCCGGTGCTTTAACCAGTTTGATGGGTACAGAAGAGCCTTCTATGGGGATTGGAGAACCACAATTCTAAACCAAGGGTGCACATGGGCTCCAGGATCCTGAGGGAACAAATTGCGTATGAACCTATTGTTCTTCGCTGGCTACCATGGGACGGCATCTCCTGACGTTGATCCACTGCCTTGTGGATTAAACCTCTAGGTCAAAGGTTCGAGGAGTGGTTCTTTAAGAAAAGCACCTTCTTTGGTTTGGGTGCTCGGACAGTATCTCAGCCCTCACACAAATATAATAACGAAGTATGGCACATATATATTTGTCGTCTTCCTGTACTAATGTTTCTGTGTTTAAATAAATAAATGAACATAAGAAGTATATTAATAAATGTTTATATTTTTTTGTTGTTGATATTCACGGACGCAATTGATGCTCTCTGTTGTCATATGTACACTGTGAGCGGATCGCGTTAATCTAATGTTGTGTCCCAGGTGTTAATGTATTTGATGTGCTGTTGCCAATGGAATCGTTGGACATATCATCTGAATTTATCTGTATCCCAGTGTTACCATTCGCCCGGTACTTTTCGCTTTAGATGTTGAACGTGTTACTGAAGAATTTATTGAGTCTAGATGGTTACTAGCTTGTGTAGTGTGTAGGAATTTTTATTTGTAAGAATTTATATTCCCCGTACTACAAACTTGTGACTATCCGGACTGAGTAGTTCAGTGAATAACCCATTGGATATTTAAAGAGAAATGTATTGGTTTTAAATCCTTGTGTAAACATTGACACTAGCTTACAGGATAAACGTAGATTTTTTCTTGCAAAAATGTCAGGTCAGCTGATGTGACTATGATTTATCATCAACTGAATTGTCTGAGACATGTATTATATGGGCCTAACTTCTACCTATCTCTATTCATGATATTTACTGGTGTAGGAGTAGATCGGGATAACGCTAGAGGTGGTCAAATCAATGCTCTCTATCAGTCCATAGAATCATTAATTGTTGAACTCAGCAATGTTATTGGCTATAGATTAATTACCTGACTAACTTACTGACTGTTCTACCCAAATTTTCTTCTTTTTCAGACAATAATTACAATTTATGGCTTGGCGGTTATAATCATATTCATGAATCATTCACATGAAGAATAACGATGCACATTCTATTAAATTAGGTTTATTAATCATTATTCCTCTGGACAATTTCTCCACAAATTCATCATTGTTATTAGCTTCTTGGCCAAAAATTCATATATTAAAACAATATTTTAAAAGGTTTATAAACGAATGTGACTTATGCATTAAACTATCCGATTGGCCAATTCATTTACGTATATTGAATATTAATGTTGATGAAGAGATGAAAATAGGACGCAAAGATTCTGATATTTCACCTCTATTAATAACTTGTTTAACATATTTTGGTGAATTAAGAATATATAGGTAAGTACAAATGTTACTAATTAAAATATATTTAACTGAGATCACTAACCGATTTAACTTAGACAACCATTGTAAGCTCTGATCAGCAGCTATCCTGTACTGGTATAGGACTCCTCAGCAGTGCGCATCCACAACTCCATAACAAATCTGACTCAGGACTCTCGGTCCTGCACACGAACACTTAACATTTAGGCTACTGAGCTTGAATCCAATAGTGTAGATGACTAACGTCAATCAACTCGAGATACTGCTCAACTGTATTTCAATGCCATCGGTGGGTACTTGTTCACACTCGATGCGGTTGAATTCCACTGGTCAGAACTTTTCACTAGAACTTCAGAGTTAGTCACTAGTTTTCTTTTAATATTGTCAGTTTTCGTTGCTTAACAGTTATTAGATACTTTTTAATAATATTTTTCCTAAGTAATTAGTCATGTAGGATATTTGATGCCGTTTCAGTAAATCTAAAGACTAAGCATTTATCGCAATGCCTGAATGTCTTAAGTTTGATCCTTGACGAGGCTGTTCATATGTTCTATTAAGGCAACTTATACTAGAAAGAAACAGCTTTCTAATATTACCTGATTTTCAGTCGTTGTTTGTTTAAGTTCAGTTTGTAGTCTAAACTAAAATTCAACGATTTCCACAACTCCCCTTAATCAATATCTCATATTACTTTTTGAGTTTTCCTTATTAATTGTAGCATAGAATTAATTTCTATGTAAATGATTGTGGGCGCGTGTCTGTTATTAAATGACAATATCGTTCGTTAAATCTCTTAGACAATCCATACGGAAACACATTTAACTAAGTCATGATCTTTACAAAACTGTACAAGTTGGACGCATCTTATATAATTTCTTAATGTGTCTATTTAAGCACACAAATCATTTGTAAGATTGAAGTAGACTTTTTTAATGGTTTTTTTAAAAATTTCTTGTCATTTGCTAATACCATTCAAAATATAAGTAACATTAGTAAATATGACTTAATATTAGTTAATCAACTCATAGATTACCATAATGAGTGTGAACAATACGTACGGACCAAAAGAAGATAAGCTTGACCCCTTGGAATTGCGAAGGATGTTTATGTATTGTTTTTTTAAAAAGATATTACTTTATATACCTGGTTTTTCTTTACAATGATAAATAATCACCCTTAAAATAGGTATAACTTAAAAATGAATTTTATACTGAATACGTTACAGAGGCTTTAATGAACAAATTTATAGAAATTAACAGAATAATATCGAAATAACATACTGAAATGAATACTGACTTAAATTGTCAACAATATAAACGAATGTTAAACTGAATAATTAGCAAAGATGGATAGTGGCTAGCAGTGGAATCCAACACGCGCGTTTCGTCCTATTTTGAACTCGCCAGTTCCGAATGTACCTGCATTTTAGAGATTATGTTCAATTCGGAACTCGAACTCAGTGCCGTTCTCTTTAAACGCTATCGGGTTATCCACTTACCTACTGAGTCTTGATAGCCACCTGCTTGTGTAAAGGGGTGAAGTTTAAATTCACTTGGTATTGTTTGACGGCATCTCCCGATTGTTGTTTAGGACTGTAAATGATCAGTCTCTTGTTGGCATATGTGCATCTTATGCGGACTGCCTCGATATTGCCTTGAGCTAACGAGTCTAAAATAGGACGAAACGCATGTCCTGCATTCCACTGCTAGCCACCATCCATCTTTGCTTATGAGACTTGTGACTTTAAGCAATATCGAGGCAGTCCGCACTGTATACACATATGCCAAGAATAGACTGATTAATTGCAGTCCTGAACAACAATGGGAAGATACAAGTTTAAAATAACCGAAATGAAGAAATGAACTGAAGCTTCATGCTTGTAAGTAGCATAGAAATAATGAATCCAATATAACAGATCCAATGTTGTATATAACGTATACACAATTTGGTCATTCACATCACATTACGTGCAAACAATACCAAGTGAATATAACCAGTTTTATTTCTTCTGTTATGAAATGCTTTCGATTTTGTACATTCGCTTCTTAATAGCTGAAAAGTAAGTGACTTCAAAATCGGTCGACCAGTTTAAGAATCACACTTATCAAATAAAGTATAGTACAGAGGCGAGGTAATCGAAATGCAGAACATGACTTTTAAGTTTTTAACTGAAATTTAAATATTATGTATGATAAGCATTTGAAACATTTATACACTGATCAAAATGTCAGCAAAAGAAGCTTTTTTACAGCGGTATAGTAAATATGATTCTATCTCTGTAGATTGCCTATAACTGGTAAATCTGCACTGTTCCTAAATCTTAACTTTGAATCCCTAATTCTGGAACAAATCTTAATACGGTAGTACTATATTTTGCCGACAAGCTAATCGGACAACACTTTCTGCATATTTTTTAACGAATTCATCGATCTGTTTAGCTAAAGAGCATTTTAGTTCTATAGCTGATGTCAGTTTGTAATAGAAACCCTAACATTAAGGTTAATTACCCAAACCTAACAAAGAAAAATGTAAAGATTGCATGGCTTGAGTATTATTGTCTTACAGGTTAGCAACCCGCACTTAATCAGTTGGTAATTAGTGTCCGTAGGTATAATATGTGCTTCTCACCTTCTAAGTGCAAAGTACTTTTACAAGACTGGCTGGACTCTGATTCTGTATTCATCCTGGGTGGTGAGCAAATAGAAGTAGTCGAGAAGTTCGTGTATCTGGGTAGTCGCTTAAGTGCTAGTGGTGGCGTGAGTGACAAGATCAAGTCAAGTACAGTGAAAGTCAGAGCGGCTTATGCTAATCTGGACCATCTTTGGCGCCTTTGTGATGTTAGTCTGACTGTAAAACGTTGGATCTCGAACGCGCCGGTGGCAGCAGTTTTACTCTATGCCTGTGAAACCTGGCGTCTCCGAGTTGAAGATGTTAGATGACTCTCTGTGTTTGATCATCGTTATCTCCAAAGGATTGCTGACATCCAGTGGCAACACCATGTTAGTAATACAAAGAGAGGTTTGGCATACTGTGTTCGATCGCAGAGACGATAATTCAATTGATGTCACTATCTCGAAACATCAACTTCGGTGTCTTGAACATGTTCTACGAATGTCATCCCAGAGATTTCCACGTCGTACATTATTTGCCGACGCTGGGACTGGTCGAAATAAGCGGAGAGATGGTTACTGTATGACATGCTTTCTTAGTATGAAAGACAGATGTACAGGACTGGCTTGTGTTGGTCGTTCACGACTCCGTGGTTGGGGTCCTAGAGATGGTATGACACAGTGGCTAGAGACGTTACCAGACATGGCTCAGAATAGAAGCCAGTGACGATCCAGTTGTGGAAGTAATTTCTTTAACTGAAGGAATTATTTCTGATTGTATTTCTCCTAACTACACTGTTACTCCCCATTATTATTTCACTCTCATACACTAATCTCTTCGTTGTCGTCCTTTTTTTATTATATGCACTTTATTATTATTATTATCAACTTTATTCAATATTATATTTTTGGTACAATATAGAATTCTCAGCGCAAAGTATTTCAACAAGTTTCCGTTTCTTTCTTCTTGGTCGGTCCTGGCGATAAATATTGAGTGATCGCCAGTTAGATGTTAGCAGTTCACTAAATGAACATCTGAATAATGTACATTCTTTTCGTTGTATAATTACCAGCAACCATATTGTCTCTTATTGAGTTTTTTGTAACTTTGACAACGAAAGGTTGTACACTTTTCAGAAACGCAGCAGAATAGGTTATGCGATTAATAAACATAATGATATATTAAAACAAACAAAAGTCCATAACTTGTTGAAATATCTAGATGGCAGGAACAGGTAGCCCAGATGCTCAAGCAGGCCGCCCTATATTTACATTCTCGATCTTTTCACAACCTCATTGTTATTGTGTGGTGCATATGTATTTTATGCCCGCTTGCATCAATGTTTGTATATTCAAATAATAATAATAATAATAATAATAATAATAATAATAATAATAATACAGTGTAGGAACTCTTAAGAATTCATTTAGGTTATTATTAAGTTGTAAGAATACAGATAATCTATGTCCAAAGAACGAATATATGTGTCGTTATCTTTTTTGTGATTTACGAGCAAACTAAATTATAAAATACTTTAATCAATTTATAAACTATATCAAATCTCCTTACACTTTGTATTATGATTATTTCTTTTGCCACAAACTATCCATTCACAAAAGTTAGTTTGTTATTGTCTAAGAAATGGGGTGAAAAATTGTCACGATTATTTTAAGCTTATCTTAGTATATCATCCATAAGTTCTATCCGTTAATCTTGTCACACCACAATTCTAATTGACAAACATATTAAAATTTCGAATTTCGTACAAGAACAAAAATTATATGCTCATTGATGATCAGCTTCAAGATGGTTTTCCTAGAGTTCTATTGAGAAGCCGTGACCAGTGGAGTCCAATCTGTGTCGAGTGTAAGACAATTTTCCACATCAGACAATGGATGAAAAGTTGCGTAAGATCATCGATCGATTGAAGTTAGTCATGAGGAGAATTGGATGGCGGCTCAGTGGTCTAGAGGTTCAGCGCTCACGTTTAAGACCGAAGGTCCTGGGTTCCAGTCCCACGTGTGGGATCGTGTATGCGTACTGCTGAGGAGTCCGACATTAGAACAAGATGGCCTTTCAATGTTGTTCTAGCTTAGATTGTCTCATGAATTTAACTGTTAAAAAATTCGTTTTTTTTTTGTTAAATTCTGGTTATACATTATATCATACCAATCAGCTGATAAAGTAAAAGACTACTTCTCTAAAACCAACCAATCATTTTAGATCCATTATAGGTCACTTTCATTTGAAAATTCTTACTATTGTCGTTTATTTTTTCTCTCTTTTAGATCAAATAATCAAAATTCTTTAAAGTATATTTGTCTTTTAAAAGTGCAACTGTCACAGTGTTGTTCTACATTGAATCGAAATTTCACATCGACTGGTAATGATAATGACAATAGATGTGAAAATCTTTTTCAAGAAATTAATATGATGCTTAGTTGTATAATGTATGATTATAATCAACATAAAATGAATGATCAAGATTACAATTCATCCTTGTCACCAACAGTATCATCATCAGCAGCAGCGGCAACAGCATTATCTAACAGATGTATTCACTTCATATTATGCTTATCATTTCCACAAATTTGTATTATAAAAATTAATATTCATTCTAGTTTAATGTTGAAATTTGATCGACTTATTTTTATCGATATAGATCAACCTGTTCATTCAGGGATTATTCTTCCAGAAATTTGGTAAGTTTTAAGCATGCATATATATATATATATATCAGAAGGGGCTTTGTGGATAGTATAGTAATTCTTAATAGTTGAGATAATGAGTCAATTGAAGCTAGACCACCATAGAATACCTGGAAGCACTGGACAGTCGTTTCATCTTATTGTGGTAGTCCCGAGGAGTCCCTCGGCCATCCAGTGTTTCCAGGTTTTCCATGGTTGTCTAGCTTCAATTGACTCATAATCTCAACCATTATATATATATATATATATATATATATATATATATATATATATATATATATATATATATATATATATAGTTCTATTATCTCCTTTTTTCAATATTTAGTGGTTCTAATATTTGGCTTAGTCAAACTGGCAGTAAATTAGTATGTTATGCATGGAATGATTCAAAGTGTGAAATTCAATCCTCCTCTACACCATTATCATCATCATCATCAAGTTATCTAAAATTTTATTCATCCTGGTTTGTCCCTTCATTGTTCAATTCAGAAGCATCTCTAGTAACTCACTTTTTGATTGAAAATTCAAAACTAACTAGTAATCGTCCAGAACCTTTGGTGGAAGATGTTGATACAAGTAAACACGTTTGTGTTTGGACATATTTGGAACCAGGTGAATGTTGATAAAAACTTATATTTATTTATGTTGAACATATTTTCATTCCCTTCTATCATCATTATCATTTAATGTGAAAAACTTTTACTCCAATCAGTCACTGAAGTGTAATGAATATCTAGTCCTAGTCCTTAGAATTATTTGATTTAGTGATATTGGTATTATGTTAAATCATTCGACATACCACTGTACTTTATCGACGTTATTAAATCGGAAGGGGATGGTAGAAAATTTTTAACTAAGGTTTTTATGTTAGTTCATTTTAATTAGTAATGGTTATCTGTAATTAACGTGAAACCTTACTTCCTCTAGGTTTCGTGCTATTTGTCACTTGCCAATAAATCGTACTTGCAGTCATCAGAGGTTTAATGCTCCGTCTATAAAAAACTAATGTTTGAACAAAGAATATTCTTTTCGATAAACTGTCTTCAGGTTCTACAATTATGTAATCCAAATTAATAATACGGAAAATGGCCAGGTCAAGGGCAAAGTGCATTGTTTAAAGTTTAAGTATGTGAATATAGGCTTGTCAAACAAAATAGAACAAAATAGTTAATAAGCAAAGATGGATAGTGGCTAGCAGTGGAATCCAACACGCACGTTTCGTCCTTTTTTGGACTCGTCGGTTGGATGTACCTGCACCTCAGAGTTGATGTTCACTCTGGGACTCGAACCCAGTACCGTTCTCCTCAAGCGACATCGCGTTATCTACTTGACTACTGAGTCCTGATAGCCACCTGCTTGTGCAATGTGGTGAAGTTTAAATTCACTTGGTGTTGTTTTACTTGTATCTTCCCAAACAGGAGAAAATGCGCGTTCTGGATTCCACTGCTAGCCACCATCCATCTTTGCTCATAAGGCTTGTGACTTCAAACAATATCAACGCAGTCCGCCCTGTGTACACATATGCCAAGAATAGACTGATCAATTGCAGTCCTAGATAACAATGGGAAGATACAAGTAAAACAACACCATGTGAATTTAAAATAGTTAATGTTGATTTGACTCATGTCGAATGTTAATTTGAATCAACTTATATGTTAAGTGAAAATGTTTAGATCCATGATCCAAATAAATATGGGTCAGATATTGTGAAGGAAATAATAGTACAATTACAGTTCTATCAAATGTATATAGTTTTCCGACTATATTGTGTAAAAAAATGATTAGTAAAACATAATAAGGTGGAATGAATGAGAAGTAAACGAATCATGTATTGGAAAGATTAATGGTGATGTTAAAGCAATAGTAATAACAGTAATAACCCCTTCAGATATTAAACAATAATAATAATACAAATATTTGTGAATAAATATGACAGAGACAATTACATATGACTACGAAAAGTCTTAAGTGAAATAGTCAAATTAGGTCATTCAATAGCTTTTGTAATTAAATTTATTGTTCTTATACTGGTAACAATAATCTAATAGAGTTGATTTAAAATGTTCTACTTCTTGATCAGAATTTGCAATTATACTACAAACGAAGTTATAAAAGCTAATCAGATCTTTGAAAAAGCTCAGGGATCAATTGGTTATTTTTTCGTTTTTATAAGAAATGATTAAACCGGTCGGAACCTATTTGCCAAGATTGTATCGATTGCCAAAGGTACACAAACCATGGATCCCATTAAGACCAATTTTAAATATGTATAACTCTTCTATAGCTAAATGGTTGGTCATTATATTGAAACCTCTCTACGAAAAAACTTGCAAAACTTAGTGTTAAGGATGTATTCCAACTTGTTGACAAGATCAAAAAATACAAATACTTTGAGACTAAAGATGATGACTTTAGATGTAACATCATTTTTCACAATTGTTCCACTCATAGAGACGATAGAATATATATATCGGTGAACAATTGAGTGAAAATGAAATTAAAACTGCAATTCCTATCAATGTCGTTAAAGAGTTATTACTGAAATTCATCATGAATGTAAATTTCAAATTCAAAGGAAAAATCTATAGGCAAACAGATAGAGTTGCAATGAGTTCATCATTGAGCCTTATATTAGTTGACATTTTCCTAGACAAACTAGAAGATGGTCCACTCAAAAAGACTATTCGAAAATTCACATTTTACTGTCGACATATGGATGATAAGTTCTTCCTCAGTAAAGATAATGCATCACAGTAAGAGGTTCTTAGACAGTTTACTGAAGTACATCCAGCAATTGAGTTTACATCTGAAGAAGAGAGTGATGATCGTATAGCCTTTTTGGACATTCTCTTAACTAGGAGCGCTGATGGATCACTAAAAAGGAATTTAAACAGAAAAAATAAACACCTGGATAAAGTAGTACACACATTTCTTTAGCATTGCACCTCTACAGGACAACAAGAAGCTGATCAAAACTCTCTTAATCATTCAATTAATAAATTATTTGGTGTATTTTATATCATAATCCCAGGTGAAAGTGTTATACATCAATTAGTTATCATGTCCACAATTGCAAACATAATTTATTTCCGCCTCGTTTAAAAAAAGAGACAAACTAAGCAGATTTTCTCTTTATTGATTAGATGGAAAACTTGACTGTTGGTCAGCATTTTCACAAACTCTATTGAGAAGTATCAGTTTAATACATCAATTAGATAATGATCTGTTCACAGAGAACCATACAACATTCGGTAAGATCAATAATAATAATAATAATAATAATAATAATATTGATAAAAATGTTATGGCTTGAGACCCGTCTTTGTTATCACATGTTAAAGTTACTAATCAAAATTCTAATTAAGTTCTCTTCTATTTCCTATCTACTATTTCTTTTGTATCTACTGTCCTAGACTTAACAATTACACATCTGACCTGCACTGTTGTCTTTGAGTCGACACAAGCCCGAAAATGCTCTGGTACAGCCGAGGGTGGGGGAGAATCCGCTCTTCCTCTCGAAATGCCCTCACATGGCCACACGTATACATCCACTTCCAAGGAAGTCCTACTCACTGTCTTCTTGCTGCGGGGTTTGGTTTACGAAATTGAGAAGACGAAAAGCGAATGTCCACCGCTTTAACTGGGTCGGTGGACACGGAGAGTCCACCTAGGGGAGTTGGAAAACTCAGCTTTTAAACCAGTGGTACGGATGGGCTCCAGGATCCTAAGGAAACAAATGGCGTATCAATCTATTGTTGGTCACTGGCTACCATGGTACTGTATCTCCTTACGTTGCCTCACTGCCTTGTAGATTAGACCTTTAGGTCGAAGGCTCTGGGTGTGGCTTCCTAAGAAAACCACCTGCCTCGGTTTGGGCACCCGGGCAGTATCACAGCCCACACACAAATCGAGTAACTTGTATGGCGCATATGTATTCCGTGCCCCTTTATACCAATATTTATGTGTTGAAATAATTAAATAGATAAATAAACTCAAACCTTCGTCTATCAATTGCAGCCGAAGGAAAGTCAGCAGTCTTACTTCAATCAATCCACTATGGATACTGGCCCAGTGGTTCAGAGTGTTAAGTCGGCTTTCCGAGAACTGCAACGGAACCTCCAGAGACCCTAAAGGAGCCGAGGGGTCCTAGCCAATCAGAGTATGATGAAGCTTTCTAGAATTTCAACGTGGCGTGCTACTATTGGTCAGCAGCATAATATGTCTTTTAGCGAATTGTCTGAAATATGATGTTGATTTAACAAATGCTAACATCTATAAATACCCGTGTTTATCTGTACAAAAATGAACCTTTAGAGTACAGTGTTTTTCGCTTATTTTCCGTCTTTTCTCTCGAGTTCAGGTCGCTGCGTAGTTTTAGTTTGCGGGTCACCAGAACAGCTTAGGAACCGAATAAAGCGTTCAAATTAACAAGACTTATCACAGAGTCTAAGCGTTCACATGAAAGCGAATGTCCTGTATTTGACTCCCACGTGCTGGGTCGTGGATGCACATTTCTGAAGAGCCCCATATTGGGACGAACCGACCGTTTAGTGCTTACAGGTTTTAAATGGTAATCTGACATTTATCAGTTCATGATTTCAATAAGAACTCAACAATCTCCATAACCCTATACCGATAATTATAATTATACTAAGGTGATATTCTGTCTAAATCAATATCCAATAGAGAGCTATTGAATAAACCAATCAGGGATTGGTAGTAGTATCATTCTAGTTTGAATATGAATAAATAAAAGACTGAGATAATGCAGATTTGGAGCTCATGTAAATGCTTTTGTCGATACTGAATTATCTTTACTGAATAGTTTAATTGTAGAACTTTCATTGTCCATAATAAGTTCATCAACCTTTACTCCCCATAGAAGTTGTAAATTATATCAGTTGAAGTAGTAACATTTGTGGTTAAAAATTATCACTAGGCATCTGTTTTATTATAGGATTCTCCTAAATAATGTCTAATTATAACTCTGTGATTGCCTTCTGATCTCATAATGAACTCTTAACCATTGAACATCATCGAATTAAAATGTGTTGGTTCAGATCATTAACCTTTTTCTACTCGAATCATACTAATATATCAATGCAATGTATTATTACCTTTTATTAGTTCCCGTTAATTACATTCCTTTATTCATTTTGTTTTTTATTTTTGAATCATTAAGAAATTATTGGATCAGTTAATACAATGGAATGGCTTAATTTATCATCAAGTATTCTTTTATTAACAACCCATGGTTATTTGATTCATATTAACGTGATGAATACTAACAGTGTTACTAATGTTGATGGTAATTCAATGACAACTACCAATGATACTAAGATGTTTAGAGCAACAACAACAACATCAGCACAAACATTTTCGTCTTCTACATCCCCATCATCACGATCATTTTGTCAGTTATTTCACTACCATGGATTATTTTCAAATAAAGATTTCTCTTTAGTTATTCCATTAACATCATCAATATCATTATATCAGACAAATGTGAAACATTTTCCAAAACGTATTATCACTATAAGTAAAGGTTATTTAGATCCTTTAAATTGGATCAATCATCATGTTTCATCATCATCAGCTTCTTGTTCTCCTACTGATTCTACATCTTTTAAGAGGGATTTCATTGAATTAACAATGTCCAATAACAACAATAATATTGATGATTATAATAATAATCATATAATTGAATGTTTAAATCAAGAGAAATTTTATCTCGTTAAATTATTTTCTGATCAATTTTTATTTCCATCATAAATTTCTAATGAGAAATTTTATTGATTCAATCTCGTTTGTATCTTTTTCTCATTTCCTTTTTTTTCTTGCACAGTAACCATTTCCTGTTTACTTATGGATAATATTTTCATATTTCTCTCTTTTCTCTTTATTTATTTATTTAATCAATATAATCAAACTTCTTTCTAATATATATGTGTTCACATTCATTTTCTAAGGAGCTGAACTCACAATCTATGCATTACATCATTGTATACTATATATACAATACACATATGTATACATCTATCACATATATGTATATACATATGTATGTATTATATTATCATTCATTGAAACTTATTTCTATAATTCATTTCATTTCTATCAGAGTTAACGTAAAATCATTTGATTTTCATAGATCTTCCTTTACAATTTCAGTGTCGTTGTTTTTGTTCTTGTTGTTGTTGTTGTTGTTAGTAGTAGTAGTAGTAGTACTTTCTTGTCTTATTTTCTATGGTATTTTTTTCTTTTTTTATATTTATTAAACGTACTGTGATATGTGTATAAATAGATTATTTCAATAATGTAAAACAATTAGTTCCTTTGATAAATTTCCATAATGCAAGACAAAGAAAACGAAGTTTAAACAATTGAGATCATGAGTTAATTGAAGCTAGACCATCATGGAAAACCTGGAAGCACTGGACGGCCGTTTCGTCCTATTGTGGGACTCCTCAGTAGTGCGTATCCATGGTTCCCCCTCGCGAGATTCGAGCCCAGGACCTATCAGTCTCGCGCCAGGCGCAACACATCCACCATTGTCATCAGTGACTTACTACCTCACAACTGGCCAGGTTGAACTCCACTGGTCACTGCTTCTCACTAGAACTCCAGAATATATATCTTGAAGCCAGTCACTAGTTGAAGATAGACATTAACACCGTTGGGTGCTGGCTTAGTGGTCTAGTTGGTTAAGCGCCTGGCGCGAGAGTGAAAGGTCCTGGGTTCGAATCCCGCGAGGCGGTTTCGTGGATGCGCACTGCTGAGGAGTCCCACAATAGGACGAAACGGCCGTCCAGTGCTTCCAGGTTTGCCATGGTGGTCTAGCTTCAATTGAATCATGATCTCAACTGTTACAATTACTACAATTTCCACAAAACCCCTTATGATATTAAAACGAAGTTTATCAGAATTATGTGATGGTATATTTACGTAATACATTTCCATATCAATCTGATCACACATTATGTACTTGTTAAGAACATTTATATATGAAAATTAAAAGGGCAACTAAACAGATTAAATGTAAGTCATAACAAAAACAATGTGGTTATCATTCTAGACAATAAATTAATATTAACATGGTAAGTTAAGTGTAAGGGCAAATTATTTTTCAACACATACAGTGGGGTTTCAATTTCTGTATAGCTAAGGCTTCAATAAACTTTAGTATACGTCTTTGAAGACTTTCATATATAACATTACAAATGCTGATTTGATGTCAACCTTATGACCAGTCTTAATCAATTGTTTCGTGATGAATGATAATGTCTGTCTATCCTGTGATCTTGTTTGACCATTTCAACATTGGATAATATCACTTGTAATACTGTTTCATCTGTTTAACTATGAATAATATTTCAGTTTAAAATAATGCATCTTTTTATTAAATGAATACTTTTGTTAATATTTTATTATCTAAGCTAAATAGTTTAATTAGAAAAGTAAAAATGGTTGTAGGATACTTTTATTACATTTGAAAGTATTCTATAAATCATTAGTGGAATGTCAAAATCTTCTAGATTTTGTATCGCTTACAGGTCAGTAAAATACACTTCTTAATGAGATATGCATGTGAATATGTGTAGTTAGAGTACGGTGGTCATTATCACTTGCGAATAGTGAGCAGGAATAATGGAGGTCAATTTAAACAAACTTCTTCGGTCGATTTAGCGTTTGTAATGAATTGAATGGAATTATGAAAAGTTATAGATATTCGCAAAAATTGTCTTCACAACTTAATGTGAAGACCATTCTCACATAGCACCCCCTCGAGTGTCCAGAAGTAACACTTGTACAATTAAGAGTTGGTAAATACACAATAATAAGTATATGCATTGAAATATATAATAAAAAATGGTGTGTAAAGATACATATACCATATATGTTGGTAATCTTTGTACTATGTTGTTGTACGAAATTATCATGTGTGTGGTCGATTACTACAAAAAATCTGATACTCAACAATAAAAAGAATAATAGCACAATTATGTAACAATGATAATGATAATCTCCAAAATAAATCGATCTGTAAGTTTTCGACATTGGATGCTGACCACATTAGTTCTAATGGACAAATTGAGTTGATAGCACTGGGTTATCCATCCGCACCACATAACGAGTAGAAAAGGCTGTACTCAACAACACATGCAATCGCTAACCAGATTATATCAGTCGATCCACGATATATTGATAGCCTATCAAATATATATTCGAACCTCCTCGCTTCTGTCGTTTGATTTCACTTGGTGGGCACGATTCATATTAGGTGTTACTGGTTAAAGCATTTTTAAACTCCAAATACATGTGGCATTATCAATAATAATAGTGGTAGTAAAGTTTTTATTAAGGGACTTAAAAGAAATATCAAATCTATTCACTAACTGAAATCTATTTAAATATGGTTGTGATGGTTAGTGACGACAGTGGGAGAAAACATACACTCATGATAACTGTACAGAAAATGAATTGTTAGTCAGTCAGTAACAACGTAGAACTTCGTACGTACGTACATCAGTTCGAGTTGCCATACCACATTGGCACAGAGATACAATTGTCGATTCAAATCTCATAATGGTGGAGGTAGTAAGAGTATAAGCAGTAATCGGGAAGATTAGGGTTTGGAGATGTTATTTAAAGAGTAGAATACAGTGAAATAAATTTGGGAAGAGAAAAAAAGACAAGGAGGAATCAGGAGATTAAAATTTGGGAGAACACAAAGAATGGATGCACCTGCGCTATTGCAAAAAATTTTGAGCCATGCCATTCAAGGTCTCTAACCATCGGTTGCTATCATCTCGCGGATCCCAACCAGGTAGTCTACACCTACCCGACCGTAGCTGCTACCTTGACGCGGTGGTCGGGCTTGCCTATCGTGATGACCCAACCGAGCTATATTGGCTGGAACATATGTTCCTGTAGGTTCTACCATGCCAGGCACGTCGGTTGGAGAATAGTAAGACTAAAAGCAGCAACTCAAGGTCTGAGGGAAGGGTGTGACAGAAGTAAGGTGTTTCCCTCGGACAACCAGCATATACAGCGATGCTGCCTTCCCACAAGGAGGGTGGGGTTAGAAGAGGTCGACCCTAAAAATGTCACATCTCACCTTACCTCACGGATTTCCGTCTCCGGCGGTAAGGCCCTTTGAAGAACGGAGCTTACACATTAAAAACCTTCCACAAAAAGGCCGTGCGTGACCGGCCTCAGGCAGTTGTCTCTTGGGCTCTGGGGTCACGCTCCCAGGCCGTTAAGACCAATACTAATCGAATTTTGTTTTCAGGTTCCTCAAGAAATACCCTTCCACGGTGTGGGCAGCCGGAAGTGACACCAGTCTTCATACTCGTAGCAGCACACGAGACAAAGTTGGTCACATTCAAATCCTTCCTACACCTACTAATACCACTCTTATCTCCCAGACTAACCCTTCAAACGTCCCTTTTTACCTCGCACCGCTAGGGCAAACGATTCGAGTACGCGGAAAATGAATTGTAATAAAACTTAAATAACATTGGTCGGGAGTTTGTTGAAGATCTAATCGAGAAAGACAATACCTATTAGTGTTTGGTCTACAACGGGTTAGAGATAAAGTTTTGTCTGTTGATTTGACGTCGAATTTGGTTTTTTTTATTCAATTAGTTCAGGTCTTTTATCCGAGGATATTTTTTAAACATTTAAGAAGGCGGATTTTAGTCTGCCCATAGAGAGAGTGTCCCACTTGCCACTTTTCTAAATGACGAAATATTTTTCCGTTCGCTTAGTGACTCATATGGAATAGTCAGTGTTTTCCGACAGCGTTACTTTGAACAGAGACGAATATGTACGTTTTTAGGTATTCTATTGATTTGTTCGTGGCACATGCTCGCACGTGTCGGTATCGGGTGTAGTCGTTGCATGCTTTTTAACAGTCTATTTGCAAAAGTCAAGAAAGAGGAATACTGAAGTTTTTGGATTCAGCTGAAGTATCGTGTATAGGGCATGGCCCATCTAGTGAATCTATCTGCTGCGGTATGTGTGGATAGAAGAATTGGATGGAGGTGTGTGGACGACGATTCCCATTCCGCGTGTTGATACCGTCTGCGTGCTGTTGCAAATTCCTCAAGTGTATTACTCACCCAATTACGCCTGTTAATCCCGATGGAGCATAGACCACCGACCAGCACTCTGCAACCAATTCTGTCCTGGGCCTTTCTTTCCAGTTCTATCCAATTCTTGTTTACTCTTCTCATGTCTGCCTCCATTTATCGGCGTAATGTGTTTTTCAGTCTTCCTCTTTCCCTTTGCCCTTGGGGATTCTAACTGGGGGCTTGCCCTGCGATGCACTTGGGTGCTTACTTCAATGTGTGTCCTATCCACTTCCAACGCTTCTTCCTGATTTCTTCCTCCGCTGGGATCTGGTTTGTTTTCTCCCACAGTGGGTTGTTGCTGATAATGTCTGGCCAACGGATCCGAAGTATTTTGCGTAGACAACTGTCAATAAACACCTGTAATTCTCCAGGTTTCCGCCCCATACAGTAGAACTGACTTGACATTTGTATTGAAAATCCTGACCTTGATGTTGGTTGCCAATTGTTATGAGTTCCAGATATTCTTCGGTTGTAAATATAATGCTCGTGCTTTACCGATCTGTGCTTTCACAACTGCATCAGATCCACCATGTTCATCAATGATGTTGCCCAAATATGTAAAGGTTTTTAAGTCTTCCAAATCTTTTCCATCAATTGTGATTGTATTGATGCATGCTGTGTTGTATCGGGGATCTT